TTACTCCGAAGATTCAACCTCACTACGTCTACTCTCCCCGTGAGCTGACTCGTTGGGTTCGTGGTGTCTATGAAGCTATCAAGCCTCTCGAAACATTGTCGATTGAAGGCCTTGTCCGGATTTGGGCCCATGAAGCTCTGCGTCTCTTCCAGGATCGACTTGTTGCTGAGGACGAGAGAGCTTGGACTGCCGATGCTATCCGGCGCATTGCCCTGGAACACTTCCCTACAATTGATGACCAGGAAGCATTGAAGGGACCCATTCTCTTCTCGAACTGGCTCTCCAAGAATTATGTTCCCGTCGAACAGGAGCGCCTCCGTGACTTCGTAAAGGCCCGTCTCAAGACCTTCTGTGAGGAAGAGGTTGACGTTCCTTTGGTCCTGTTTAATGACGTTCTTGAACATGCCTTGCGCATTGACCGAGTCTTCCGTCAGCCTCAGGGTCATCTCATCTTGATCGGTGTCAGCGGAAGTGGAAAGACAACTTTATCTCGCTTTGTTGCTTGGATGAATGGTCTGAAAGTGTTCCAGATCAAGGTTCATGGCAAATACTCATCGGAGGACTTTGATGACGATCTCAGAAGTGTTCTTCGCCGCGCTGGTTGCAAGGGAGAGAAGATTTGCTTCATCATGGACGAAGCCAACGTTCTTGACTCCGGTTTCCTGGAGCGCATGAACACCTTGCTTGCCAACGCTGAGGTCCCCGGTCTTTTCGAAGGCGATGAATTCTCTTCTTTGATGTCTGCTTGTAAGGAAGGTGCCCAACGCCAAGGTCTACTTCTCGATTCGCAGGAGGAACTCTACAAGTGGTTCACTCAGCAAATCGTCAAAAATTTGCACGTTGTTTTCACTATGAATCCGCCTGAGGACGGTCTTTCTTCTAAGGCCGCCACCAGTCCTGCCCTGTTCAATCGTTGCGTGTTGAATTGGATGGGTGATTGGTCCGACCAAGCTCTCTTCCAAGTCGGCTCCGAATTGACTCAGTCGGTTGACCTTGACAAACCTAACTTTGTCTCGCCTGATAGTATTCCTGTGGCGTACCGCGAATTGACACTGCCCGCATCCCACAGGGATACCGTTGTCAACGCCATGGTATACATCCATCACTCGCTTCTGCGGTTTAACCAACGCTTGCAGAAACAGCAAGGCCGGTCCACATTCCTTACCCCTCGCCATTACCTTGACTTTGTCGCCCAGTATGTCAACCTCTTCAACGAAAAGCGGGAGGACCTTGAGGAACAACAACGTCATTTGAATGTTGGTCTCGAGAAGCTTCGCGACACTGTAGACAAAGTCAGCGATTTGCGCGCTAGTCTTGCCCAGAAGAAGACTCAGCTAGAGAAGAAGGATACAGAAGCGAACGAGAAACTGCAGCGCATGGTTGCTGATCAACAAGAAGCAGAACAGCGTAAGACAGTGTCGTTGGAAGTGCAAGCGGCGTTGGATAAGCAAGAAAAGGAGGTAGCTGAACGGAGAGAGGTTGTCTTGCACGACCTGGCAAGAGCGGAGCCTGCCGTGGAGGAGGCTCAACGGAGTGTCAGCAACATTAAGCGTCAGCACCTGACCGAAGTTCGGTCCATGGGAAATCCCCCTGCTAGTGTTCGGCTTGCATTGGAAGCTGTTTGCACACTCCTTGGTCATAAGGTCGACAGCTGGAAGACTATTCAAGGTCTTGTGCGACGAGATGATTTTATTGCCAGCATTGTCAATTACGACAACGAGCGCCAGATGACGCGCAACCACCGTGTCAAAATGCAGAACGAGTTCCTTTCCAAGGAGGACTTCACTTACGAGCGTGTGAACCGCGCCAGTAAGGCCTGTGGGCCCTTGGTCCAATGGGTCGAGGCTCAAGTCAACTACTCTGCGATATTGGATCGTGTTGGTCCTTTGCGCGAGGAGGTCGATCAACTTGAAGAGCAAGCCTTGCAAACCAAGGCAGAGGCCCAGACTATTGAGAACACCATTCAAAGTCTGGAAAGCAGCATTGCCACTTATAAGGCTGAGTATGCTGCCCTGATCAGTGAAACCCAGGCGATCAAGACGGAGATGGCCCGCGTCCAGTTCAAGGTCGACCGAAGTGTTCGTCTGCTCGACAGCTTGGCATCCGAGCGCGAGCGTTGGGAGGACGGCAGTAAATCTTTCGAGACTCAGATTAGCACTCTTGTTGGTGATGTCCTCATTGCAGCTGCATTCCTCGCCTACTCAGGTCTCTATGATCAACAGTTCCGTAAGGCGATGATTGACGATTGGGTCCACCAGCTGGCTCAGTCTGGCATTCACTTCAAGCCACACAACCCCATTACGGAGTACCTGTCAAATGCCGATGAGCGTCTGACGTGGCAAGAGCACTCTCTCCCCGTCGACGACCTTTGCACGGAAAACGCCATCATCTTGAAGCGTTTCAACAGATACCCTCTCATTGTCGATCCCTCTGGTCGAGTCACCGAATTCCTGCAAAAGGAAAGCAAGGATCGCAAGCTTACCGTCACAAGCTTCTTGGACGACTCTTTCGTCAAACAGTTGGAGAGCGCCCTGCGATTCGGTAACCCTATTCTCATCCAGGATGCAGAGTACTTGGACCCGATCCTCAACCACGTTCTCAACAAGGAGTACCAGAAGACTGGTGGTCGTGTGCTCATTCAACTCGGCAAGCAAGAAATTGACTTCTCACCATCCTTCAAATTGTTCCTGTCGACTAGAGATCCATCTGCCTCGTTCCCGCCGGATGTCTGTAGTCGAACCACTTTTGTCAACTTCACTGTTACCCAAAGCAGTTTGCAGACACAATCACTGAATGACGTTCTGAAGTTTGAGCGACCAGATGTTGATGAACGCCGCAATAATTTGGTTAAGATGCAAGGAGAGTTTAAGGTACACCTTAGACAGCTCGAAAAGCGCCTCTTGCAAGCACTTAATGAGTCCCGTGGCAACATTCTGGACGATGACAACGTCATTGAAACCCTGGAAACACTCAAGAAGGAGGCCGCCGAAATTTCCAAGAAAATGTCCGAGACTGAGGGTGTCATGTCTGAAGTCGACACTATCACTCAGCAGTACAGCATCATTGCCCGAGCCTGCAGTGCTGTATTCGCGGTTCTGGAGCAGCTCCATCACATCAACCATTTCTACCAATTTTCTCTCCAGTATTTCGTGGACATCTTCAACTCTGTTCTGTACCAGAACAAACGACTTGCACAGGAGAAGGACCATGCTTCCCGCGTCCAAATGATCATTCGAGACCTGTTCATAACCACCTACCAACGAACTTCGCTTGGTCTCGTGCAGAAAGACCGCATTACATTGGCTATTCTCCTCGCCCAGGCTACTCCATTCCCTATGGACAGGGCCATTCTCGACCGCATTCTGGACGAGTCCGTTGAGGACGCAGACCTTTCGACCACCGAAGATGCTCGTGAACAGGTTATGAGCAAGCTTCTGAACATGTCACTCTTCAAAGAATACGTCCCCAATATCCCTCAGGATCAATGGGACCGATTCTTTGGCGAAGAGCTTGCCGAGAACGCTGTCCCAGTCATCTGGGAAGAAAGCACTCCCAAGCTTGACCAGCTGCTTCGATCATTACTCCTTGTCAAGCTTTGCCGTATGGATCGATTCGTTCCCACCGCCGAACGCTTTATCGAAGCAGTCTTCGGCCGCGAATTGTTCGAGGGAAGCAGTGATTTGAAGGATGTGGTCGACCAAGTCACTGCCACTACACCAATTTCTCTCAGCTCCAGCCCTGGTTTCGATGCCAGCTACAAGGTTGATGCACTGGTTGAACGAACTCACGCCACCTGTGCCAACATTGCCATGGGTTCGAACGAAGGTCTCGAGAGTGCCGACAAGGCTATCAGCAACGCCGCTGCCACGGGTAACTGGGTCCTGGTCAAGAACGTCCATTTGGCGCCTTCGTGGCTGCAGAGTCTGGAGAAGAGACTGGATTCGCTCAAGCCTCATAAGGAGTTCCGAATCTTCCTTTCTATGGAATCCAGTCCCAAGATTCCTGTCAACCTCATTCGCGCCTCTCGTGTGCTCATGTTTGAGCAGCCTGCCGGTGTCCGTGCCAACATGAAGGACTCCCTGTCTTCGTTGACTACTCGTGCCAGCAAAGCGCCTGTTGAAAAGGCTCGTGTCTACCTACTCCTTTGCTTCTTCCACGCCGTGGTTCAAGAAAGACTTCGCTACGCTCCCAGTCTTGGATGGAAGGGCTTCTGGGAATTCAATGACAGTGACGTAAGTATTCTACCTTCCTACTTGATATGAGATATACTAACACATCACAATAGTACGAGTGCTCTGCTTGGATCATCGATCACTGGGTCGACACTGTCGCCCAAGGCCGTTCCAACGTAGCTCCTCAGAAGCTTCCCTGGGAAATGATCCGCACTCTCATTGCCGAGATGTACGGTGGCAAGATCGACGACGCTGGCGACTACCATCAGCTGGAGAGCTTGGTGAACAGCTTCCTTACCCCAGCTGCCTTCGAGGATGATTACAAGCTCGTCTCCGGTGTCGAAAACGACGAACTTCTTACTCTACCCACTGGCACCAGCATTCGGGATTTCATCGCTTGGGTTAACAAGCTCCCTGAGCGTGAGCCACCAACCTATTTGGGTCTCCCAGCCAACGCCGAGAAGTTGCTGCTGGTTGGCCATGGTCGCAAGATGATCTCTGATCTATCGCGAGTTACCACTCTCTTGGACGAGGGCGAGCAGTTGATGGTTGATAACTAGTTCCTTTTTGTTTTTGTCTTGTTTTACAAATTTGGTGTTGAGGTGGTTCACCTCTAGACTTCGGTTTTCGGGAATGATTTTGATACCCTAAAGACCGCTGGCGGATTAGTTTCCCATTCATTTTTGTATTCCTTCAAACTTTACTGTATTCTATCACAATCGTTCTTGCACAAATTTTCTACCCATAGTGCTCCGTCATAGGAATCCCTGTGTACTGACTTTTATTTCTTAATTTTTTTTTTCTGAATCTAAAGAGGCAAGGGCCAGTTTACAGAGAAATATTGTCAATAGCATTAAGTATCCTGTATACAATCTGTGGATGTCTGGTTCGCATGAGGCCTCTCAATATCGACTGCCTCCAGCAAATAATGTAAAATGTCTCAAACTAACGCCAAAGAGGTCCCACTTGGGGACCAAATGTCCTATGTACGTGGGATGGAGAGGGGGCCGGCTCAACGAGCTTAGGAGATGAAAGTGGACTCTGAGAACATGAAGCCCTCCTCGGTGGTCTCAGTCTCACCAACCTTGAGCTTCAATGACAGTTTCTCAGCAGGGGAGAACTAGAGTTCACGAATTAGCACAGCTGAATATAAAAAAAAAAAAAAAAAAAAAAAAAAAAAAGTGGTCAAGGTGGATGGTAAATTACCTGGAAGATGTACGGCTTGGTACCAGCAACGCTACCGGCAATGGTCTTGATGAAGCCGGGCACCTCACCCATGACATCAACGCGATCCAGGCGCTTGCCGAGAGATCCATCGACCTCGGCGGACACATCCTGACCATCCGCGGTCTTGCCGGTCCACTCCCACTTGATGGAGGTGGGCTCGGGCCAGCCGCTGGCAGGGTCCGTTGTCGACTCGGTGTGGGTTACTGTGTTAGTAACACCGGCGTAGACGATCTCATCATCCTTGACAATGGCACCGACGTTGACCGTGGTGGAGCCGTAGGAGGGAGGAGTGGTGAACTCCATCATGACGGCGGAATAGGTAGGAGTCTGGAAGTTAATGAAGTTCCAGCGGGCAGCTAATAAAGTAATATACATGAGTATTACCGAAATGGGCAAAGGAGATTTGATCATTCTTACCTGCGTGGTGGGGCTTCATGCCCTGCATAGCGGGGATAAACAGACCACGACCAGCCAGGTCGTAGGACTTCTCCTTGGTAGTGATGCTACCCTCGACGGCACAGCGAGCCCAGAAGGAGTGAGTCATGGAGCCCCAGGGGTTCTTGGGGTCGGTTCCAAAGTAGGAGGTACCATCCTTTCCGATGGTGAAGCCCGGTGCCTTCCGGGTGATCTTCAAGTCGACAAGGCAGTCAGGGTTAACGGTCGACTTGATGGTGTAGGAGTCACCCTCCTCATTCAGGGTGATAGTCAGGTTATCGGCGCCGAAGCAAACCATCTGCTCATCGAACATGAAGTTCGACAGACCATCCGAGTGCCAGATGTGGTTTCCAGCTCCGCTCTGGTCAAAGATCTTAGTGTTGAAGTGGGCGGTGGTATGGATGCCTCTATAGTTCGTGCAAAGCCAAATTAGCAATATTCTTCATCGCCCCCAGTCATCTTCAGCAAATGGATAGGACCACAGCTTGTCGAATCCGGAGTAGATGGGTAGATCATAGATACTCACGCAATGTTGCTGTAGATGACCTGAACCATGACGAGAGTGCCGTTGTCGGCCATGACGTAAAAGGTCTGTGTCTCCACATTGGTGTATTGGAAAGCCTTCCATCGTAGCAAGTCCTTGTTCAGGACAGTGTAAGGGGTCTCAGCAGTCTGCTGGGCGACCGAACGGATTGCCTCGGGGCCGTAGATAGGTTCCTGCGTGCCCACCGCAGCAGAGAGACTGTGATTTGGGTCAGTTTTACCCCCACCAACACATTTACCATATCCAAAAGCGGGGATCAGACGTACGTTGACTTGAGCCAGTTCATGGTGATCTTCGGGAGCTAATGCGCAACCGTAAGGATTCAGTGTCAAGAAGATAGAAAAAAGCCAAAGGAAAAGGGAGGTGAAGGGGAAGGGAGATCGACGCGGGGCCCGAGAGTTTAGTTCGGATGTGAATGGGAACTCTCCGAATTCAGATCATAACAGTCGAACTCTGCAGGAACGAATGAGCCACGAAAAACACGCACAATATGATGATAGACCTAGCAAGGTACTTAGTTTGTAGATGTGTTTAAGAGACAGAGCGCTGATGACGTTCAACGCTGCTCAGCTGCTCGCTTGGTGTCCGACCAATCAGCATGCGGCATGGGCGGAGGAAAATCTGCCGTCTTCAGCAGTTTGTCGCTTCAACTCTTAACTCCGTCCCCATTCGCATCTCCAACATTCCACCATGGCACGAAACGTTTTGGCCAAGGACCAGTTCGTCAAGCTGATCGTCGGCGCCGGTCAAGCCAGTCCCAGTCCGCCCGTTGGTCCGGCTCTGGGTAGTAAGGGTGTCAAATCTATGGATTTTTGCAAGGTAAGCTCAACCACCTTTCCGTATGCGCGCGACCGGTGGATTAACAGCCCAACCTTTCAGGAATATAACGCCCGCACTGCCCACATCACCGTCGGCGTCCCCATTCCCGCGCGCGTTTGTGTCCGCCCTGACCGCTCCTTCTCCTTTGAGCTCCGCACTCCGACCACCACCTACTTGCTATTGAATGCCGCCAACGTCGAGCCCCGGAAGAACCGTCTACGCGGTGCTATGAATCCTGGCCACGAAGTTTGTGGCCAGATCTCGCTTAAGCATGTCTACGAGATTGCCAAGATCAAGCACACCGAGACACGACTATCGGGATTGAGTCTTCAGGGATTGTGCAAGAGCGTCATCTCGCAGGCTAAATCCATTGGCATCCAGGTCGTTCCGTGAAGTGAAGCACTTCGATAATGGCATTTGACTTTCTTGAGTGCATGCTGCACCGGGGGTTTAACGGTCACTGTTCCCGCGGCAGCGGCAGGGGGCCGAGGTATCCATGGCATGGGACTTCCTCCCGTGTACCTAGGCCTCGTTAGGCCATTGTACTGTTTTGATACTTGTCGAGTTTATCCGGCGTTCTATGGGTTAAAATGGAGGAACCACTCCTCTACTGTACTATATACCTGAATCATTTGCATGTCATAGAGCGATATGTGCAATACCAGTGTGATTATTTTGATACCCTCCCGAGTATGTCAGATGACCCATTGGGAATCAGCGTCAGCCCTGCTGATCGTGCCTTGTGCCCCTGTGGTCCAATGCTGTGTCACTAGAGATCCACACTTTTAAATCTCCGCTGGTCGGGACGCGATTGGCTGAATGATCCTAGTATAGACTTGAGGTTACCTTACCTCGAGAATTCAACGGATGTCGTCCAGTAGTACGTACCTGGTCTAGTTGTACACAAACCATGTCCTCCATTGGGCTTGGCGGTTAATGGTGTGAGTGATCTGCTTGGCAGGAATGATACTCAAGTAACATTTGAATATAGAGACATAGACGTAGAGACGGAAGCCTATACATCGGGATTATGTACGAATCGACCCGGTTACCCCGTACAGGATACCATGGGTTCGAGACCAATCAATGAAGAGCAAAAACTGCAGGGCGTGCACTATACCAGAAGTGGTAAAATTCCAGATCATCGGGAAGCAAGCGATCTCGTGCATTTCCGGATTGATAAACCTTGGACCGGGAAGTCGGCACGTTCGGATTACACTGTACTGTTCATTAAAGAGTCATGAACTAGCTCCGTTGGCTTCCGCGCACATGGGCCTGCGGTGATAGACGATGGGTTCATAGGAATGGATTTATGCATACCTACATACAACGTCCCAGGATTAATATCAATCGTCAGGTATCCATGGATCCTTGAACTCCCGTAGAGAAGTAAAACCTGTGACGGGGAAAGCACACCCCCACCGGGTTTTGCCTCAGGCCCAGACCCTCTTTCCCCTCTTATCCAAGTTCTGTATCATTATCCTGCTTTCTTCTTCTCTATCTCCCAAAAACTTGGACTTTCGCCTTTTGATCTTTGCTGTCTTTGATTCTAGTGGTCTTTTTTCTCGTTGCAGTTCACGACACGGATTCGGCAGCGGAAAAAAGTTTAAGGGAAAAGATTTGCCTCACCCACGTAATCGACCGTTTTGACCGGGGAAAACCATTCCTTTTCTCTTTCCCCTCCAATTTCAACGACCAAACGAGAGGAAATTCGATCTTTGATCCGCTGTCTGAGAAAAGAGATTCATCATCCCCCACGAGCTTAGACCCCGTGAGGGGTATGCGTCCCACCGTCCCCAGTCGAGGCCGTTAAAAGAGTATGACGTCTGTGACGGCAGGGTCGACCCCAACCGACTCGATGGATTCAGGTATGTCTTGGCTGTCATTTGCGCCGGTCCCCTAGCGTGAACACCGCCAGAATTCCGGAATTCCTCTGACGCAAGCTCTATCGTCTCCCGACAGGCTCGTCGAATATGCAGAACCCCGCCAAGATGCCGCCCCAAGCGGAGTCCGACCCGGACGCCAAGTCGAGATCTCAGCCTGCTCAAGTCCGCTTCTCCTCTGTCAACCAGGAGATTGAGCCCTCCTCAATGCTATCCCCGGTTTCTGAGAATTCCGTGTCGGGCTCTCACCACCAGGATACCAACGAAGAGGACTTGCGCTCCTTGGCTATGAGCTTGCAGAGCACCCAGCTCCAGGAATCCCGACTGCGCAATTACTCCTTTGAACCAATGTCGCTTCCTTCCTCTAGGGTATGTCTATACTTTTCGGGGAGCCTTCCCATGTCTCCAATTTTCTCAGCCCCGGCTCCCGGTATACCTATATCCCCAGATCGGCAGAGTTCACCGAGCGGGTGGTGATCTTGCCCCCCCTAAAAGCCGCTCCCCATTGGCTTTTGTTGTGTCCAATTCTGGTTACTAATGTGTAATCTGCCAACTAGGTCGCATCCCGAGACTCGAGTGATCGAAGTGCCCGTGATGGCAATGGCTCTTATATAGCTTCCCCTCACATTTCTCCCCCCGTCTCCGCTGTACAGTCACCTCCTCTTACCCCCGCCGTCACCCAATCCCGTGATGGCAGGGCCACTGATACTACAACCGCTCTGGGATCACTTGGCCGGGGCCATGTGCAGTCCATTACTCCCGAAACATCCCCCCCGGTTACATCCGGAGACCAAAACGCCCAAAATGCGATTACGTCTCAACCCTCCACCGATCGTAATTCTACCAGGCAAAGCGGCAGGCCGGAGCCTGCCCCCCAAATCACCGTGCCGAAACATCGTGCTCAGTTCTTTATCGGCACGGATGCAAGCTCACAGGAAGAGAGCCCACCTGCTACTCCCCGAGAATCTCATACCCCGCCGGGCACAATCACCCCGGTTGGCGAGCCAAATGACCCTTACGCCCGCAGCAAGCGCCCACCGCCAACGAAGAATCTGGGACAGTTGGATGCGCGGTTCATTTTTGGTAGCCGAGACTCCAAGCGATCGTTCCGCCCAGGCACCCCTCGATCGGCCAGTGCCAGTGATGTCACCAAGGCCGGCTCTGAGAAACGGGGTGTTTTCCACAAGGATAAGAACGAATCCAAGCACGGCTTTGGCCATGGCCACCATGGTTCTATGTCTGAGTTGAAGCGATTTTTCAAGATGGGCCACCGCAATAAGCGCCCAGACTCTCCCACATCGGCCGCGAAACGATCAAGCCGAGGTTCTGGAAAGAACACTCCTTACCAGATGGCTCCCGACAATGTTCCCTTTGCCGACGACCATGGACTGAATTCCAAATACGGCAAAATGGGCAAAGTGCTTGGATCTGGAGCAGGTGGCTCGGTTCGACTTTTGAAGCGCAATAGCGACGGAGTCACCTTCGCCGTGAAGCAATTCAGAGAGCGTCACAGCTGGGAAAGCTTGAAGGAGTATTCAAAGAAGGTCACCGCAGAGTTCTGTATTGGTTCGACCTTGCACCACGGAAACATCATTGAGACTCTTGATATTATTCAGGAAGGCTCTCATTGGTACGAGGTGATGGAGTATGCGCCGTTTGATCTCTTTGCAATTGTCATGACCGGCAAGATGACCAAGGAGGAGATTGCTTGTTCATTCAAGCAGATCCTCAGCGGTGTTGCATTTCTTCACGGAATGGGTTTGGCTCATCGGGATTTGAAGTTGGATAATGTGGTGGTGAATGACCGTGGCATCATGAAGCTGATTGATTTTGGGAGTGCGGTCGTCTTCCGCTACCCATTCGAGAATGATATCGTTCCAGCTTCAGGCATCGTTGGCTCGGATCCATACCTGGCTCCTGAAGTATATGATGAGAAGAAATATGACCCCCGCCCCACGGATGTTTGGTCGCTGGCGATCATCTTCTGTTGTATGACTTTGCGACGCTTCCCGTGGAAGCAACCGCGCACCACAGACAATTCTTACCGCTTGTTCATTTCTCCTCCGACACCTGGTACCCCAGTGCCCGACTCCGATCCCCGGCGTGCCCCACGCCCCAAGTCGTCCCCTGATCTTCCTTCTTCTGCCCATGAACAGAAAAAACCCCCGACGTCTGCAGATCAATCGACACACTCTGAATCTGCCAACAAATCGAATGTACCTCCTGTTCCTCAACAAAACGGAACCAAGCCCGATTCCGACAAGGAAGGCGATAAACAAGCCGAAAATCCACCTCAAAAGCAGACCAGCCAGACCAGCACGAGTACAGAAAAGACCCAGACGACCAGCAAAGAGGCACCACCTCTTCCAGGCGGTGCCCAACCCGCTCGCCAAGAAGTGATCAAAGGCCCGTGGCGCCTTCTCCGTATCCTACCCCGGGAAAGTCGTTTCATCATTAGCCGCATGTTGAAGGTTAATCCGACGGAGCGAGCGACCCTTGATGAGGTTCTTGCTGATGAATGGGTTCGGGGCATCCTAGCATGCGAGCAAGACGGGACAGGTGAGGTCCACAACGTCTCTAACCACACTCACGTCCTCGAGCCTCCGTCGCAAAGTCCTGCCGTGGCCAGCAAAGGTGCTAAGGCCAAATGATTCCCCTTTTGTGTATCAATTTTTCCCTCTCTTTGTTTGTGCATAATTCCCTCCAAGGTCCGGCGAACGGCCCTGTCAATTGTTCTCTCTTTTCCTCGTTCGATTTATCTTCTCGCGCTCCTCAAATGGCCTAGATGACTTCTGTCTTGCTGCAATCAACGTGCCTTGTTTTCCGACCTGTTTTCTCTGGTATTCTTCGGGTCAATGTGCGTCATCCTAATCTTTCATGTGTGATCTTTCTTTTCTGTGTTATTCGTCCACCGCCCGTTCTCCATCACAAGAGAAAAATTCGGTCGGTTGGTAGTTTTCTGGCGTCTCGGAGTCCCGGAGAAAGCCAGGTCTGCTTTGGCAAACCCCTTGTGAAGACTCGGTTGACCAGTGATAGGTATTTCTGCTAGACTGGCGGTGGATGTTTAGCAGGGAGTCTCTTTGTCGACATTCCCTTCCTTTTGCCCGGCCCCGTGTTTCGGGTAGTTAGTTGGTTGTCTAGTGGATAGTTGTGTGGACATGATCATGTCGTAGATAGTCTAAACATAAGAATATATTTGTCTGGTTACAATCAATTGTCGATACGCTTATACAAATCCGCCCTCGCTTGCGACGTGATGATCGACCTGACGTAGTCCTCATTCGGCGATATCGGATGGCCTGACCGCGGAGCAAAAACCTCGGCATCAATTGTGGAGCTCCGCGACATAGCGGCCTGGGTCCTTCGCATTTCTGGAACTACTCAGGCTGCAATTGACTCTACAGCCCAACTGCTCCAGACCAGCGTGTTTGCGAAGTAGAAAACAATTCCACCATGGCCGAGCAACCGAACGGAGAGGCCTTGGTCTCTTCCCTATGGACCAGGTCCCTACTCGTAAGGCAATCTCAAAAAAATGTCATCTTCAGATCAAGCAGCCGTACTAACCCTTGTCCAACTGCTCACAGTCGGGCGCCCTCGCCGGTCTCACTGTAGACTGCTCACTCTACCCACTTGACACCATCAAGACCCGACTCCAAAAAGCACGCGACCCCAGCGCACCCCAAGCTGCCCGAGCTTTATCTCTCCGCCAAACAATCCGCGGCATCTACGCCGGTCTTCCCTCCGTCCTCTTCGGCTCCGCACCTTCCGCCGCATCCTTCTTCATCGTTTACGACGGTGTTAAGCGCTCTCTCCTCCCATCAAGCTCTACTGATACTCCCTCCCGCGCATACATCCTGTTCACCCACTCTATCGCCTCCTCGCTCGGTGAAATCGCCGCCTGCGCCGTGCGCGTACCTACCGAAGTAACCAAGCAGCGCGCCCAAGCCGGACTCTTCGGCGGCTCAAGTCTACTCGCCTTAAAAGATATCCTATCTCTCCGTCATGCTACACAAGATCCTACAGCTCAGTCTTCGAGTACGGCCCCTGTGAAACGGGGCTATGGTCAGGTTATCCGTGAACTCTACCGCGGTGCCGGTATCACCATTGCTCGAGAAATCCCGTTTACGGTCCTGCAGTTTACTATGTGGGAATCTATGAAAGAGGCTTATACGAATCGCTACCTCCGGCCATTCGCTTCAAGCGCGAAGTCCGTTACTGAGACTCAGATCCCGGCTTCTACTAGCGCTATGTTCGGTAGTGTTGCTGGTGCTATTGCGGCGGGTCTGACGACGCCGTTGGATGTTATTAAGACTCGTGTCATGCTTGCGCGCCGTGGAGGTGCAGATGCGCCTGTGCGGGTTAAGCAAATTGTGCGTGAGATTGCGCAGGAAGGTATGGGTGCTTTCTGGCGTGGAATTGGGCCCCGGGTAGCATGGATTGGTATTGGAGGTGCGGTATTCTTGGGTAGTTATCAGTGGGCGTGGAATACATTAGAGGGGAGGAGGGAGGAGAAGGAACGGGAGTGAAAAGGTTGACCTATTTTTGTACATTATCATTGCTACATAGACCTTGGGACTGGCATATAGATTTCAAGAAGCGCATACATTTTGGTTGCGCTATGAGAGTTCGAGAGTCAAGTCCGCTAGTAGCCGGGATTATCCTAGACGCGCAATCGTCCATAATGAACCTTACTATAGTGGACACGGGCACCCCCGCCACGGAATAGGTCTCAGCCAGTGCTAAGGTCCACGGTCTTCATAGCCGTTGAGGCATTTGATATCAAGCCTAGGTCATGTGTACATTATATCACAGGATATGAAGCATAGCAGGCAACAGCCACGACTAAGCCACTATAAGCACTAGCTAGCGGGTACAGGTGATTACTTGAAGTAGAAAGCTATTGAACATGGCATGATCACTCCATGGGTATAAAGGTTAATTATTTGTAGTTTCTGGGTTAGGTCGATACCTCATCTGGGCAGAATAATTAAATACTACGAATTTATCCGGTGTTTTGAAAGTATAAGTGCGATGGTAGGTGGTCTCATAAACCATGGCTATTCCCTCGGCTAGTTAGTTATAGTCATATAGAGCCGGCTTTATATAATCCCCGAATACACCAAATGCATGAAAGGTTTGAATGCCAGGTAGGCCATGAAGATGACTGCGCAAAAGAATTAGGCAATCTTTGTTTAGGATGACACAGACCTGTGTATAGTTGGGGGAACATCAGATGACATCAGAGTAGGCATAAAGCGCAGTACCGAAACGGTGATACGGAGTACGGCCGACCAGCGCTATGGCGTCCTGCCCCTGGCGGTTCCCCCAACCTTCCCCTCATTTACATGTCCTTCCGTACCTGTTCAATCAAATTCAACTCAATCCCACTGTCTAGTGTTGTTTTGGGGGATCGTCGTAAATGCGTCAGTGACGTCGTTCTCATCCCCACCAAACAGTGCAAGTGATCGGCCTCGATTGAGGCAGATAAGCTCCGCATCTCCTCCGCAATTTGTCTCTTTTCCACTTACCCAAGCTGCATGTATGGCACGGAAACTGAGCCACCAGAGGGTCACTTATGGTTAGTCTTATCTCGGTCCTATTTTAAACATACCCTCGAATTGCGATCCTAATCTGTCCTTTCCCTTCGCAGTGCTCCCTCTGCCTGATGCCCCCGGCGGGCACCGGCTGGGAGTTAATGGGTTGACCGTTGATCCCCAAAACTCCATCCTGTAAGCGCCCTTTCTTTTCAAGGCCCCGGAACAAAGAAGTTGAGAACCTTCTGGAAGCCGAGTGACTGCACTAGTCGTGCTTCCCCCGCAACCCGTCCCTTTCCCCACGTGGGTTGCACAGCTTTTAATGTGACGTCTTTCCCTTCTCCAGGTATTCCGCCGGCCGTGACGGTGTCATCTGTTCATGGGATCTCGATTTCCCTCAAACTCCCTTCCACGCATCAAATCCATACGCAAATTCCAGCCGACAACCGGGCCCAACTCGTTTCAAGACCCAGGTTCAGGCCCACAGCCACTGGATCAATGATATTGTCTTGACCCAGGACAACTCCGCACTCGTATCAGCATCGTCAGATACTACTGTTCGTCTCTGGCGACCACACTCAGAGTCTACTGAAGTTCCGGAGCGCATTGGGAAACATACGGATTACGTCAAGGCGCTAGCCAGCCCCGGCGGCCAGGCCAACTGGGTTGCGTCGGGCGGACTTGATCATAAACTTTTCTTGTGGGATCTCAATGGCGGCGGAGATATCCTGAGTATCGATGCATGCGATGACGATGCGACTGAAAAGGGCTCTATCTATGCCCTAGGGGCCGGCTCGTCGGTGCTCGCTAGCGGCGGGCCGGAGAACGTCGTCCGTGTATGGGATCCCAAATCTGGGAAATTAATAACGAAGTTCGTAGGCCATACAGACAATGTTCGGGATATTTTGATCAATCAGAGCGGAGATACCATCATGACTGCTTCGTCAGACCAGACCATTAAGATATGGTCTCTCACCGCAGGACGTTGCATGAATACACTAACCATGCACAATGATAGCGTCTGGTCTCTTTACTCAGATCATCCAGACCTCTCTGTCTTCTACTCCAGCGATCGCTCAGGTTTGGTCGCCAAGACGGACACGCGGCGCTCGCCGGATGTGGAGCAGGGCGTTTGCGTTGCAGCACTTCAAGAACATGAAGGGGTCGTGAAAGTTGCGGTTTGCGGCGATTTTATCTGGACAGCTACACCCAAGTCGAGCATTAACCGCTGGAAGGATATTGATACCACGCTTGAGATTGAGTCGCCGCCGGAACCTGTGCGCAACATCGATGCGGCTGCTGCTACACCGGAAACAGATAAGACAAAGAAGATCCCGTACAATGCAGTGCTGCAACTATCGGCAACGTCAACTCTGCTAGCGAGCACTTCCTCATCGAGGGTTAATACCCCAGAGCCTGATTTGGGCACTGATATTGAGTTACCAATCCCCGTGCATACGCAGCCGGAAGAGAGCATTGAGGGACAGCATGGGTTGATCAAATGCTTGATGCTGAATGATAGAAAGCGGACACTTACACAGGATTCAGCAGGAGAGGTCGTCTTGTGGGATCTGTTGAAGGTACGTTAGAATGCAGTGGGAGCTACTTTGCGCTTCAGCTGTTTCATTCAAACAGTCATTGATATAAAATGCAGTGTGTCCCCGTGCAAGCTTATGGCAAGCGCCACATCGAAGATGTAGCCGACCAACTCAATACGACAGAGAGCATTGCTCATTGGTGCACGATCGATATCCGCACTGGCAGACTTTCTGTGATACTGGAACCTAACCGCTGCTTCGATGCTGAGGTCTATGCAGACGAGGCAGGCCTATCAGATGCCGACCTTTCGCAGTTCCGTGACGATCAACGAAGTGAGTTTTGTACAATCTGCAATCTCTCCCCCTTTTACCTTTTCGCGTGGGGATATGTCTTCCATCTAACTAACACGACGTTTAGTCAACCTTGGCAAATGGATTCTGCGCTGGCTGTTTGCTCCCTTGGTGGACGAGGAGATTCGCCGGGATAGCGAGTATCGCGAAACTGCTGTCGCAAAGGCCGAGGAACATGCCAGGCTCAACCCTCTGAGTACTTCCATCCCCGGTGATGACATTCCTCGTAGTGTTGGAATTCCTATCTCGCAGGATCCCTCTACGTTGACCTTGCGTCCAAACCTTGATTTCCCAGGAAGCCCCAACACTTCAGGCTTTGGGATTAATGTTGGCACGCCGTCTTCAGCAAATTATCTCAGCACGTCGATGGCAAGCAGTGTCTCCCCATTTCCGGGCTTCGATGCAGACACTCCAGATGTACCATCCTCTCATCCAAATCCTGATGCCGTGCCGTCTTCCTTTTCCGACAAATCTGGTGACTACTTCTCATCAAGATTAGCCCAGGATAACGAAAAGCAGCCCATGTCCCCAATTGACGGTAACCCAACCTCTGGACTTCCGCAGTCTCCAGCTGAGCCTGACAAGGAGGAACGTAAGAAGGGTAGCTCCTTGTTTGGCAAGAAGTTCCGCATGGATATCAAAAAGCTGGGACGAACATCAACGGATCAGAAGCCACAGATCCCTGAAGAAAAGATCGAGGAATCTGAGGTATCATCTGTAAAGGAGGAGAAGGTGTACGACCCCAACATCAGTGGCGTGATCGATCGCATTCGTCATGAATATGACGAGTTCCTGGCTGCGAACCCAACTCGTGACTTGGTGACGGCCATCACTCCCAGTCCAACGAGCGAGACCCCTCGTCTCCATATTCCCTCTCGGACTGCAGTTTTCATTCAAGAAGAGACAGGTGATACTGCAGTGGCCTCCGACCTCTATCGAGGCAGTGTGGGTCGCATCGGGCAAGAGATTGAGCGACTGGAAAAATCGATCCCACATTGGCTCGGGGAACTTCTTTTGAAGGTAAATGGGCTTCCATGCTACTCTCATCTTACAATTGCGCTAATCGTATCTCTAGAATCAAATTCCATTTAAGGAACAGGTCAAGATTGCTTTCATCTTAAAGCCTTTTGATGACTTGCTTCCACCGGTCGTCAAACCCGAAGTGTATGGCCTTTTTTTTTTTTTTTTTTGAAGATACTATTGACCCTTGAACTGATCCATCTCCTATAGTGCGACTGCAAATGGAGGCCCCCCGCCCCTAAATCCCAATGGCAATAACAGCTCCCGGCTGAACGCCAATCGGATGCTGCGTGCCAAGAAGGTGCTAGCCTACGTTGCTGAGCGCATCGATCCTCCGAACCCTGATGATCCAGAGGATAGCGTCATGCCAGCAGAGGAGTACCTTGAGCTCTACTGCCAAAAGATAGTACGTTACCTTCGATACCGTAAAAACTTCTTAACTAATGTGTATCACTCCTAGTTGTGTCCACCAAATATGACTCTTGCTACTATTCGTTCGTGTCTCTGGCGCACGTCCGGGGACATGATTCTCTACTACAAGGCAAATGGTAAGAAAGAGATCCGATCCCCTTCGTCTTTGACCAACCATGAGAACCATGGCACCAATGGAGATGCTGGACCTACCAACGGGAACCACCACGGCCCACCAGGCAGTATCCACTCAATGACGAACTCGGGATCTGTGTCCGGATCGGTAGTCACTTAAGGGTATTTTCCCGGGCAATATCTTTACCCTGAATCAAAATCGTGTACCTTTGTTACTTTGTGGGTTTGCGGTGTGTTGGCTTTCTGGCTTAGCGAGGCCATTTCCTTTGGCTAAGGGATGGATTCGGGTACATAAGAAGATGCTCTCTGATACCCCCTGATTTTGCTGATATGTCTGTTTAATTGGCATTTTTCCTTTCCCTTTTCTATCTTTGCTTTGTCGGTAATGATGATGAGCGTAGGTTCATGTCATTTTGCATATACCTTATTACCATGAATTGTTGTTTCCTCGAATTCGGGGAGACAAATAAACGAACAAGAAAATTAGTTGGACACCTGGGGTAGCGCGGTAATGGTAGTTCAGAGTAGTAACCTGATCGAGCACCTACCGGGTATCTACTTCCTCACATTAGGCTCCCCAGCAATGTGAACGTGATTAAGGCCGCTGAGACTGCAACTTTTCTTATCCGTATCCCGGCTCGAGGGAAGCGTTACGGATGTTGGCTTGAATCAGACGAGGTCATATGCCCTTAAATACCTAGAAACCCAGATACATACAAACTTATCCTGCCTGGATTGCCACTTGTTTTGTAATATTCAATATTTGTTAGTTAAAGATGTCCAGTTTATATTAGTAACTTTAGCTAAATAAATAGTTTACTGAAAAAGGGTTAGTAAAGGGGGGTTCGCTATAGTAGGATTTTCATGATTTCTTTTTTGATTCGTAAGATTGATGAAACATTGTTAATAGATTAGACCCATGTACATCTGTTCTTACCAGTCTATCAAATAATGGAAGAATTATTTATACAAGACGTAAAACAAGAAAAGCCAAAGCGCTGATGAGGCTAGTGGAGAAAGTGAAGGAAGGTGAAGCAGCACCGGTATAGACTGGAGCGGCAGAGCTGGTGGTCAAGCTAGAGCCAGATCCAACGCCGGAGCTCTTCTGGGTGGTAGAATAGCTAGAAGTGGTAAAGGTTGAAGGAGTAGGCTTGACGTGGATGTGTGTGCGGTGCACGGGGGGTACCTCATTAGCACCAACGCCTACGAGGCCAGCGCTAGTAGCCTTGGCGACGGTGAGAGTAACAGCTCCAGTTGCGATAGCAATGGTCTCCGTTGTACCAGACTCGACCTTGGTCGAGTAAATAATGGTGGTGCTGATCTGTCCGTTGCTAGAGGACTCGGAGCCAGAGCCAGCACCAATCGAATCAGTACCGGTGAAGCCAGAGCTGGTGGATCCGGAGCCGATGGATCCAGAGATGGTAGTAGAGCCAGAGCCGTTAGAGCCAGAGCCGTTAGAGCCAGAGCCGTTAGAGCCAGAGCCGTTGGAGTCAGAGCCTGTCGGGATAGTACCGGAAGAGCCAGTGGACCCAGTGCCGGTAGAGCCCGAAGATCCAGTAGCGCTAGCTTCGATGTAGACTGAAGCAGTCGAGATGGCAGTTTGGGTAGCCTCAGCAGCAGTTACCGGGCAGATAGTGGTGTAGTCAACAATGGTCTCGGTGGTGACATAAGTAGACTTCTCAGACGCGGGGCAATCCTTAACGGAGGAGGGGCAAGCGGTGATTGTCGAGGTACGCGTGATGAAGGCAGTAGAAGTAGTCATTGGCACTGTAATGCTGCCCTGGCCTGTCAGCGTGGTAGTAGCGGTGGGCTGAGCACCCTCGGTAATAGGGCAGACAGTAGTTCCAACAACGACAGTCTCGGTAGTCAAGTAAGTGGTCTGATCACGGGCAGGGCAATTGGTAATAGTAGAGGGACACGCAGTGACGGTGCTTGTCCGGGTAGTCAAAATGGTGGATGTAGTGAAAGAGTTAGAATCAGAACCGGAGCCTGAGCCTGAGTGATTTCCAGAGCCAGAGTGGTTGCCAGAGCCAGAGTGATTGCCAGAGCCAGAGTGGTTGCCAGAGCCAGATGTGTGGCCAGAACCAGAGCCGGGGCCATTGTTAGATCCAGGGGCAACGCCCGATGGAATAGACGATGGAGCAACTATGGAGCCCGAGGGAGTGAAAGACGGCCGAGGGGTAGGCGAGATAGGGCGACGGCTCCAGGGAGCAGAACTAACAGGTGCGGAAGGAACAGGACGAACAGAGTGAGGAACCCGGCTGTGTCCAGCAGGAGCAGAGGCCGAGGGGCGAACAGAGCTAGGGACGGGGGTAGAAGAAGGCAAAGCCTTGCTGGATGGGCTGATCAGAGCCTTGGAGCTAGGGCGAACTTGGACCGGCCGCACGGAAGAAGAGCTGTGGACCGCCACGGAGGAAGACTTGACCGGCGAAGAGCTGGGGACAGAATTAGGAGTAGGAGTCGGGGTAGGAGTGCTGGTTGTGCAGACTTCGCCTGGGCCGACAGCCTTGAAGTTATCCAATCGGATAGAGGTGTTTTCGATACATCCAAAGATGAAGTAAAGATTAACGGTCGAGGCTGTAGGGCTCCAGTTGATGCTGTAGGTAGTCCATTCTGCGTCAGCTGACGAGTAAGAAGTCTTTATCCCAGAAATTAAAGAACTCCAGGAGTGTTGGGAAAATGCCATGTTGCAGAGATTAGCAGATGAGGTAGGTTCAGTTGCTGTAGTCCAAACAAGCTTGTAGTCGACGGAGAGAGTATAGGTCTCGCCAATTTCCAGACCCGTCAACTCCTGCATTAAATATTCGTACTGGTCATTGGATGGGATGACGCTACATTGATCAGTTCGTTAGTAAGTCCTTCCATGAGAGCCTCAATATGGTAGACATTGGGGCAACTGACAAGTAATCGTCTACGTCGGAGGCATCGCCAGATGCAACTGTACCATAGTCTATCGATCCATATGGGGACAAGCTAGTCCAGTCGGTCAAGTCACCAGTCTCGAATGAAGGGTTCAAGAAAAAATTGACATTATCAGAGATGCCACAGGTCACAGTTGCAGATGCCGAGCTAATGAGTGAAGCGGAGAAGAGCAAAGTGCTCAAGAGGCGGGTTGTGGTGAGCATCATTGTGAGATGTGTGGGGGGCCGATATTGATTAATGATAGTCGTGAATATTGATTAAAGAGTGACAATATTCGGGGTCAAAAGAGTGACGAGGGAGAACAGAAAGCAGACACAATCCAACGAGTGACAATGGTTCGCAGCCCTAAGGAATGGAAAGAATATTTTGTCGGCGACAGACTTATATACTCCTCGACTCCACAGAAAGCCAGAGAACGTGGGTCAGGGTCCGACAACCACCTTGCGGCTCATTCCCGACACGAGGTTAAGCCACGCGAGTCCGGAGCCAATGGCTGCCATGTGGTTGGGTCCAAGAATCAGGGTGTCTCGGGCAGAACAGCGCCGCTCGGATAAAAAGTCGAAGAACCAGCGGTGGGGCGCTGTCAGATTGAACGGTGTTGCCGACAGCCATACGGACCGCTAAGCGATATGCGTCGCCAGAATATACTGGTTCAAGAGGTGGATCAGGGCCAACGGGTTAAGCGATAGGCTAATTGTATAATTGCGCACTGTTCCTGGATCCTCAGGGACAAGAACGATCTCATTGATGGGAACATCGTCGAGAGGCGGGCACTAAAGCAAGCCACAATCGTTAGTTCAGATCCGTTCCTGGTCTAGGGAAATCAATCGGTAGACGGCGTTGAGTCAGGGTCATTAAAAGCGACAGGGCTACTCTTCCAAATTCACAGAATTGCCATGAATCATACGACTTCCAAGAGCTCCAAGAAATCACGCTGGGGCCTTTCATGATGCTTGGTACAGGATTCTCCAATCCCCGGCTACGAGGCAGGCTGCGATATGTTCTTTGGCACTGGGTTAGAAAATGGCATTTCCTTGAGAATCTTGAGTTCACCCAAGCAACAATAGCCTGCATCAATCACAGATACAGTCTCCTCCGAATGATCCTTGGGAAAAATCTACCCCAATAGCCCGTTCCTTATTTCCCCCATCTCAGCCTGAGGCAACTTAAACACGAGCATGATAGATAGGTCCGGGAGTGGCATAATCATTGAGTAGAGTCTACTAGCGTAAATATAGGAAAATTGAGGGGGGTTCTCTGAGCCACTACTATGATTTGTATTATTCTTCCTTTGCTTCTACCCCAACACGGCTTCCTTTCCTCTTTCCTCTTACCTCATAGATTCACTTGGCCTGGCATCTGTGTCCTTGGCAATGCGACTTGTCGCGCGCACGCTTGTCGGAGGCTAGGCTGCCGTCTGCTTTACTGGGTCATAGTTTCCGGTGCGGCCAGTACCGTATCCAACTCTGCGTAAGGCAAGTCCTCTCGCTTTGAGGTACTCATGTACAGGTAAGGGGCCATGTCCTCTTCTCAGTTCACCGCTGACGAGCTCTCAGATTCAGTGAGGCGCTTCACTCTACGGAGTCCTGGAAAATGGGCCGGGTATTCTGACTAGCTCACGAGAACAAGGTCTGTTGCGGATGTGCTTGGTCACTAACAAGATGTCTACTTGAAAGTCGAAAGTGTGCTGGGCAGGGAAGCACTGAACGGCACCAGTAGACCATTGCGCGGAGATCAATCATTCAACACCACAGAATTAGTTGGACGCCTCACTAGCCATGTCAGAACAAGCGCGGTAAGTGCAATCAGGCAAGATGCTATTATCTATGTACTCGATCCAGATTACCACGTTGAATTACCATTACCGCACCACCCAAGGTGTCCAACCAAATTTGCGGTGTTCAATATACTGCAGTGGAACCTCGGGTACCGTAACAAGTACCCAATACCCCTCAAGCGGGGCTGCCCACAGTGGATCGCATACAAGTTACAACTCTACCATATTCTGTCGATCTACAAGCTACCATTTCCTCATCACTCGGCCTTATTTCGTCCGAGGACTTGATTCTATAGACTTGCATTCAACATGACAATCACCTCGCTTACCAAAAAGAGCGACTACCCCTTTGATTTAGGTACCTTCGGACGACCCATCACTACCACCAGCCCCGACGCCCAGATCTGGTACAATCGTGGTCTCTCCTGGGTCTACTCCTTCAACCACGACGAGGCAGCTACATGCTTCGAGCAAGCTATCGCCCACGATGAATCGTGTGCCATTGCTTATTGGGGTTTAGCTTACGCTCTTGGTCCAAATTACAACAAGTCATGGGAATTCTTCCGCGATGACCTGAAGACCACTTTAGAGCGCACCTACCAAGCTTGTCAGAAGGCAAAGGCTCTTGCTTCTAGCGCAACTCCCGTGGAACAAGCCCTAATCATGGCTATTCAAGCTCGCTTCCAGAGCGACAAGCCATCAGATTTAGATCAATACGCTGCTCAGAATCGCGCCTATGCTGACGCCATGGAGAAGGCATATCACGCGCTCGGAGAAGATCTCGACATAGCGGTTTTATATGCAGACTCCCTCATGAGTCTCAATCCCTGGAAACTCTGGAATTTGGAGACTGGTCTGCCGAACCCCGGTACGCGGACTTTGGATGCAAAGAATGTACTAGAGAAAGCACTTAAGCACTCTGATGCATACCGACACCCGGGTCTCCTGCATTTGTATATCCATCTAATTGAAATGTCACCAACCCCAGAGCTGGGCTTGGTGCCAGCTGATTATTTACGTGAGCTCGTCCCGGACGCTGGTCACGCAAACCACATGCCCGCGCACTTGGATGTCCTGGTCGGAGATTATCGCGCTGCCATACGCGCTAATCAGCGTGCTACCTTTTCCGATGAAAAGTTCATCCGTTATGAGGGCGTGATGAACTTCTACTCGAATTATCGCATGCACAACTATCATACGCTTATCTATGCAGCGATGTTTGCGGGCCAGAAGCATGTGGCCATTGATGCTGTAAATCGCATGGAAAAAACTCTCCCGAAAGAGTTGCTTGTCAAAATGGCAGACTCAATTGAAGTCTTCATGTCCATACGACCACACGTCATGATTCGCTTCGGTATGTGGGACGAGATTATCAGCCTCCCACTTCCGGAGGACCCAGTACTTTACTCTGTCACCATTGCAAATATATACTACGCGAAAGGTATCGCATGTGCAGCGACCGGCAACATTGCTGAAGCCGAAAAATTCCGAGGCCTCTATACCGACGCAGCCAAGCGTGTCCCCAAAACTCGTCTGGATTTTCCGAATCGGTGTGTCGATACCCTAGACATCGCGGCTGCTATGTTGGATGGCGAGATAGAATACAGACGCGGTAATTACACCAAAGCATTTGAACACCTCCGTCGCTCAATCGAATTGGACGATGGTCTGGGATATAAAGAGCCGTGGAGCTGGATGCAGCCTTCTCGGCATGCATACGCGGCCCTTCTATTGGAACAAGGTCATGTTGAAGAAGCAGCGGCCGCGTATCGATGTGATCTGGGACTTGATGATTCTGTCATTCGCGCACGTCAACACCCGAATAACGTGTGGGCACTGCAGGGGTATCATGAGTGTCTGCTTCGATTGGATCGCACTGCAGAGGCCAGGGTGATTGAGCCACTGCTCAAAATTGCTTTAGCGGTGGCAGATATTCCTATCAAGTCCTCGTGTTTCTGTCGAGCTGATACGTCACAGGAATCAGATGTAGGGAAGCTTTGCTCTGGCAGCGGTTGTCAGTGATCTGGAAAATATTTCGGCTGGTAGATTTAATAATGAACTGATCGTCTCGGAAAATTGTGGAGATTTCAAGGACATGAATTTGACTGAAAAGTCCATCGTCTGCCGTACTGTACGGAGTGCATCAGTATTTGATGTGGAGACATGAATCCGATTGGTCCCGCAATCGGCATTTGATCCGTTCAAACGCCGAACGCCACTTAGACCGGCCTCTGGCGGACCATTGCTCCTTCCTTGGGATTTCATCGAGCAGCATACAGCAGATTTTAGTGACGCCTTGATACCACTTGAGGCTCCAATCGGATATAAGGGGCCCTTGGTGGAAACCAGTCACTTTACCTGATAAGATGCCTCGCGTACCCAAACCGCCCGTAAAAGCGGCATGTCTTGCATGGTGAGTTCAATATGCAATGCTATCTTGCATTCATTACTGAAATAGAAGATGAAGTCGCTCCTCAAAAACCCGATGTGATGGACAATATCCTTGCAAGGCTGTAAGGTGAATCTAATCGACGAGCAGCAGAACTCTTATCTAACGTTAAGTGCCAGTGTTACAGCAAAACCCGAGAATGCAGCTATCAACCCAGTCGCCGAGGTGGAGCTCGTAGAGGTATTCGATATACTGAGGCGTTGCAACAACATGCTCAGGTTGATAGTGTACCATCAGAAACCCCACAGCATCGACCCTCGCCAATAGATGCTGTTGAAACTATTGGTAAGTAAATGGCAGGAGCAATGGAAGCAATGTGACTAATTCGTTCATTAGATCCATTGCTTGAGAATACTATGGGGCTTCTGGCTCCATTTGTGGGTATTCATAATCTAGATACTTCCCCAGACGTACTCTCAGACACCGGTGAAGCTCTCCAGTTATGGGGTCAACTCACTCCAGGTGATGATGGCACATTTGCCTCGCCATCTATCAATGATACGGATCTACCTGCTATTCGAGCTTATCAGTGCGAAGACGACATGTAAGTGAGCCAAATGAGAGTTTTGGCTTCATGCTAACAATATAGCAGTCTCAATGCCTACTATATCTACATGCACCCCTACTTCCCGTTGCTTCCGCCACCACCGAATCCACAATATGAGGATCGATCTACTTTTTTCCAACCATCAAAACAGTTCGATGAACCAAAGAAGAGTGATCTACCTTATTGGCCAGTATCATCATTGAGTCTCGCATTATCAGCTATCCTAGTTCTCATCCCACCTATTCCTGATTCATCTTCTATGAATGAACCTGCCGTCTTTCTAAGGCGGTCCTATGCTCAGCTCTTCGCACAGGCGGCGTTGATCAGTGTTGAGAGAGAGATCGACGAGCTAAGTCCCGCATCAAGCATTAATATTATCGGCGCCAGTCCCTCCCAAGAGCAGAGTGCACTCCATCCCAAGATTCCACTTCAATTGGATCCAATTTTGGCTCTTGTCGTTCTTGCAATGTATGAGTATTGTCAACGAGGCAATGTATCGAGAATGCGAGCTAGGATCAACCATGCTATCACCACAGCAATGGATCTCTGCCTTCATGACCTTGGCTCAACCTCGACAGAATACTCAGAGGCTCAAAGACGCGCATGGTGGATGATAGTGAGTTAAGTTCAAATTATGTCATACTCCGGCCTAATGTGGTTTTAGATGTTTGTGGCATACTTATCTTCGAATTTACATCTTTCGGTATGACTCTGCACTCTCCTCTACTCTTACCCCAGGTGCTAATGGAGGAATATAGCCCCCCATCGTTGCCTCCGATGATCCGCGAATCACCACCCCTCTTCCCCGATTTGGCGTTAATCTGGAGGTATTCAAATTCTCTTTATATCCTATAATGAATATCCTGCTAACTAGACATAGCCGTGGGGACTTACAATTAGGGTTCAAAAGCTTCTCTATGCCGCCCATTCCATGGTTCAAAAGATTGAAAGCGTCGCCGACTCACCAGTTCTTTCCAACCTCGGCGAGGAAATAAAGAATCTCGATTCCCAAATTGTGATTTTGATGATCGAATCAGATCAAACTCTACGAGAGACATTCGATTTCGAGGGTGAATCCTACATTGCTGAGAATATGTGGCGAATCAGCCGTATAATGATCAATACGTAAGACACTCTCAAGGAATTTGGGGTCATTAAGCGCATTTAGACTAACCATATTGCAGCGCTCGAATTCGTCTTCACCGCTTCAGAGCCTTTATAGATATTCCTCTTTTCCTGGACCGATACTGTGATCTCATCTCGATCAATAGTCACGGCTTCTCCCATCCCTCTCCTTCCAGTGTTGCCCATTGGCATTCCACGTTCCCATTCACAGAACAAGAGTCCTCCAAAATTTGTCTCAAAGCTTCTCTGGTAATAGCAAACGCGTTTCGCAGTTTACCCTATCCCCACCCCTGTGGACCGGAAACCTGCAAAAGAGGATCTTTGAATCGAAGAGTCATGGTGCGATCTTCGTGCTGTGTGGGTGGGGCTCCCCGGACCCTGCCTTTTCTTGGGTGCAGTGCGATGCAGGGAAGTTACACTTTACTCATGCTCTTCCATAGAGTACGCTCCTGCCTCGAGTCGGGCCGTTTGGCATCTTGTTATCATCTGCTAGACAGACCGGAGTCAGCGACTGAGATATCGGATGCTGAGCGTCTGATCGAAGAATTGCGACATGCAGTGGAATCTTTGGGGATCCCTTTAAAACAGGATAAGATTTTTGAGGGCGTTGCAGGCGTGGGCCAAGAGATTGAAAGTGCTTATTTGGCTGCTTTTCCGGACCATTCACAGATTTCTGCATAGGCATAACATTGATGTCATTTCCTCTATTACAATCAAGGGGTCTCAGCTCTGTATTTTGCCGAAATCAATGTAAACTTCGTCTGGAAAGTCCCATGCCTTTTCTATGATATCTAACAAAACCTCCAACTCAATTCTTGATCAAATGTTTGTTCACTGGAGTGAGCGGATCCTGGCCAGTCAACACGCGTTGAACGTTCTCCATCGCCAATCGCTCAAACCCGATCTGAGTCTCAGCTGCACCACCGGCAGTGTGAGACGTGAGCCTGTAAAGGCAACCATTTTAGCGAACACTCCGCGATTCAATCTTCACAAAGAAATAAAAACTTACGTGACATTCCGCATCTTTATAAGCTCCTGGTTCACGCTCGGTTCATTTTCATGCACATCCAAGCCCGCAGCTGACAAGTTTCCCGACTTCAAAGCATCAACCAAAGCGGCCTCATCAACCAAGGTTCCCCGGGCGATGTTGACAAACTTGCCTCCCCTCTTGAACTTAGCCAAGGTCTCCTTGGTGATAAGTTTAGACCCACTGAATGGGGTAGCCAGAACAATACAATCTGCCACAGCAATAAGCTCGTCCAATGTCGCACAGTAGGAAGCGCCGATAGCTTGTTCTTGTTCAATGGGCTTTCGGTGGATGTCTTGGTAGTAGATCTTCATGCCGAAGCAGGCGTATGCCTTTCGGGCGATAGCACTGCATACGTCAGTGAAATTCTCTAAGCTCCCTGTCTGGAGGCTCATACTAGCCAATGTTTCCAAGGCCGATTATACCCAAGATCTGTGTTTGCGGGTTGTGTGCGGTGAATGCGGTGTTCTGATGCGCCTCAAGCCAGAGCGCCGGGTCACCTGAACGAGCGCCGTCCATAGACCACTGCATATTGCGAAAGACGGAGATGATGTGGAAAATAGCCTGTAAGATTATCATAATAGAATTAGACAATTGCTCTAGTTATTTCTGTGGATCACTATGTCATACCATATCAGCTACAGCTTCGCTCGATGCCTGCGCTCCGTTACAATAAATGATCCCTGTGAACGCGTTAATACAAGACGAGGTGAAATGAGGTCAGTGGCTTCACCATGTTCAGCTAGTATATCAACATCCATCCAGTCATAGCCTGCACCGGCACTCCCGTACACCTTGAGGGATGACGGTAGCAATGGGATTAATTCAGCATCCCAACGACCCATTTCACCGCCGGTATTCCAGAATGGACGAAAGACACCCTGAAAGTCTCCCCATTTTTTCTCTTTCAAGGCTTTCAGGAAAGCATTTCGTTGTCTTTCTTCTAAAGAGGGGCGAATTACTGTAAATTCCTTTGCTATCTGATCATAAAGTTCCTTATTGAACTCGATGGGATCTCCAAGATGGAGGATGGTAGGCTTTTCGAGATTCATTTTGGCTGTTATGAAGGCAGACAGCTGTAGGTATGATGCTGGAAAGAGAAATCCAAGTTGTACATATGAGGGGAAGCCCACAACATATGTAGCTCAATGCATCCCCGCACGCTCGTGTCGAGGGCGGCGTGGGACCTTTCAAGTTAGCCTAGATCGGCGAACAAGTCCCAAGGCCATTTTGATCCAGCAATTAATATACCATTTACCAGTTAGATCACACGACGGCATTTACCCGAGTCTACGGAGGGGAAATGTGGAAGTTTTCTCGGTCTTACGCCGGAGACTTGCCGATCCGGAGAGGAAGCCGTTGATGCCTCGCCCCGAACTTAATGCGAGAAGCTGATTTTCGAACGCACCACCGAATAGGTGAAATATGCAGTCATATACCTGGCTTGTAAAATGGTTACTAACATGGATATAGCTTATGGTATAGAGGATGCCATACCTGATAGAGAGAAACTAAAAGCATAGTAAGATCGCATGTATTGATACACATACTATAGGGCATGACCGCGTACCTGGGTTTTGTGTGACTCATCTATTAGACTGAAACTCAAGAGTTCACGTAAAAATTGTATCAGAAGGCACTAAGAAACTATGGGGCAATTTGATAGTAACTCATAATTGAACATGCATCAGTCGATGATATAATTTAGAGTTGCGAAGGGAGGTACAGAAAGCAAAATCAGTATAAGTATATTTTTGGCAGCTCTCTTAGCTCATACCCGGGCAGAACTCACTTCATGAATGCCCGGGTTGTTCCCTCTAGGAGGCTCTTATTTATGTGCTCTAGACCAATTCAGTCAACCTCACTTGTTACCTACAGATGGGTATTTTGCTTGTTCAATGTTTCTAGCCATCGACGTCATATAAGCACGTCTCCGTGGCGCAATTGGCTAGCGCGTCTGACTGTTAATCAGGAGGTTGGAAGTTCGAGCCTTCCCGGGGACGTTTCTTTTTGTGTTTTGATTCTTTTTTAAGCCGATATAATTATTTGTGATTTAATGCAAACCACTGATTTGAGGCTCTTTTCTTCTCATTTGCTATCAACTGAGGAATTGGCATAGTAAATCAGATCAGACAGACGCGATGCATGGGGGGTCATGGTTGCTAAACAGCCAGCCCATTTTGACACTATGAAAAGCGAGTCTAATTGGATGAAAATCGTTGAGAAGATTTCGTCTTATAAGCTACCATTGTTTATATGAATTTTCAAACTCAGTTGTGTCTATAACCCATTCCAACTGTCCGATCTACATTTGTATCGGGGAAACAGTTTGGCCGACGTCCGAATATCAATCGCGAAAGAGTCAACTGATCTGTCAACGTCAGACTCTCGATGGCGGGGACAAGTGCAATCTCGGTCGCGCACTTTACCGAGCACTTCCGCCTGGCATGGTCGGGGGTAAGAGGCATTGCCCCTCATGGCCTTCAAAGTGTGGCAGGGGACGTGGTTCACCTACCGCGACGGATTGGTAAGTTCCATTCAGTGACCAATAGTAAATACATACATTGAAGGGGCATTGTGCTAACTATGACATTCAGGTCTTGCCGTCAGTGGTGGTGCGGATTCCATGGCCCTTGCTTACTTGTGCCGGCAGCTGGAACTAACACCCATCGGTGGACCCATTTCCGTTACTGCCTTTGTAGTTGACCATCGCGCTCGACCTGAGAGCGGCGATGAAGCAAAGTCCGTAAGCACATGGTTATCAAATATGGGTATGTATCTCATGAGGAGGACATTTTTCAACAAATGAAATACATTCAATTTGTGATTTTACACAACTGCGTGCTAATACCATGCAGGTATCAAGACCCAAGTTCTCAAATTGGACTGGTCGCCGTACTCAAAGGATTTGGAAAAGTCTACGCAAAATAATGCAAAGGTACCAATGCCAAGTGCCTTTGAAACGCATGCCCGACGGCTACGATATCAAGCCCTTGGCACAGCCTGTCGCAGCAAAGGGATCAATGCCCTACTCATGGGTCATCACCGAGATGATTCCATCGAGACAACCATTTGGCGTCTAGCAACAGGTGCTCGCCGCGCCGGTCTCGGTGGTATTCAAAGCATAGCTCGTATTCCAGAATGCCACGGTCTCTTCGGAGTCTCCGAAAGCGGTTCATCAGTCCTACTACCCGAGCCCGAGTCTGCTGCTGCTCAAGTCACAGAGAAAACTGCAGTTCAACCAGCCCGGTCTTTTCAAAAAGCAACCCTATTAGATTCGAGGGGATCAGCCATCGCAACGGGTGGAATATTCCTTTGTCGACCCCTTATCTCTTTCTCCAAAGCCCGACTGCTAGAGACTTGCCACCAAAATAATATTCCCTATGTCTCAGACCCGACTAATTTCGATCCGACCTTAACTCCTCGGAATGCGATTCGCAGCATGCTGGCATCCAACTCTCTACCTCGTGCACTTCAGGGACCCCGGATCCTCTCTCTTATCCGTTCCAGCCGGGATCTCCTACAGATATCATCAAGTCTGTCAGACCAGCTCCTTGCATCGAGATGCCGAATCCTCGATATAAATCTCAGATCGGGCACAATGACTATTCAGTTCAGAAAGATTCCTACATGGATGGATCCGCTATTAGTTCAGACTTCCCCCGAACGAGCCCGGCAAATCCAGGCTCTTACGCTCCGGCGCATAACGGAGCTGGTCTCCCCATTCCCAGGAAACCATTTTTCACTACGCAGCTTTGCGCCATTCGTTTCTCGCATGTTCGGCTCCGCTGAAGAGAAAGATATCCAGGACACTTCGCCGAAGCAGTTCACACTAGGGGGTGTGATGTTCACGCCTGTGTCTTCATCATCTGGCAATACATGGCTTTTTTCACGTCAGCCGTTCATGAAGAACCGATCACCTGTCACCTCTATGGAAGTCTTTTTGCCGAAACCGGCTGAACTAGTCTCAAATCCCCGGCCAAAATACTCCCAGTGGACACTCTGGGACGACCGATACTGGCTCCGCCTCTCTATTGCGCCGCGAGGCAAACATCAAGCAGATTCTGAAGACAAGGCCTGCCAAGAGAGTGTTTCTTTCACGATAAGACCGCTCCAGGAACCTGATTTCCAGACTTTGCGCAACGAACCAATCAAAAAAGGACGCAAGAATATTCCTCCTGGAGTCCTTGTGACGCAGTTGCGCAAATTTTTGTCCGGCCAGGCCCCAGGTCCAACCCGATATACACTTCCTGTTTTGTTGCAAGAACAATCGAATGCTTCCGACCTACCAGAAACTCAGGAAGTCGGCAAGTTATTGGCATTGCCGGTCCTGGGCTTCGATCTGTCAGGTCTTCGTAAAAAAAACCATGTTAATGAAACGGAAATCATTGCAGGAGGCAGAACATGGATACTCAAGTGGGAATGGATGTATAAGATGGTTGATACCGATGCATTGCGCCTGATGGGCAGGCCAGTAGAAGCTGAAGCAGCTAGTGTACAATAATGGGATAAACACAAATAAATCCTGCCCGACTTGATCTTCGGTACTATGCATGACACAAAATAATTTGTTCGTATGAGGCTGAAAAGTGACAGAGAAGGTCAAAAGATACAATAATGAGGACTCTTCGGCTTCCAGTGATGGACGTTCAGAGCTACAGAAGGAATGGTGTATGTTTGTGGTATCACGGAATGAAAGGAAAGTGATATGCAGCGTACAATGAGGCTGGAAAGAACGAAAAGGAAGAAAAGGGAATGTATCAGGTTATTAAAGGCATATTGGGCATTGCTGTATGGTGATCATTGATCGCTTGCTCTCGTTAGAGCAACGGCAGCCTGTTGTGCCCGAAGACCTCCGACCTCTCTCTTGAGTCGAAAATTCTCTTTTTTCAGGCGACTGATCTCCTCTAGGGCATTGTTCAGTTGGGCTTGCAAAGACTCTTCTGCGCTACCCGTCCGCACATCCTTTGAGAGTTTGCTGAGCTCCGAGTTGAACCGATCGTAGAGGGCCTCGTTCTCTGCACTGGCCTCACGGTACAACTCGTCCAGCTTCTTTACGCGTTTTTCGCTGACAACCAGAGATGACTCTACATCTCTCTCTAAAACAGCCGTGCGTCCATTGTACTCACCCACGAACTGGTCAAATCGGGTTTCCAGCATGCGGAAACGACTCTCCAGCGCTGCACCTCTTTCTGAGGTTGGCTGAGACCCTGCGGTTCCCTCATTGGTCTCCATATTAGATTCCTTTGGCGGCGTTAGCCTCAAGGCATGCATCTCATTGCCAAGGGCTGTCAGCTCGTCTCGAAGACCGATTTGTGCAGTAGCTTGAGTCTTTTTCTCCGTCTTCACGCGTTCACGAAGCTATATGGGGGGAAACATTAGCTATAGAACTTGAATGTTTACATGGAGCAGCCACTAACCTTCTGTGAGCTTTGCAATCGCAACTTTGGAGTTCTTTGAGCTGAGGACGAAGATTGCGGACGCTTATTTTCCGTGTTGGCCGTGGGTCTCTCTCGGAGTCCTGGTGTTCGCTGAGGAATGCTAGTCGCGCGGGATCGCCTCTTCAATTCCTGAGTTGGCGATTCTGGAATGACACGCGAAGTCTTGGCAGCTCTCTCGGATTGGGGCATCTGAGGATCAATGTTCTCTTTCCTACTGGGGGTCGAAGGGCGTGTAGGCGACATCCTTCGAATAGGTGATCCTAAGCGGGCAGGAGAGGTTGCTTTCGCCGGTGATGTACCTCTCGTAGGTGATCTTGACAAATAACTACTATGTGGCCTTGGTGGCTGGCTAGTCGGTGTAGCTGGCTCGGCTCGAGGGCGACTGATCGGAGTAACAGGGCGTAGTTGGTGGGTTGGGGAGACATTGGAGATACTGGAAATATTGGAGGCCTCCGAAGACGCGGTTTGGGGGCGTAGGTCTGACAGAGAGCTCCGCCTTTTTCGGCGAACCTTCACGACGCTATCATGCGATATTCCCCTCATAGAAGACAAAGATGGGGTCTGTCCGTGGCCAGTGCCTGGTCTTGATATTTGCTCCTCGGATGAAAACCCGAACGGGCGATCGCGCGATGTGGGCCGAAGGAAACCCAGGCGTGCATCCACATCGGTGGACTTGGAGCGTAACAGAGATCCCTTGGGGGTGTTAGGCTCTGAATCAGCCGGGCTTTGTCTCTTGCTCAGTGTTCGCAAGATCGAAGCAACCTTGCTTTCACCCTCACTCTTCTGGCTGTCCTTGTGAAGGCTGAATCCGAAGCGCTTCCGGAATGAAGAATTATTTGAACCCACAGACCCAGTATTGGCCTGTGATGTCTTGGTTTGGGATTGATCACTGGTCAGTGTCCCTTCGACTGAGGCTCCACTGGGGATGAATTCCTCGAAGAGATTGTCGAAGTCCTCAACAAGTCTATCCAAGAGTGATACGTGATGTACAGGGTCACCATCCTCTGTGAGAACCTCAGCGAAGGCCATTGTCAATGCTCCACGGTCCCCATCGTTCCCAGATGCGTCTAGCAACTCCGCAAGCAGCCGGATGATAGCAGCCAAGGCACGGCGATTTTGTGGACTAGTATCTGCCAAAAACTTCCGAAATTCTTCATCAAAATCACGAGGAAACATGGTGTCAAATTGACTTTGAAGCTGCCGCAAAGACGATTTGTCCAGCACAGGGCCCATACTCCGCTTCCACGCGTTTTTCATGAAAGTTTCAAAAGCAACAAACAAGGTGTCAACGGGCACTTCTGCAGCAGCTTGGAGTTTGCAGGGGTCTTCCAGGAGGATATTATATAGCTCATTCACTGGAGAGCGGTCCGCAGCCTCTCTAGCGCGAAGCATTCGCCCAAGGATATTCCCACTTCGAGACTGTAAAGAGAGCACGTAGGCTGCGAAGGTTTGCTCCAGCGATCCAAGTTGGCCATCAGGGCCTCGTGCGGCAGGCGTCCCAACCACGGATATCTTGTTAGACGTTTCTCCTTTCTCTTTTTCTTTATCTTTGCCAGGAAAGGTGGAAGGCAGAGTGTTCGATCTGGAAAGATTGCCCCTCGGGGGAGGCATTTTAGGAAATTCACCCAACAGAGTCGCCGAGTTTGGCTGCTTGATAGTCGGAACATTTTCACGGCTGCCTCCCAGTAAATTGGATATCAGCTTCGTTGGTGAAGGTGGTCGGAATCCACGGGATGCTTTGGCTTGGGTGATCAAGCTGCTTGCAATGTATCGAATAAGTTCAAAATTAGACTGAACCAATGGAGTCATAATTTTGGGGTTCTGTGGACTGTGTAGAGGTGAAAGAAGACTTTGCATGCGTCTTGAAAGTGTTGAGATGAATGTGTCTGCCGACACCAGATCCGTTGAAGGGGCACCAATCACAGAGTCCACATCCATTCTAAACTGATCGCCGTTGGGAGGAGAAATAGATATGACAACCTCCAAGTGAGTGCTTCTCAGCATTTGAATCGAGTTTCCTTTCGGCTTGTCAAATACCACGCGTATGGGAGACGAGTAGACATGATTGAGAGCCTCAGTCTGGCCGTCTTCGCACACACAGGCTAGAAGATTGGTTGTTCCCAGAGCGGCAGCAGGGCTCCGCAGTGTCCATTTGTCACCTTCTCGCTCTTGTTCTGAATAGCGGCCTTCAATTTTTGCTTTTGCAATTTCCTCAATCAGTCGACCGGCCTTTCCTTCATACGTCGATGTCAATTCTAGGGCAATAAGATCAGCGCCGCTGTCGAGGGGGTCTGAACCTGATTGGTATGAGGCTGGCACGATATACAATATCCGACCGCATGCCGATTGCATGCAGCGCACAGTATGAAGCTCTAGAACTTGAGCAACCTTGAGCTCGGATGGTGGTAGGTTCATAGAGGTATCAGTAGTTGAAGACGCGGCATTATCAATGTCTGCCAGCACGCCACGTGCGGTGCTTCGACTGTCTGCGCACTTTGCAAGTATCACAAGACAGTTTCGGTAGAGAAGTACTATCCCAGCTCCAGGGCCTGTTGCTTGCCCATCCAGTTGGTATGGAACAGTGACCTCATCGACATCAACTGCCGTTATCAAGCGGCCATCTGGAAATACTTTTGCTGGCCAGCTATCAACAAGCTCCCTCAAACGACGGAGGCTCTGTGCATGACCAGATGGGGAGGAATTCTCCAGAGCACAAATATCTTTCACCATGTCTCGAGCTTTCAGCAGAGGACGCACAGCAGGATGAACCAGGGGCAGGCTGCCTGTCATGGTATCAATCAATAAACTGTAGCGAGGAAGCCGCTGAACGGGCTCCATCAGAAGAGACCGCAGCCTCTGTTCTCCTGTCTCATAGACTCGCCTCGAAAAACTGGAGTTCTTATCCCGCATGAACGAGTTAAGTATCTGAGCAAACCCATTGTGTGCCCTCATGTATTCAGCATATGGTTGGGAGAATTGTGGCAACCAATCGAGCAATGCTTTTGCAAATTCGGCGGCGCCAATTGCATCCCTATTCTCCCGTGCTGCGCTTCGGCGCGGAGGAAGCTCAGTGTCTTGCCCGATATCTTCGAGTGCGTCTTTCTCTGTGTCATCGAGGACCTGCCGAATGACATCTAGGAATCCAAGATTGACTTCCAAGATTTCATCCAGACATGGCGGAAAGAGGGTTTCTAAGGCTGCCTCGTCCGGACTGGTACTGGACGGACCTCTTCCTTGAGCTTTTTGGCGGAACTCGTCCGCAACCTCATGCACGAGCGAATATAATTTGGCAACATATCGCTCCTCGGTATCCACAAGTTCACACATGGTAAGACGAACAGATTCCTTCTGGCCACGTGTGAAAATCCTGGATTTGCTCACATTAGTTGATTGTGACGGCGCACGTTTGAGACGCGATGTTGGTAAAAACATGGGGTCCCCAAGTGCCATAATAAGAGGTGTATATTGGCCATATTGGAGGTTTTGTGATTCTTCCATGTCCGAACCGGCGCTTTCTCTTCTCTCGGAGTGTTGTATAGTGCCGGCTGGTAGAACAACGTCGAGGTCAGTCCAAGGGACTTTTCGTTCATGGAATGAGTTGCGAATATCCCGAATAATTTCCGTCGAGTCTTCCACTTTTGTCATACGGCTGGCTAGATCTGCGGCGTGCATCTCGTCAAATAACTTCGGTAATTTTCCACCTTGTCGCGCCGGCTGTGACCTTTCAGCCAAAAGGGATTTGAGAGGACTCGACAACTCGGCAAAGTATTTCAGCATGCTCACGGCAAGTGCGCGACAAACTGCATCGCCTTGTCTTTCGCGGGGTAGGTGGTTCACTGCTGCGTAAAGCGGTGCAGCAGGTGAAATTGTTATTCGAGTGTAACTTTGGAACCCTGCGGGGCTGAAAATATGCGCCTGAATGCGCGAACTGCTTACGGTGGCATTGGCGGTTGCAACGGGGCCATAAAAAACGAGGACGGAGGAGAGGTAGGAGTCGACAGCATGGTAAAGACTGAGGTGTTCCAGCGGGATGTCCGACAGATTGGTGCCTGCGGGCGCACCTGCATTGGCCGTCATGGCGGTTGGGTTGCACTTGCCTTGCAAGTGGACCGTGGGCGGAAATAGGAAAGCAAGAGAAGGTGTCTGATGTAGCTGGAGCAGGGGATAGAAGGAGCGACAGAACACAAGGAAAGCGCAGTGGGCGCACGGAGTTGGAAAGAGGGCGATGTGAAAGTGTCAACAGTCCATTTGAAGAGATGGAAAAAAGGATCAAAAGCAGTCGCAACACTCGCAGTCCCCCTCCATACAGCGGCAAGTCAAATAAGGACCACCACTTCTTCAGTTGGCTGCGAGCGCATAGAATGCGACAGAAGGAGAGTTGTTTTGGGCGCAAGCGGGGGATATGATAGCAGTGCGATAGGGCGATAACTGGGCCTTGGCGCCTGGAGGCTCGTGGAGTGTTTACGTTTGTCCGGCCAACGCGTCCCCGTTGCTCTCCCCAACCACCTGCAAGGCTTGTCTGACAAGTCACATTGGAACATGAGAATTGCAATTTAAAATCCCCCTGGCTTCACTTTACAGTAAGTCGTCTGGCTTAAGTACAGTAGAATGCTAGTCGGAATCAAGTGCTGTTGTTTTGGGTTTTATGTGGACCACAGCTGGAGATACCCAACACTCTGGGAGTGACATTGAGGATCCTTAGAACTATTGGTGTCACAATTAAGCATATTCCAAAGTCTCGCTTCGGAACTTTTAAAAGAAACAAAGCAATCATCAACAGCACATGTGTTGACTGTCTCATGGTTCTAGGTCCACATGATGGGTCTCTAGTGTCTTGGATCTGCCCCGAAGAAGCTATATATAAACAAACCGATAGTGGCTCCCCCCAAACAACTCCACTTACATTACTCTAGTGACCCATGGATCCCAATGTACATTGCCCTTACTAAGGTACCACGAGAATCGAGACTCGTTTTTCAATAATTGCTAATCAGTTTAGAGTGATGCTTCTGCAGGGCCCACATACCTCCTTCATACAATCAGGTATCAAGGTACACTGTGGCTACAGAAAATGCAGGTGAACAAAAAAACCTTGGAAGGAGGCTATTATGCCCGAGACATTGGCCAGCGGATAAAAAGTCCACTCCAATAGGTAGAGAGGTGTTAACAGTTACACAAATTGAAAAATTTGCGAGCATCATCGCCATTTTATAGTCCACTTTCTCATTGTGTGATATTCTGTGGCAAGTGTAATACAGACATAATACCGGAGCTTGGTAGTATTATCCAATGAAAAGAGTTGAATACCGGATCTTCGGAATCACCTGGTCTTGACCCCTGACGAAGGCGGTGAGCGGGCGGGGAAGACGCTAGGCTCAGACAGGCAAGCAGCAGCTCATCGAGAGACCAGCTGTTTGTTCGCCGATTTCCGATTCCTCGGTGACACCATAGGGCTCATCTCCCGGTCGAGATGCTCGATTCCACCATGTCAGAGCCTTTACCTATCGCCATAGACCCCGTGGCCCTGGTGACCACAGAATGTATCACCGTTACCTCGTCTATGCGGAAGCATGCCCGCTGGGCACACTCCTCTGTCTCCGCTATCCTGGGCGGCAATGGAGGCACCCGTGTATACGATCGCGATTCCTCCGCGCCTCCGAGTCCGCGCAAAAGCCCACAATCACCCCGCCAAGATGATGATCATGCCTTGGCCAATCGATGGGGCCTGCGAGGGAAGAAGGGGAAGAGCATGCAGGATAATCCGTTGATATCGGCCTTTACCCGCCTGCGAAGTGATCTCAAGGGCTGCAAAGACATCCGCACTTTCGATACCCCGGCTTTGCTTCATCCTTTCTTGCAGGTCATCCGCTCCTCTTCGACCTCCGCAGCCATTACCTCCCTTGCCCTGGTTGCCGTGACCAAGTTCTTTTCCTACAACATTGTCAACCGGGACTCACCTCGACTCCCGATGGCAATGCAGCTTCTTTCCGCCGCCATTACACATTGCCGATTCGAAGCAAGCGACTCTTCTGCCGACGAGATTGTGTTGCTAAGAATCTTGAAGCTGATGGAAGGCATGCTCTCTCGACCAGAGGGGGAGCTGCTGGGGGACGAAAGCGTCTGTGAAATGATGGAAACAGGCCTCAGCATGTGCTGCCAGAGTCGGCTGTCTGAGGTACTGCGCAGGTCTGCAGAGATGGCCATGGTCAACATGTGCCAGGTCATTTTCACACGGCTGTCACACCTCGACCAAAATATCCCGGCCGGACCAACTCCTTTCGCAGATGAAAGTATCAAGAAAGATACTTCCAATCTTAAGATGGATCCGTCTGTCAACGGTGACACAGTCGCTTCACAGCACAAGTCTGCTATGAGCTCAGATACAGCAACCGCGGAACGGGACAGTACCAGCACAGAGGGAGCTCCCGAGCAGACAGGCAATGGGGGAGCAGCAGCCGCACCACCGAGCCCACAGACTGATGATGAAAGCGAAGATATACAGCCATATTCTTTGCCCTCCATCAGGGAGCTTTTCCGGGTGTTAATTGATCTACTTGACCCCCATAACCGGCAGCATACCGACACGATGAGAGTGATGGCTCTGCGCATCATCGATGTTGCTTTAGAAGTAGCTGGGCCTTCCATCGCACGGCACCCAAGCTTGGCAGCATTGGCTAAAGATGATCTCTGCCGTTACATCTTCCAATTGGTACGTTCCGAACAATTGGCGATTCTTGCTGGGTCTCTCAGGGTTGCCGGTACTCTGTTATCGACATGCCGACCTGTCTTAAAGCTTCAGCAGGAGCTTTACCTGTCATACTTGGTGGCTTGTCTTCATCCTCGTGTTGAGATTCCCCGAGAACCCGGCATTGACCCGTCCCTTTATGAAGGCGTGCCGCAAACCCCCAAACTGGTTAAGCAACCGGCATCCCAGACAAACAGCGGCAGATCGACACCAGTTCCGGTCAAGGATCGGCAGAAACTTGGGCTGGAAGGTGGTTCACGGAAACCAGAAGCCCGTGAAGCAATGGTTGAAAGCATCGGTGTATTGTCGCGGATTCCGAGCTTCATGGTTGAACTTTTTGTAAATTACGACTGTGAAGTCGATCGAGCCGATTTGTGTGAGGACATGATTGGCTTACTCTCGCGAAACGCATTCCCCGACTCCGCAACATGGAGCACCACAAACGTACCTCCGCTCTGCCTGGATTCTCTCCTGGGGTACGTGCAATTCATTTACGACCGATTGGATGATGTACCATTACACGGAAACTACCCTCCACGAGATCGCCTGCGAACTCAGCGGAAAACCAAAAAAATTATCATCAAGGGAGCGCAAATGTTCAACGAAAACCCGAAGGCGGGAATTGCCTACCTAGCAGAGCATGGAATTATTGAGGACCCGAGCAATCCTGTACTGGTAGCTCGGTTCCTAAAGGGCACAAGTCGATTGTCCAAGAAAGTCCTTGGAGATTTCATCTCAAAGCGTGACAATGAAGCATTGCTGGGCGCGTTCGTGGATCTTCTCGACTTCTCAGGGAGAAACGTAGTGGAGGCACTCCGCGAGTTGCTGAGTTCCTTCCGTCTGCCGGGCGAGTCGCCGCTCATTGAACGAATCGTCACAACATTTTCAGAGCATTATACCGAAAAGGCGCAGCCAGAAGGAATTGCGGACAAGGATGCCCTGTATATTCTGACTTATGCCATAATCATGCTGAACACGGAGCTTTATAATCCCAATGTGAAGTCACAAAACCGCATGTCGTTCCCTGCTTTCGCTAGGAACTTGCGCGGAGTCAACGGCGGCGGCGATTTCACGGAGGAATTCCTCCAGGAGATCTACGATTCTATCAAGGAGAACGAGATCATTCTTCCTGATGAGCATGAGAACAAGCACGCCTTCGATTACGCTTGGAAAGAGCTTCTTCTAAAGTCGTCAAACTCTAGCGATATGGTCGTGGGGGAGACCAACATGCACGATGCCGACATGTTTGAGGCTACGTGGAAGCCAGTAGTGGCAACCCTATCTTACGTTTTTATGTCCGCATCAGATGATGCAGTTTACTCTCGTGTTGTCAATGGTTTCGACCAATGCGCTCAAATCGCAGCCCGGTATGGCTTGACTGAGGCGTTCGACCGTATTGTCTACTCTCTGGCATCTATCAGCACATTGGCGACCAATAAGCCTCCGAGTACTGCGCTTAACACTGAGGTGCAAGTAGGCAAAAAGAGTGTGATGGTCAGTGAGCTGGCTGTAAAATTCGGAAGGGACTTCCGAGCTCAATTGGCTACTGTCGTTCTGTTTCGAGTTCTATTGGGCAATGAGTCTGCACCCAAGCAGGGCTGGGAGCATGTTGTCAGGATTCTCAGCAATTTATTTATCAACTCCTTGATCCCGCCCTTTGACTCTACGCTCACGGCCGAGCTTGACGTCTCTTCTATTCCATTACAACCCCCATCGCAAGTGGTGGATCGTGACAACCGTAGCAATGACTCAGGGTTACTGTCTGCATTCACGTCTTACCTGTCCAGTTATGCAGCTGATGATCCTCCGGAGCCGTCAGACGAGGAACTTGACAACACCCTTTGCACAGTAGACTGCGTTACTGCATGCTCGATATCCGAAATATTAGCCAATTTCAAGTGAGTGATGTGCCTATTAAGATTCTAACCAGCCTGCTAACTTGCGACAAGAACTCTCCCTCTGTCATCTCTAGTGAAGCTTGTGGAGGCTTTGCTGTCGCAATTGCCAGAGGACAATGCACCTGCTGTCATCGTTGTGAAGCCAGAACGGCCGAGTCCCGTATCAAGGCCCACAAGTGCCAGAGTTGATCCTAACCAGCCGAAATATGACCCCGCCATGATATTCAATTTAGAGTTGGCAACTGTGCTCACTCTTCGCGATAAGGAAACCCTTGAGGCCCTGGGCGAATCACTTGCGACTACCCTACAGACGCTAGTGCGCGATGCCAAAAACCTTCATCCGTTGACGGTATCACGCATCGTCTCTTATCTGCTCAACCTCTTACGACTCAGCCATGTAAGTATTTCTATGTTTGTGGTGTTGCACATTGTCTAACTTTTCATAGGACGAGCATTTCCTTCGAGTACCTGTTGTGCTCCACGCTATCTCTGGATATGACCAAGATATCTTAGAAACTCTTGCTCTGCCAACGGTGAAAGGTCTTTCGCGATGTCTCGCTCACCCCGGCCGTTTAAGAAACGAGATCACGATTTCTCCCGACTTCTGGTCTATCCTTCAGAGATTGATTCAACACGAAGAGTCTGCCCCTATGGTGTTTGAACTTCTCAAGGGCATTGTGGAGTCCATGCCTGATATTGTTACGGCCGACAATTACAAGTTTACAATCTCCCTTGCAAATGACTTTGTCAGCGCGGCGCATGTGGGGTCCATTACCGAACGTCGGAGGGATGGCCACATCCGGAGAACTAAAAGTGTCAAGCAACCGAAGCCTACGTATGACAGTCTATATTATTTCACGCCAGGCAACTGCTAACGATCAAATAGCGAAAATCAAGTAGTCACCCGTGGTGTCAAGGCCATTGGTCTAATCTACCATTTGACTGGTCGAGTTCCCACGCTCATAAAACAGTCTCACCTTGAGCAACATGAAGGTTAGTCTTTATTATTTTCGGCCTCTGTCCGCGGTCGACTTTCTGACGTGCTCTAAATTATTAGCCTGGGCTGCCTACTGGTATCCGATTCTCCAAACCCTCTCTGGCCAATGTATCAACCCATGTCGTGATATTCGACACCATGCAATTTCCACTCTCCAACGAGCTCTTTTGTCTGCAGAGTTAATCTCCGGTGACGACAAGGAATGGGCCACTCTCTTCGATGAGGTCCTTTTCCCACTCATCTTGCGTTTGCTCAAGCCTGAGGTTTACCACTCCGATCCTATCGGTATGAGCGAGACCCGAGTCCAAGCAGCGACATTGGTCTGCAAGATCTTCCTGCGCTACCTCGACCAGCTTCCTAACCGCGAGGGAATGGTTCACCTTTGGCTCCAAATCCTCGACATCCTCGACCGCATGATGAACAGCGGCCAGGGCGATAGCCTGGAAGAAGCCATCCCTGAGAGCTTGAAGAATATTCTTCTGGTCATGGCCGATGGTGGTTACCTCGTGCCTCCATCCCAGGACCCTAAAAAGGAGGAAATGTGGCTGGAAACTCGCAAGCGTCTTGGAAGATTTTTGCCTGATCTGTTTGCTGAGATTTTCCCTGATGCTGGCAAGGAAGCTGAGAAATCTCAACCTGGCTCTGGAGTTGCGTCTCCAGCCAAGCAGAGCCTGGACGCAACGAAGGACAACGAGGATACTGCTGCCCCGGCAACATCTGCAGTCGAACAGACAGTGGAGGCTGAAACTGGTGCCGACGAGAGCTATGCCGCTCCCACTGAGGTTGCTTCATCTGAAGAGCCGTGAGTTCTTCTGGGTGTCTACAGTCTTCATTTCTTTGCTTTTTGCCTGCATTTACATATAGAATAGCGTTGGGGTCGCAGCTTTGGACATTGTAGTTTTGATTTTTGCCTTCTTCTCCTACTCAATCTCGACTGTAGATAAAGTGCGATCTTCCTATAGGCGCCTGATAATAGAAGAACATTTTGATTAGTGACACTGCAAGACGGTAATCAGATCAGCATGGTATCTGATAAGCCAAGACGTTAACTATGTAGACCAATTTACGCCCAATTCTGGCGCATGGAAAATCTTCGGTAGTAGCTTTTTGTCCATGTAGGAGGGTTCCGACTCGAATACAAATTACCAGACCAAGTAGCTTGGAAACCAAATCCTGAAAGAACCCAAGGCCCATGGATGATAGCTAACTAAACAAGGTATGTTGTACAACAGAGAAGAGACGCCTTATGAGAAGGTATCGGGAGAGAAGCGAGGAATGATGATAACAATAGAATGGAAAGCAGTTCATTCAATCTCAACCCTGTTCGGGTCGAGTCAATTCAAGAAAAAATAGCAAGTCGGTGCCAGACTAGAGATGCAACGGTAAAAAAACAAGGAACAATGACATGAATGTATGTCACTGATGATACTTATACTAGATGAGAAAAGAAAATTCAAAGTAGAGCGGTGTGGAAGAGATGGAACCATAGAGCTCTCAGCTCAGTGAGCAGATTTGAGCATCGTTCTAGATTATCCTTTGTGGGCAGTGGGGCATGGAAACTGCCTACTCATCCATGTCATCATCAAGGTCGATAGCATCGGGGTTTGCCGGGGCTGCGGGGGCTGTTTGACCAGCGGGTGGAGGACGGTTGCCACCTTCTGGACCGGTGCTAGCAGCAACAAAGCCAACAGGAGCACGGGCTTGGCGTTCAATGGCAGCCATGGCATCGGCACGGTCTGCATCCTCGTTGTCTCCGGCTTGCTCGTCATCTGGGCGTTGTTGGCTGCGTGCAATAGCCTGCGATGCAATGAAATTGACATCGGTGCTATAAGATTGTCAATAACTCGATTACCAGGGGTGGGAGGGGGAGAGGGAGATGAACATACTTGTATTGAGTTTGGACACTTCTCTTGATGCGAAGCATCTCCTTGAATGTGTCCTCGTTTCCGTGTTGCACTTCAAAGGCTTCCCATTTCTGCCAGAAGGGAGCATTCGTGCGAGGGTCACAGAACTGCGACGCGTGGCCGTAGATCGCACGAGCACGGTCGATTTCGCCCAGCCGGCGCTCCATCTCAGCGAACTTGAGGCACATCTCCTTGGCCTCCTGGTCAGGCAGAGCAGCGACAGCCCGCTCATAGATAGGTCGAGTGGATGTGAGACCGAAGTTGGAGGCGGATTTGGTGATGTAAAATTCGAACATTTCAAATCGGTCCTCGTCGGAAACAGCACGAGTTGCACGCTCATAAATGCGCATAGCGTGTCGTGCAAGACCTCGTTCCTCCTCCAAATTTCCGTACATCAAGTAAAGAGGTTTGGCGAACTTTGGTGGGCACCCATCTAAGGCCTGTTCGAAAAGGTCACGGAGTCTCTCAATTCCGATCTTGCGATCGACAGCCTTGGTCAGGTACAAGTTCCAGAGTTCAAAGGCAACTGGGTAACTAAACAGATCCAGACCGCGCTCGTACACCTTGAAGGAATCTTCAAAGTAATCGTTTTCTTCCAGCAGGTTTGCGTAATTGACAACAGTTTGTGGTGTCGCAATGCGAAGTTCGAAGATGCGCTCGTAAACCTTTCTTGTTTCGTCCAACGAGGACACACTCTCGACAAGATCGACATAGAAGCTCCACAACTTCCAGCTCTTATGAACTCGCTGTTGGGGAGATAAGGTCTCATCGAAGTAATCCACAGTGGACTTCTTCGGCGCCTGAGTGGCTTTGGCCATGATGCTAACAGCCTGATCAAAGTTCTCGGCGCGGAGCTCCATCTCGGCCCACTCGCACCAAGTTTCAGCGAGCTCGGCCACGGATTTGAATGGAACCTTGACGGCCTTTTCAAAGATGACTCTAGAGGTTGCCAGATCCCCGCCATTCTCATAGAGTTTGGCGTAGTTGACCCACAATTCCGAAAATTTGCCATGGGCTTTCTTGGGGTTGATAGCGGCAATCGCAGCTGTATATGTGTTGACGACTTCCTGTTTGTTATCTCCCCACAATCCTACCCTCTTCTCCCATTCAATGACATTGTTGGGGTTCTGTCGCAAAAGAACGTCATTGACTAGGAAAGGTCGTCTATCCATCAATTGCTCAAAGCGGAGCATGCGTGAGTCGAGATCAAAGTCGGCGTCTTCATCGAGTTTGCCTTTTTCAGATCGAACTGCTGCTGCTTCCATCAGGTTGCCGATGATGGACTCTTCGAATTCGACGTAAGAGTCAAAGATCAGGGTGAAGTCACGGACTGTCATAACGGTAGTGATTCCCTCCTCAAACACATCGCGTGCCTTTTCGAAGTTACCCTTGGTGATCCAGTAGGTCGCCAGACCAGCCCACAACTTTCCTCGCTGGTCTGCGAATCGGTCAATGCCGCTTCGAAGAATGGCATCCACATCGATTCCCACTTGCGGGCCTGTTTCAATATGCTTGGCCTTCGAGACCAGCAGGTCTACCATCTCAGTCCATAACTGGAAATTGCTCCTGCCGTGCTTGGACTCAAACCGCGGGTTGTCAAGAATTTCCATGAAGACCTTAACAGCCTCCGTATATTCACCCATCTCAACCAGGATATCAATATATTCCTCCGCATTCTCAGGATGAATCTGCATATACCGGGCCCAGATCTTCACGGCAGTTTGTCCAGATGCAGATCGTGCGAAGCCCTTGTATAGTCTCCAAATTCGGTTGTGCTGCGTGACTGGCAATGCACGGAGAGCTCGATCGAAAGTTCGCCGTGTTTGTGTCACCATGGGCTGTTGCATTAGAACAGTGAGGTACATCTCCCAGATACGAGGCATTTTGTTGAGGAGGATCAGAGCTCGTTCGAAGAGAGCGTTGACCTTCAGATATTCTGCACGGTAGACAGTGGGGTTGCGGCCCTTAAGATGCTTGGTTCGGAACTCCAGGTACTATTAAAAGTATCAGTCAGGAAGTCAGTTCCTTACAACCAGTTTTGAATATTTCTTACCATCTTCCATAGCTTGTATGAGCGAGGCAATTGTCGACAGGCACGCTCCATAATCTGTAAAGAGCTATGTTAGTAGTCATCCCATGGGGTTTGAGTTCTTCAGTATATGAACATACAAAAGCTTGCTCATAGAGCGTGCCATTCTGCTGTTTGAATTCGATATAAGCCAACCATGGCTTAATGCTTCCAACTTCACGTAGCAGATCTTGTTCGTAAACAGTGTCCTGGTCAGTCTGGTACAAGTTGAAGTTAGTTTTTATTAACATTTTGGGCTGAGGGAAAATAACGTGCAATGGGCGCTCACAATCAGGTAAAGGTCCGGCCGGGACGCAGATGGGCGATCCATCTGTGCGTGCTGCCGGTTTGATCTCGGGGGCAGGAGCGTCCCTGGCATAGCGCCACTCTAGTCGAGCGGGATCAAGTAGCACGTTCGCTAGTGCAGCATGAGAAAATGGGCGCAGGTGGTGAACTTCACGGGGAAATCACACTGTCGCGTCAATGAAGGATGAAACGATGAGGTCGAATGTATATCACGTGATTTTGTAGCACCAGGTTGGGTAGGCGGTATATTCCTATCGGCGTCATATCAATGTGGCCGCACGTTTACAACTGTCGTTGGTCTAGTTCTCTATTTGGTTTCTAAGCTGCCGTCATGTCCGGTGCTGTGGTAAGTGAAACCTGGCATATATCACCTCACATTTTCATATGACTAATGTTCTTTCTTGCAGGGCCGAGAGCCAGTCTTCCCGACTCGCCAATCACTGGGGTTGATGAAGAGCAAGCTGAAGGGAGCTGAGATTGGACACAGCTTGTTGAAGCGAAAGAGTGAAGCATTGACAAAGTAGGGCCTTCGTATCATTTTGCATCTTTACAGCTCCGCTAATCACTGATATCTTCTGGTAGACGTTTCCGAGGTATGATATCTTGAGTCGGGTCCTCCCCGCATCCCGCATTCCCATTCCCTAGGAGTTAATTCCAATTCGCAGAAATCACACGTCGCATCGATGAGGCTAAGCAAAAGATGGGTCGGGTCATGCAAATTGCAGCCTTCTCCCTGGCCGAAGTAAGCTATGCAGTTGGTGGCGATATCGGGTACCAGGTTCAGGAGTCCGCCAAACAAGCTCGATTCCGAGTGCGCGCAAAGCAGGAGAACGTCTCCGGTGTCCTCCTTCCCCATTTCGAGAGTTATACACAGGATGGTATCAATGACTTTGCTTTGACGGGCCTTGGTAAGGGTGGACAGCAGATCCAGCGCTGCCGGGAGACATATGCACGCGCCGTCGAGACGTTGGTGGAGCTAGCTAGTCTACAGGTATGGAGAGTGGAGCACCAGCATTATCTGCATAATTCTAATGGCTAATATCTTTAGACTGCTTTCTTGATCTTGGATGAGGTTATTAAAGTTGTCAACCGAAGAGGTAAGCCTAAACGATCTCGTTGCCCGTGTTTATAAAACTGACTCGTCTTCTAGTGAACGCCATGTGAGTTTCATTCAACAACATAAGTGGTAAGCTATCATACACAGTACTAACATCTTGCGCCAGTGAACATGTCATTATTCCTCGAACCGAGAACACCATCAAATGTTTGTACTACCTCCTCTACGATCAAAATCACAGCACTAATTCAAACCCTATAGACATCAACTCTGAGCTCGACGAACTGGATCGCGAGGAATTCTACCGTCTAAAGAAGGTTTCGGGCAAGAAGCAGCGCGACGTTGCGGCTGCAGACGCCGAAATGCTGGCTGCCCGGCAAAAGGAAGCCGAGAAGCAAGCACAAGAGGGCACACCAGCCCAGGAGGCGAAGGAGGAGGATGTCGAAACCACGGATGTTCTGGGCGAACAAGAAGACAACGATGTTATTTTCTAGGGATTTTCTTTTCTTTGCATCTTTTATTTCCCCCATTTCGGGCTACATGTATTGTCCCCGTGGCCTTTGATTTGATATTAGCATCATTCTTGTCAAGTACTGCGGAGTAACTCTGTACTGTTTTTGCTTTGCCTGGGCCATTTTGCTTCACTACCGCAAATATACTTCGACTTATTGGACTAACGCAGATCCCAGCAATTTAGAAGGGAAGAAAATGAACAAGGCATAATTCACCCAGGTAATCTCTTTGTATTGCGAATACATAAGTAAGATAGGAGCCCCCAAACGCCAGTAGAACAATATCAGGATGTTTAACCCTTTTCGGAGAAGTGCAATAACGAAGCAACTACTGTCTCTGGTAGGTAACGCGGATAGCTTTGCCCTGTTCGCCCATGGGCATGCCTGAAGTAGCCTCCTTTGCACTAATAGCTCCTGCCTCAGTCTCGTACTCGACGAATGCAATACCCTTGCGACCAGGAACCAATCTGACTTCCTTAAATCCTTCGAAGCGACCAAAGATAGATGACAGGCTCTCCTCGCTGGAATCGTCGGGGATTTCCCGCAGGAATAGGATCTTGTTGGGGGGAAGGTACTCGTCTGGGACGACGGCAGTGGTAGTACCAGAGGTAGGTTTGAGACCGGTACCCTTGGTCGTCTTCGCGGGGCGAGCAGGTTCGGCAGCTGCAGCGGGACGCTTGAGCTTCTTCTGGGCCTCGAGGGCTTCGTGGGCTTGTTTGCGCTCTGTAAAAGATATGATAAGATCAACGGTTAGACACGATGTACCTCTCATAGTCAATGTGGTCGTGAAGAGAGCACTGCAACATACCCTTCTCAGCTTTCCGCCGCCTCTTGTGAGCCTCTAGCTCGTCGGTGCCGTTTTCCCGCAGAACAGTAGCATCGCTCCTCGTCTTCGCGTAGTCCAGTACCATGGGTTTATCGAACAGGTCAAATCCATTCACCTCCTCAATGGCGCGAGTGGCAGCCTCCACGCTGTCGAAGACAATGAAAGCCTGGCCCTTGGCGCGGAGATTGGTCTTTGCGACGATCTCAAGCACATTGCCAAATTCGGAGAAGATCTCTTCCAGCGACTGCTTGAGCTGTTCTATTTTGATGTGCTCCTCTAGATTACGGACCTGATGGATTGTGAAAATGCATATGTCAGCTCAGGGTGCGGGCGCGGAGCGGTTGGAGATGATGGGTGAAGAGGGGGAGTGGTCCGTACATATACCCTGCGAAGGAAGATTAGCGGTCAGTAGTGAGAGAGATTTGAAACGAGAGACACTTACGTGCTATTGGGAGGCATAGTCCCTTCTGATGCGCCAGCAGTCGCCATGGTTGCGACAGAATGAGCTCTGGAAGCTGAGTGCGGTTGAGCTTCTGCTTTCTGTTGGTCGGATTAGGTTGAAGCAAATTTACTTTTGGGCTGTATATCATTAGTTTGAAGCTTATTACATGAACTAGCATCATTGGTCTAGTGGTAGAATTCGTCGTTGCCATCGACGAGGCCCGTGTTCGATTCACGGATGATGCATTTCTTTTTTCTACTTTTAGTACCACTTTGGTACATCTGTTTTTTTTTCCTTTTTCAATTCTCCTGATGAAAAACAAATTTCCTTTATTTTACAGTATACTGTTGGAGTGTCCCGGCCATTATCAAGTCATACTTGTGCCAAAAAAGCAGGATGTTGGACGAGGTTCCAATGTTCAAAGGTTCCCTCGAGAGTCTAGGTAGGTCCAAGCGTAGGGATATATATAGTACTGTAAAGCATCATCTATACCCACCTGGGCAGGCAAAATTCAGTACACAGTAGATAGTTGCCAATACGTCTGGCCACTTATTATTGATCGGACACTTTAAACTCTAAAATGTTTCTAAAAACTACCTTGTTGTATCAAATCGCTCCTTAATATGTCCACCTTCTCTTTCAACTCCCTGGGGGATGCAGACCAATCCTCATACTTCACGGTGTCAGAGTTGGTCATCATATAAAGGTACTCTGCCGTACTTGAACGAACCTGTGACGAAAAATAAATTAGTACCATGGAATTTCGATGGAGATATATTGAATGTGGCCCATACTCTTGGGAACGGATGCAGCAGCATCGCCGTCAGCTTCTTCAACACGTCCCCTTGCAACGATCCAATTTCCGCCAATGCGGCATAAACCTTGACTGCCCCCTCCATGCGAGCGATATTTGCTGATCGGAAATGGGCCTTCTGGACGAGGAGGAAGATCTTCCTGAAAACGGGGTCCGACCCATTTGGATCAGCAACTGCGTAGCCATGATAGCTGTCCAACAAGAATGCAATGAGCTCAATTATAGGGATGGCATAACGGTCGTCTGGAAGGTTATCCTGCAGGGCAGTCGACAAAACCTGCAAAATCTCAATCAAGATATTGGGATCCGAGTGTGGACTGTGGGAGTTGAGAAACTGAATCAAAGCAGCCCGCGAGGCGCGGACAAGACCTTCGGCACCGGCAACTGCAGAGGTAGCTAGGCCTTGCAGAAGTGGGAGACGCAACCACTCCTGGCCCCAGGATGAAAGCAGTTGAAAGAAATACTCCTGAGAAGATACGTCGCTGACATGCTCAAATCTCCTGTTCAAATTAGCTCTGCTCGAATAAATACGTCAAATCGAAGCCACTTACCCGTGGAAAGGATTAAAGTCAACCATTTCCCAGAAACAGTCCTGCAGGCAAAGTGATGCTTGTAGTCTGACCTTGTCGAGCTTCTCGCACGCAAGCCGACAAAGGCACCCGGCGAGTTCGAAGACAATAGGTGAGCTTGATGAAAGTTTGGGTTGAAGTATTTTTGCTACTTCAATCGCCTCGATCCGAATTAAGGACCCGATATCTCCTCTCCTGTCCGTGGTATAATCATTGAGGAACCCAACCAGACTCTGGGCAATGGTTTGAGTTAAAGCTGTGTCAAAGTTAGCATCCCACTATATTTCTTTTCTTTCTTTTTTTCATCCGAAAGCATTTAAAGATACATACGTGAGAGTTTGATCGTGTGTGGCACGACACCGGTGGCGAAGCACCTCACAGCAAGGACTCGCTTTTCGATGAACTCCTCCTTTCCAGTGCACCTGAGCAATTCTGTTATAATGTCCTGCTGCAGGTTTTCTCGGCCCTCGAGTTGTTTGAAAACGGCACCAAGGGCTAAAACCTGGCCTCGGCCACTGGGAAGCCTCGATGAAGCGCGAAGATGGGAGAACCATGCCTGCACGGTGCTATCTTGTTTTGCTGGCGATAATAGTGGAAATAACAGAGAAAGTGCGGTTGATGAGGTTTGAATAGAAATATCCTCACCACGTGAAACACACAATGATAAAATATGGAGAACGCGATCAAGCAATGCCTCCGATGGTCGTCCAATGTCAACTGAAATGGTTGCCCGACAGAGTGCAGAGATGAGACAAGAGGATGCCTCTGCGGTTAACTCAGGGCGAGAGCTTTGAAGGGTCAAATCGTTGTCACTAGGGCTGTACGGAGAGTCGAAAATTTCCCACAACCTAGCGACACGGGAAGAGACTTCTCTCCCTTCTGGCGTATCTCTCAACTCTGGTGATGAATTCCACTCACAGGTATATGCGTCAATGGTAGTGGCAATCGACAATAAGCATCCATGTCGTGACTCCACATCACCTCGAGGAATACGAGAAAGCTTACTCAAGAGCCGCTGTAGAACGTAGTTCATAGACTTGAACTTTTCTTGTCTGCTCAATGATTCAATGGATCGTGATGCATGCCGCCGTGATTCGGCATCCGGAGAACCAATACCTCGCCAGTTCATCAGAGCGTCCAGAAGCGGACCCCAATACACCAGGTCTAGAGAGGCAGTGGACTTAGCCACATCGATCATAGCACGGGAACGCCGCGCAACAGCATGGTAGTCAACGACTTGCACAAGATGAATACCCTCAGTAATCATATTAGGGTGACGGCCAATCAATTCCTGCAAAGCAGCAGATGCACCTCGTCGGATGTTTCCGGACGGATCTACACAGGCGGAGCAGACCAGTTCCACAGCCAGCTTTTGCAAGACATCCACTTCGAATTTCCCAGAAATCGAGGGCACAGTCTGGGCCTGTATGGCTTGTAGTTCAGAAGTTGTGTACTTTCGAGACAATGCCCAAATACCAAAGCAAGCGGCATCACGAACACCCGTTCCCACAGAACTACCAGTGGATGATCTTTGTTCGAAATCAAGACACGAGACGAGAGACTGAAGAATCTCGGGGAGCTGATGCGTCGGAGGTGCACGGCGAAATAGCAGATGGGATAGAGTCAGCATTAGACCCTGCCATTGTTGCGCATCAACGCCGCTCGTGTTGCGTTCCAGCGACTGTAAGCCCGCATTACGTGCCTCATAGGGAGTAATCAGGGTGCCATCTTCTCTTTCGTAAAGAATGTTCTCTCCGAGTGAGCCAATAACGGCCTCGATGACCTCCGCTCCCATTTCTGGATCCAGTTTCAGAGTGACAAAACTGAGTGCTTTACTTGAAGCAAAGCGCACAGGCGTATCCTTGTCTGAAAGAGCCACTAGGAAGTGATCAATGGTATCTTCGAGGATAGTAGAGAGCTGATCATCAGTGAGAGTGCTATCTTTTCTTTCACTCAGAGACAGAGCCATGACTGTAAAGTTGCGAAGAATTTTGACCACAGTTTTCCGGGCAATAGCAGAGGTTTTAATGATTGTTGAAACATTTGAGGTACCCTGTGAAACGGAGATTGTTTGTTCAAAGATACGTCTGAGAAAAGGCGCAAAAACCTCCAACTGGCCAGAACCAGCCAGACGGGCTATGAATGAAAGAACTCCGATACAGGAATAGACTGAAGGCTGTTCCTCGTCATCAGCAGGCTGCAAGATAGCAAAGGCCCAATCAGTAAGACGCGTCAAAAACCCGAGGACTTGCATGTCGCCACGCAGAGTAAGTCGTGCTAAGAGAGCCGTTGCTGCCTCACGCTCTTTGCCAGGAACATGGATGTAATGAAGGGCCAAAGACAGCAGTGACTTTGCGATCATTGGAGTGTTGTCAGGAATAGTCCCAATTTGCCCCAAGTTTTCGTACGGGATAGGAATATCATCGGAGGATAGCGAGGAAAGATCAAATGGTGCCAGCAGGAGATGCGAGAGCCAGACCAACATGACATATCGCTCTTCCCACTGTAGAGTCTGTGAATTTGACGCCAAGGAGTCCTCATTTGTCACATCTGGTAATGAGGCACTGTCCCACTCTACGAAAGCTCGCAGCAGTGAGTCAAGATATTTGGGCTCGTTGTTAAGGAATCTGCTGATCACCTTGGCTCCACGAACCTTACAGAACGTGTAAAGCAGCCTACAGATTGCTTTCGGAAGAGGATACAAAGCTGGGCCTTGAGAGGCCTTCGCTACTTGAGAGCCATACTGACTGCGATGCTTGGTCAAATATGCCAGAAAGGCATCCACCAAAGGAGGCAGCAGCTTCTGCAAATGCGGGTCCAAGAGTTGAGGCCATTCTTGGAAAGGTTCAAGCTGTGATATTCAGTTAATAGTGTTGTGAATAAAGTAGATGCCCTCACAAGAGCCACGGCTAATCTTACAAGGGTTACGAGCTTCTCCGTCTTGGAGACTGGTGCCCATCTGCGTGGGGTGCGGAGAGGGGTTCCTTTTTCAAATCTCCACAACAGTGACGGCAGCAATTCCGAGAAATCTGTCACCAGGTCGCCGGAAGCCCGTTGAAGCTTCAAGTCCCGGTCTTCCACAGCATCCATCGCGAAAATTGGAAATATGGCTGTAGTCGTGTTCTCAAAAGGTTCGGTAAAAGCATCAACAGCGGGCCCGGTCATGTGACAAGAGGGATGCGAATCACATCGCAAGTCTATTGATTTTCATGAGATATTTTGTAATCAATTGAAAATTTTTTCACAATATCTCTACGATGAGCTCTCACTACTTGACAGCGATGAGAACGTAGGATATGAAACAGAGAAACTATCCTGGCGATCATACTTTCTGAAATGTCGACGGGATGCAAGCGTCCCCGTTATAAAATAACTAACGTCGGTCTCCTATGCATCGATGAACTTATGCGCTCGCCCATTCGAGTTTTGCTTGCCAATGAGTAGGTGTCTCTTGAAATTAGGTCTACTATCTACGCTCCATGTCAAGAATTGTGGATGACTTTTGTGAAGGCTTCCGCGAAACGCGTCAATTCTGCGCCTATATCATTCTCAAAAGAGCTAGATTTTATAAGAAGAGGAAATATATGAGCTAGGACCAGGTGGCTCAAAAAACAGAGAAATCAGCAACCTAGTCCAATGTATGTAGCATTTGAATTTAGGCATGCTATAGGCTATACCTAAGTACATAGCAACCCCAGGAACCTTCCATCGCATGTGACGAGTTTACAGGCGATCTTTTCATTCCGAGTCTAATAGAATAGAAGCTCTCTATAAGAGGACTAGTCTGAAGATCTGGCTGTAGATGAAGAATGGGCTCGACTCTTCAGAAGTAGACTGTAGAACGAATGTTGAGGTAAAGACCATTGGCTTATCAAACTCATTGTCAATCTGAAATACACCAGACAAAGGATTAGTCTAAGTCAGCCTGCGGGAGTAAAGTAAGTCACTTACAGCCAGAGTTCCTGTGACCGTGATAACCATCCCTCCACCACTTGCTGGAGCGGCATCTACAATACTGGCTTGGGTCTTCACAACTGACAGCTCTGGCTTCTAGGAGATGTATATCCTGTATGAGCTATCTGCACTTTCATTTGTGGAGGGGATACTGACAGTCAGGTATTCCATGATGCTCTCGACACCTTGCATCTGTTTACCTTCCCATGCCAACATCGAATCCGAACGCTACTGTCATATCAGCTTGTTCTTAATAGGCTCTATGATTCGAAAGATCCTTGAGTCGTGGAATCTTGGAAGGATGACATACGTAGAGAGATGCTAGTTTCGGTCTTTCGGATGCATCATCAAATATTGGGAACCAGTGCTGAGCAAATTGATCTAGCATAATTTAGCGATGGGCATCCACACGTGAAAACAGAATAGTGCAAAATTGAGCTGACATACCGGCAATATCCATGGTATCAACTATTGCAATACTAAATATAGAGTGAATCAGCCCACAAAACCTAATATATTGTACGTCAAAGACCAAGGAAACGCACATAGATAGAGGTCGTAGCTTGAAAAAGGTGAAATATGGACAGAAAAGTTAGGAGATGATTGAGGTAAAGCTGAAGAAAAAGGCCTGGATGCCAGATATATAACAAAGAGGGGCACATGTCGCTTTCATACCCATCGATGATGGGGCATAAAGCTAATCAAGGTGACTGATCTTTGTGAAAGAGAAATATAAGGTACCCAAACCGCATTTTCAAAGGTTCTTTATGCGCGATATTAGTGCCCAAAAAATTTATCCAACCAATGCCATACAAGTTGTCTAGCGATAAACTGTTTCTTTCAACTTGAAAGCTCATTTGATATGGTAGTAAGACATCTTATGTTTCTCTACCCCGCTAAAGAGCTCTAGATAAATAGTCCGGTATCTGTTACAAAGATATCAATAGGAGAAGATAACCGCTGGTGGCTGCGCTGAAACCAAAATTACCCGAGGTTTCTTTCAATAATTTACATTATAGGAAAGGCGGTTTGATAAATTCGAAGCAAAGCGACCAATTCTATACGGAGAGATTGTCGATATTAAAAATTGATAATTGACTTATTCGAATAAATAATATCACGCAAAGATTTTGGAAAAAATTCAGGCAGATGCTGAGCAGGCAGATGCTGAGGGACTCCTTATAACATGGACCCACACCTTGTCAGTAGAGCCAGAAAGTGATGAATTGCCCTGTTGTGGCGCTGGGCTCGTTGGGCGATGTATGTTTCAAACACATCGTATGAAAATGAGAGATGACAAATCGAGCAACTGATAACTATCCCTGAGAGCCGGTAGGTAGATCGGCTTCATCACATGCACGAGTCTTTTGTCGAATGTTCTGCAAAGACGACGCTGAACTGACCACCGGCGGCTGGCGAAACCAGCTTCTTCCCTTCGAGATACTTGCTGTGAAGAAGAGTTGGCCTTTCGACCTCATCCAAACCGGGCTGACCAGCCTGACATTGGGCATTAAAACCCCAGCTATAGGCCGTCCCGGATTCTGTGATCACGAAGGAGTGGTCAGTTCCCGCAGTTCCGAAAGTAATTTTGTCCCCCACCCCGGTCAGAAGATTAGGCCGTTTCAATATTCGTGGTCTACCATATGTGTCATAAATGATGTCTGCTTGAGGCATATCTTCGAGTGCAATGCCAAGTGCCTTATTATCAATGCGACCCCAAATGAGACATTCACCTTGCTCAGTGATAGCCATGCTGTGATCCTTTCCACCGGAAATCGAGACAAGTAGGCCATACTTCTTCAGACCAGGAACCTTATTTGGATATGCCACGATTGCATCGTTCTGACCGGCGCTCGTTGTAACGCCGGTTTGGCCAAAATTATTGGAGCCCCATGCATATACGTCACCCTTTTTATGGATAGCGAAAGAGTGATACAGCCCCACCCCAATGTCTCTGATCCCGGTTGGGAGAGCGCATAATTTGGGTTCTAGAGGATGAGGTTGATGACGACTTGCTCGGCATCTTCCAAGTTGATTCTGTTCATCACAGCCCCAACTAAAAACGGTACCTTTTGATGTCAATGCTAGCACGTGTTGTGCACCAGCATCAATTTTGACGACATCATGTAGAGGGATCAGAAGAGGTGTTCGTTGCTCTTGCTTGCTTAAGGGAGAGAACCCAACTCCTCCATTAGCCCCCTTCAATGATAAGTTAACTAGTGAGTCCCAAATTGCGCGGGGCAGCACAGCAAACGTACTCGGAAAGTTCCCCAGCCATATACCAGGCCGTCCGTTGTTAAAGCAAAGGTCGCACTATCCGAGGCAGCAAGTTGAGAAAAAACAATGCCGCTTCCGAAGTACGACGGGTCCACAGGCAGTGGCGTAGCTTCTTTTAGATTATGAGTACTTCATCATCATCACTTCCATCACCTGATGGGACATCGCTTTTGCCGCTATCCACATCGCCCGCATCCTCATCCCCATATTGCTTAACATCTCTTCCCAAAGCCCCTTCATCATTAACGCCCCATGTCAGAATTTGATTGTCATGCGTAAGGGCCGCAGAATGAACGCCCCCAACAGCGATATGAACGACTCCAATATTTCGCGCATCTAGCTTTTTGTTGAGAACGGGGCGCAGCAATTCCGATTTCCTTGTCAGATCTCCCAGTCCAAGTTCGCCGTAGCAGTTAGTTCCAAACACATACACATCGAGTAGATGAGTTGGAGGGATATTCTTAATAGGCGAATCTTCTGTCACAAAATAAGCCAATATCCATACATTCCTGGAGTTATTATAGGAAGAGAAATGCCTTAGAGCCTACTGGAGCCCCTAATTTACCTTTCAGCTTCGTGGGGCTCGCCCCGGCTGTTCTCGTGGTGGCCTTTGTCACACTTCTATCATCTCTTCCTCGTTCAACGGCCTTGTCTGCGGCTGGATATCGTTCTTTCGCTGTCCCTGCAGAGCTGGAGCTGGAGCGGAGCTTAGGAGGCATCGTGGGGAATATACTTAAAAGCAGTGATGCGAAAGATTAGTCCAGCTAATGAAACTACTGCCAATTGACAAAGAATCAGACTGGGAAATGTGATTACGTCGCGGCTGCATCCATTGAGCGGGGCTATTATTTAGACACCCCCTCGTACGTTATAATATGCAGTTTAGCATGGTACCTCCGGTACATTTTGCCACTACGATTTTTCGATAGGCTCATGAGATATGAAGCTGAGCAGAACTTTGGCCTCTTCTTCTATACAAACCTGTTTTGATAAACATCAACTGATAGACATCGGTAATTCTTTAGTAGAATGGGGTCCTTGGGCAACAGGTTGACTTGCCTGTCAATCATGCTCGGTCACAGCACAGAATGGGATTGATTTAACAGGGCCAGTAGTTTTACGCCTCAGCGCGACAATTGTATACCTTGGAAATGAAGATTCCTGCCTCATGTGCCCGCCCTCCAAATCCCGCCCTAGCTTCCAAAGGTAAGGATATCCCCCTTTTCGAGTGCAGAAATTGTTTCCTCCGACAAGGGATCCTGCCCACCAAAATGGTATCTCTCACGCTCGGCACTAGTCCAGGCCGTGATGTCTAGATCATCACCACCGACACTTCTCGGTGCTTCCTGCTCCATGTAGTCATCTAAAGCATCTTTGACTACCCAAGGGTACTCAGAGTCAGAGTTAGAATCAGATTCAGAGTCAGAATCCGAGTCAGAGACAGCTCCGGGCAATATGTCTGGATTTCTCAGGAACTCCTCCCGTAGCATGTCAAATGTGCTTTTTGGTAGCCCAATTAACTCAACTTGGTGTAGGATAGCAAAGGCAAAGACATAGATTTCAAAGTTCTTGCCATCCGATGGCCGCTCCTTCTTCATTAGTTGTAGGAACAATGCCATGATCATGCCGAGATTCTTGACCTTCGACTTTGGACCGAGGAGACCCTCGTTTTCCAAGGCAATTAACATGGAAAGGAACATAAATGAAATCAATTTCCAAACGCTCTTCACACTTTCGCCGTCATCAACACTGGAATATGGACAGGACCATTAGCACCACACACGAAGTTGGATATGAGAAGTAGAGTCACGACAAGATGGGAAAGATAAACGTACTGGTTGAGGGTCTCAGCAGAACCTGACAGGTGAAACATTGCCATCGCCTCACAGAGAGCCCATTGATCTTTCCAATTGCCCTCCATCCTGCCCGCCCTTTCAAAATCTATTATCAGATTTTGCACCACCTGCATCACACCATAACCAGCATGGTCTTCTTTTGTGTGCATGTCAAAATTGGCCGGGTCGCGCACATACACCTGGGTACGCATGTCCTTGATCTTTTCAAATGCCGCAAAGGTCATGACCCAAGGATGCTTTTTGTGTTTTGAGGCTGGTTTTCTGCACAAACAAGTACCGCCACCGTCACATCTGGGAATTTGCGGCTGGCCCTCCGAGCATCAGCGCAGGGACAGATAAGCCAAGGTTTGCAGTAACTGACCTCGTCTCCACCATCAGCTTTTTCATTGCTCTCAGGGCCATCTCTTAGGAGGTCTCGAACCCAGTCTAGACATATGCATTCATACTGGAAGGCCTTGGCAGCATTCTTCGTAGCCGCTAAGTACGTTGCGGCTGCATTCCTAGAGGTAGACCCCGGACTATAACGTCTCAAGGAGAGAGCGTCCGTTAAATAGTCCCTCCTAGGCCTTTTAACCTTGGGTTCCTTTGGCGGGTTGCTAGCCGACGGCGAATAATCCGATCTCTGTCGCTTGGGGGGCATGATGGAAGGTATTTCTCACACAAATATTTGGAAGACTGGAAAGCAGTAAAGTAATGAGAAAGATGGCCCAGGGCAGACGCGACGCGTTTGTTGCTATTGACACGCCACACCGCCTATTGTTGTTACAACGGCTCAATGTGATTTATCACCCCAACAAGTACTTCGAAAGTTTTACCTCAAACGTGGAGTAACAGGCTCGAAATGTTACTAGACCTTCATGAGACATATCCAAGGACCCTTTTACCAATCTTCATACGCTCTAAGTCACATTAGAATACCTGAAATTAGTATAGCAAATATGCGTCTTACGTATGCACTTGGCTTCGATATACAATTAACGGCCTCACTGAAGAGCAATTCTCGGACAAGAATGACAATGGTTGAAATAGTAGATATTATCCGATAAAAAAACCACATACTATGTAATCCCCAGATAACTGATATCGAAACCTTACAAAATCCGATCAAACATTGGGAAATATGCACTTTATATGACGTCATACATAATATATCTTCAACGTTGGGAATCGTGCAACATTTATTGTTAACTACGTATCAATACATTTTAAGATTAACACGTTTGGTCCAATATCGAACAGTCTGAAGGTTTTGGTTCGGACTCGATGAGATTACCATGAGCTACTTTACCGGCGTTTTTTCGCAGCCGACACTGGTCCGAGCCGGGTTACCTTTGCTGGTTGAGGTGGGCCAGACTGGAGTTCTAAACAATCAAGTCCAGGCTTGGGAAAACGTAAGCGAACACGAAAACCCCTAAGAAATGGCTTGACATCACGAAATAGAGTTATGATGCAGTTTCAAGAGCGGTTTCGTACTATTACGAATCCGGCTTAGGGGTAGTATCCAACCTGTAAAATACCGCAATACTAGGCCATCAGCTAAGAATTTTGCTAAAGGTAGCCCCTCCCGCGGGCTGTCTCTTGATTCCAATTCTCGATATCGATTCGATCTCGTCAAACCACCTACCAATAAATTGATCGATTGATACACGTTCAGTTCGACCAAATGGACCCTGCAGCACCGTCAGACGCCGGCGAGACGACACACGATGTCCACAAGTCGTTGGAAGCCATTTTCAAGAACAATCGGGACTGGGCGCTTGAGAAGAGTCGCGTAGACCCGGTGTTCTTTGAAAAGCTGGCCGATGGACAGTCACCCAATTACCTGTAAGTAATATACGAGAAATGGGGATGCTCGTGTTGTTAGTGGTGGTACTAGTACTGATCATTAAATTAACCCCGCCTAGCTACATCGGATGTAGTGACAGCCGCGTCCCCGCCAACGAGATTATGGGCCTAGAGGCCGGAGAGGTGTTCGTGCACCGAAACATCGCCAATTTGGTCCCTAACCTTGACATAAATGTCATGTCCGTGATCAACTACGCCGTGAGACACCTGCACGTCAAGCACATCATCGTCTGCGGTCACTACAATTGTGGCGGAGTCAAGGCTGCCCTGACACCCGCCGACTTGGGTATTCTCAACCCGTGGCTTCGGAATATCCGTGATGTCTATCGCTTGCATGAGAAGGAGCTTGACCAGATTGCCGATGAGAGTGCGAGATACAACAGACTCATTGAGTTGAATGTGGAGGAATCTTGCAGGAATGTTATCAAGACCGCGGCGTTCCAGCAGAGTTACCTAGAGCATGGGTACCCCGTTGTTCACGGATTGGTGTTTGATCTTCGGGATGGACTTTTAAAGGATCTCAAGTTTGATTTTGAAAAAACTCTTGAGGATGTTAAGAAGATCTATTCTTTAGGCTCCCGAGATTAGATGCAATGCAATGCAGTACAGAAACTACACATACTTCTGTTGCAACACAAAGGCTTCATTTTATGCGTGTAGTATTTACTTTAGACCGCTGTCACTTGATACCATTGCAAAATTAGTTCACACCTTTGCCAATGGCTTTGACTTTCCATCAAAGATGGAGTGTTCATGGGTCCTCGGCAATTCGGAAGCTTCTCCAGCGATAGTGTCATATGCAAAGCCATTTTGGGTGCTCTGTATAGATAGAATCAAAATATTGAATTTGCTGTATGATTGTTACTTCTGGAATAATTATTTACAATACAGCTATACCGGGAGATACTTGGTGGTAGGTATTGGCATATTTCTATAGAGTTGTCGGGATGATCCATGACGCCCCACCTCGGAATGTGGTGATGTGCCGCTAAAACAGCTCAGGCCAGCTGGAACATTCCCATCCACCACGCGCCGCTATGCCTTGGGCACGCTTCATCTACAACGTGGCAACCCAGCAAAAACATACAAAGTGGATTGCGCCTCTTCTGGTTCTGGGCGATGCGCTCCTTTGCGCCCTGGTAATATGGAAGATCTCCTGTAAATTCAACCCCAAGCCTATACCGCGACACGCGTTCGGTCAAGACAGAGCTAACCACCTCATCACCTCACAGACACCGAGATTGACTGGTCAACATATATGCAGCAGATCTCACTATACATCTCCGGAGAACGCGATTATCCCTCCATTAAAGGATCGACGGGTCCCCTCGTATATCCCGCCGCGCATGTTTACGTCTACACACTCCTGTACCACCTCACCGATGAAGGGCGGGACATTCTCACTGGACAAATACTCTTTGCTGGCATTTATCTCTCTACATTGGTTCTTGTTCTTGGTTGCTATCGAAAGACTGGAGCCCCTCCGTATCTCTTCCCCCTCCTGGTGCTTTCCAAGCGGCTACATAGCATTTTCATGCTGCGCATGTTCAATGATGGAGTCGCGGCCTTTGCGATGTGGCTTTCCATATGGCTCTTCATGAAGAGACAGTGGACTCTGGGAGTCGTGGCGTGGACCTTGGGCGTTGGTGTCAAAATGACTCTAGTGCTGTTTGCTCCGGCTATTGCCGTGATCACTCTGCTAAGTATTGGCTTGACACGCAGCGTGTGTCTTGGAGCCATAGCCTTGCAGATTCAGGTAAGTTATGAATAAGCCTGTCTACTTACTATACACCAATTGACCAATGCTAAAATTTACAGTGGTGTCTTGGGATGCCATTCCTCACAAAGAACGCGGCCGGCTATGTTTCGCGGGCCTTTGAGTTGTCCCGACAGTTTATGTTCAAATGGACGGTGAATTGGCGATTTGTAGGGGAGGAAACATTTCTTTCCAGAGAATTCTCCGTGGCTCTTTTGCTGCTACATGTTTCTATCTTAGCCCTCTTCTCCATCGGCTGGGCAAAGCCGTCTGGATCAAATGTGTTCCGCTTCCTCCAGGACATTATCCAGGGTCGCCAACAGCAAGTGGTCCTTTCGAACTCCTTCATCATGACTACTATGCTGAGCTCCCTGGCCATTGGTATGCTGTGCGCCCGATCGCTGCATTACCAGTTTTTCGCTTATTTGGCATGGGCTTCTCCGTTCCTCCTCTGGCGCGCCGGTCTTCATCCAGTCCTTATCTATGTTGCATGGGCGCTGCAGGAGTGGGCCTGGAATGTATACCCCAGTACCAATGCAAGCTCGGTGGTTGTGGTTTTGTCCCTCGCCTTCCAGGTGTTTGGTGTCTGGGTCAATGGACATGATGTAGCTATGAAGCCAGCAGTTGGCCGCAAGGAAACCCGTACTCAATAAACGCTGGGCTTTAAGTCCAAATCTTAGCTCATCAAAACACATCAAGCATCGGATTCCTCATCGGATGATGGCATTTTGCCCACACGTGATTCTTCCTCGGAGTCGGAGTCACCACCAGTATACACGGGTTGCTTGACAAATTCCTTGGGCCTATCGTAAGAGCAGATTAATTAGTGATGTGGTCATGGATATCGACGTCGTGGAAGCTCATACCAGAACGGGGCCTTTCTCCATGCCTTCTCATCCCGCACAATGTTAATAATCTCGCCTCCAATTTTGTTATCCCGTTCATCCGATGCCTTGGTGTCGATCACAAGGTATGATCCACGCTTAATCCAAAAAGTCGACCGGAACTTTGCTGGCAATTCGACCAGCATCTGCTGCTTGTCGGCTGATTCGATCAGATAGATGTTGTTGCCGGTAGCCTTGATCGCACGCACAATCATGTGGGTTTCGGCCAGCTCGTCTGGAGGGGTCATTGTCTCCTGGGCCGTGGCCAGAACCTTGCGACGAGGGGGTCCCATTGTCAATTGGAGGAAGGATCAATAAAATTGCGAAATTGGAAAGTTGAAGGATTGTGATGCAATGGCGGCTCAATTATTGTGGGAGAATAATTTTCGAGCTTATTGGCGGGGCATCTCCGCGTTGCTTCAACCTTGTTCCGCGCCGATTAATAATTGTCAACCCCGCGCGACAAGTAGTTATACAGTGCCCTCGACATGTACAAACAGCACATTGTACAATACCCTAGGGTAACAAATATAACGCTGGTGTCTACTAGGTATCTAGATAGGTACCCAGTGGCAGCCCAGAATTAGAATTAAAATAGTGATCTACTTGGTGTACTTTTGGCCAGCGACTGTACATGGACCTCCGAAGTCACTTAGTCAATACCATGGTCGGAATATGATTTCCTAGGAACTTAGCTAACTGCTCGCCTATGTGAACCAGCCTTTGATAACCTTCTTCAAGTCTTCTCTGACGGACATCCTTGCTCACTCCAAAAGATTTATTCCATAAGGCAAATCTTCTTATCTTGTCATCCCTGATTTGACATCAAAATGGCTGGACCAAGCCTGGGTGTTTTTCTTGATATCGAGAGTTCCCCTCGCATCGTCACTCCACTGCCTGCAGCGCAGAAGAAGCAGGGGATTGCGCAGCCTAGGTCTGATCTGGAACTGGATGAGATCCACCCAGCACGAAGTCTAGACCAAATCGCCCGCGAACCAAGGACCCAAGACTCAATACCCACACCAGGCTCATTGGAAAGTCGGATACCTACGCCGGTCGCTGAGAATACAACTACTATTGAATGGGTTCCGGACCGAACAGTGACCCCTTGGAAAACCAGGTGGCGACTCTTGAGTGCATGTCTGATGCTTTTTGGAAATGGCATGAACGACGGCGCTCCCGGTGCTTTGATTCCATACATGGAAAAGCATTACCAGATCAGCTATTCCATCGTTTCAATGATTTTCGTGGGCAATGCACTGGGCTTCATCTCCGCTGCCCCCGTAACGCATACAATCGAGCAAAAGCTCGGGCGCTCTAAGAGCTATGCCTTCTCGATGTTCCTCCTAGCCGTGTCCTATATCATCATCGCCTGGCAACCTCCATTTCCAGCAGTGGTGGTTTGTTTCTTTCTGCTAGGATTTGGCGTGGCTCTGAACCTAGCCCTCAATAATACGTATAGCGCCAGCTTGGGTGATGGTACCACGGCCCTAGGACTGACATGTGGTGCATATGGTATTGGAGGTACTGTAGCGCCCTTGTTTGCGACGGCCATGGAATCAAATGGTATTCGCTGGTCACTTTTCTATACCATCCCTCTGGCAGTCAGTTTGATCAACATTGGCTTTGCCCCATGGGCATTCTTAAACTTCGAGCAAGATACCCCAGCCGAGCCACAACGACCACTTCACCCAGCCGTTGAGGGCTCGCGCGTGGAAGAACCTTTGACCCGCACTCAAATCCTCAAAAATACCATACGAAACCGCACGACCCTCATGGGGGCGCTGTTCACCTTTGCATACCAAGGAGCTGAAGTATCCATCTCCGGCTGGATGGTCTCCTTCCTCATCAGCTACCGGGATGGTGATCCTTCCCGGGTCGGGTACGTCAGCTCCGGATTTTGGGCCGGCATCACCGTTGGGCGATTTCTCCTGACCAAACCGGCTGCAAAGATGGGCGAGAAGGTCACCGTGCTGAGTATGGTCGCTGGGGCCGTCATCTTTCAAGTGATGACCTGGCTCATTCCAAATGTCATCGGAGAAGCAGTTACGGTCGCCATCCTGGGTGTTTTACTGGGTGCGGTTTCTCCATGTTCCATCTCAGTGTTCACGAAGCTGCTGCCTCGGAGTATGCACATCTCTAGTTTGAGTTTTGTAAGCGCATTAGGCAGTAGTGGCGGTGCGGTGTGGCCATTTCTAACAGGTATCCTGTCTCAGCACGTGGGGACTATGGTACTGCATCCGATTTGTCTCGGGCTGTATGGTGTAATGGCAGCTAGTTGGCTTCTGTTGCCGAAGATCTCAAAGAGATCCGACTAAGGGTCTTTTAATTTCCTTTTTTCCCCGCACGTGGACCATTTTTGGGGGGATTTCAGATCAAGGTGTTTTTTCCAAGATGATTCTCCTTCTCGTGATTGTAGAAGGAATGTGTACCAAACCCAAAAGCATTTTCACATGAGATGATCAAATGACCACTGATCAACACTGATAACTGTTGAAAGTTGCAGATGGATCAGTCATGCAAAGACAAGAATGTGGGACGCACGGAAGTATAGGCAAGGAGTCTCTCCACCTTACTACGTAGCAGCTTCCGGCCACAAAGTAAATATTTGGAAGCGGTGACGTGCAAATGGAGAAAAATCGAAGAACCTGGTCGTTTATGTGCAGAATCGAGTACGAATCAAGTACGCAGACCCGTACCCGATCAGAAACATCTGGACCCGAATCTGTGTCGTCTCTGCCAATCAGGCTTTGCGGGACCGAGGATCATGTCATCGAGGCCGTTTCATTGTGGATTTTTTTTCATGGGTCTTTTGGTTGGGAATTTCTTGGGCCCATTGGATCAACTGGGGCTGAATGATGAGTTCAAAGGAAGAATAGGATCCGTTCTATGACTCTGTAGGTTTCAGTTGTGCTGTGGTATCGGATCATAGTATACCGTACAGCGTTGGGTAGAGCACGTGTGTCTGTTGAACGTATTTTATCGTCACAAAAACAAGGCGAATGGGTGGAATAAATAAGTCAGAAAACCAAGTGAAGCGAAGGAAAGAAAGATATTAAAAATGATTGAATCTTCCCCTCATCATACTTGCGCAGTAGAAGAAATCCTCTTATCGCGATCAATTGGGGCGAATCCCGTTACATTTTCCGTTGTGGCAGTATTACCCGTTAACCCCCCCTGTCAACAAGAGCCCCGCGAAACCCTTCTCCCACCTACACCTCACCACAGTCCGGCGCAGCACCCCAAGCTTTACTCATACTGCCCTCGGTCCTGCCCATCATGGACGGCGACGAGCTTATTGCCTCGGTCTACCGCAAGATCGAGCGGGAAAAGGCCCTGATCGCCGCCGCCAGTAACATGCGGCAGTCCACCGACAACCCCCTCGTCCAACAGCGAGTCGATTCCAACATCCGCGATGGCCGCAAAAATATTGCCTACCTCGAGGAGAAAATGCGAGAGTTACAGATTCGTCAGTTGGAACAGCAAAGTGGTGGCTCCCCCGGTGATCAGCGTCAGGTTTCAGGGCCTGCGCCGCCCCCCAAAGACTTCTCTGGATACTTCGCAGGCGAGGGTGATGGTCATGGTTACCCCCAGAGTGGTGCAGGCACCATGCCAACAGGTGCCCCATTTGCCGATCCTCGGCCGTACGCCCAAGTCCCCAAGGCGCGCCCCAATTATACAAAGCTTGGTATGTCTGCCGGAGATTTAGTCCCAAAATCCCCCCACTATCTACCTCTTGGTAGCCTGGCGGGCCTTAAAATAAGATATAAAGGAAATTGCCCGAATGGAATGCTGACATGACTTGACTTCGCAGATCTAATCAAGTATGACACTCAATACCTCGGACCTAAGATTCAACTCATGCTGTCCCAACTCGAATTCAAGCTGAGTGTGGAAAAACAATACAAGGCGGGAATTGAGAAGATGGTTCGCTTGTACCAGGATGAGGGAGATCGAAAGAGCCGCGCAGATGCTGAAGGCCGTCGCATCGAAAGTAACCAGAAGATCCAGCTGCTGAAGCAGGCTCTGAAGCGATACGAGGATCTCCACATCGACATTGAGTCCTCGGATGCCGCAGATGGTGCGTTCTATTGCCCGTTGATCCGACCCAGAATATTGACTAATCCCCGACAGATGAGAGTCTGAGCAGCCCCAACATGCGCAAGCCGTTGACCGGTCTTCTAACCATGCGCATTCACGGTGTGAAGGATGTGGATCATGCCACCAGCTCCCGATTTTCTCGCGGCCCTGAGACCTACGTCATTGTCAAGGTTGAAGATACGATCAAAGCAAGAACAAAGGCAACCCGAAACGATAAATGGTTAGACGAAGCCTTTTCCATCGATATCGATAAAGCGAATGAAATCGAGCTTACGGTTTACGACAAATCTGGAGACCGCCCGACTCCCATTGGTATGTTGTGGGTTCGTATTTCCGATATTGCGGAGGAGATGCGTCGCAAGAAGATTGAGACAGAACTCAACGCCTCTGGATGGGTTTCTGCCGACAAGATGGGCGATTCGGGTACCCCTCGATCTGATCATCACCCCAGATCACCGGGCTCCTCTCACGGCGGCGGCAACTTCCAAGGGATGCCCCCTCCAACGGGACAGCAACCTGGAGAAAACTCGAACGCGCCCCCAAGCGTGATGATCGATTCCTGGTTCGCTTTGGAGCCCTTTGGTAGTATTCATCTCTCGATGAGCTTTGGTAAGATATCAATTCTGTTTCAAATCACCTGACCACATGCTAATTATAAATAAGCCAAACAACTGAAGGACCGTCGCCCCTTCGATATCGGTCTTAACCGTCAAGGTGCCGTGCGTCAAAAGAAGGATGACGTTCACGAAAAGCAGGGCCACAAGTTTGTCACCCAGCAGTTCTACAACATCATGCGCTGTGCGCTATGTGGTGAATTCCTTAAATATGCTGCGGGTATGCAGTGCTCGGATTGCAAGTACACCTGCCACAAAAAATGCTACCCGAAGGTTGTCACCAAGTGTATCAGTAAGGCCAATTACGAAACCGACCCCGACGAGGAGAAGATCAACCATCGCATTCCCCATCGTTTCGAAGGATTCTCCAATATCTCGGCGAACTGGTGTTGCCACTGTGGCTATCTGCTTCCATTTGGACGAAAAAACGCAAAGCGTTGTAATGGTATGCAATGTCCAAAATTTAATGAGGTCCATGAAGTATACTAATCTTGCATAGAATGTGGCCTCACTTCTCACGCTCACTGCACTCACCTTGTTCCTGATTTCTGCGGCATGTCGATGGAGGCGGCAAATCAAATTTTGGAGACTCTGATTCGCACTAAGAATCTCAATAAGCCCATCCCTGTCAGTAGCGGCCTCAAGCACCATACCCTTCGGCCTAGCGGTCCACCCCAGCCAACCCAAGATCACACCGGCCTTTCATATCCCCAGAAATCCACCAATAGCTCTTATGGAGCAATTCCCCGGCAACCCTCATCTGAAGCGGTAAGCGCGGCGACTAACTCCTTTATGACTCCACAGTCTCCAACGGCACTTCCACAGGCTGCTCAGCGCCAACCGCTCCCACCGAAATCACCCACATCAACATCCCCTGCTGCAGCTGCAGCTGCCTCGGCAGCTGCGGCGGCTGCAACCGGGATGCGTAGTCCTCAGCAGACTCCAAGTATGCCACCACCCTATCTCATTTTATTTCGTTTTAGATGCTGATTGATATTTAGCTGAAATGAGCCGTCCTCCTGTAGTATCTCAGCAACCTCCTCAACATGCTCCTTACAACCCAGGCGCATACGTTAATATTCCTCAGAAGGCACAGCCCCCGCCCCAACACATGCAGAACATGGCTGCCCCTCCGGGCTATGGAATGCCACCTCCCCAGTCAGTCATGCAGCCGCCCATGCAGCCACCCATGCAGCCACCCATGCAGCCAGTGTCGCAGCCGCCAGTGCCGCCGGCTGCTAAGGTGGAGGAGATTGCCCCGCCACAGAGGTCTCGTATTGGATTGGATCACTTTAATTTCCTTGCTGTGCTCGGAAAGGGTAACTTCGGTAAAGTCATGCTGGCCGAGACCAAGAACACACGAAAGTTGTATGCCATCAAGGTGTTGAAAAAGGAATTCATCATTGAAAATGATGAAGTGGAGAGCACAAAGTCTGAGAAGCGAGTATTCTTGATCGCTAACAAGGAGCGTCATCCATTCTTGTTGAGCTTGCACGCCTGTTTCCAGACGGAAACCCGCGTGTATTTCGTCATGGAATACATCAGTGGTGGTGATCTGATGTTGCATATTCAGCGTGGTCAATTTGGCCTGAAGCGGGCACAGTAAGCTTTCCTCTTACTATCCAGTAGATCAGATTCCACTTCCAAGGAAGGATACTAACGGATGAACTAGATTCTATGCCGCGGAAGTCTGCTTAGCGCTCAAGTATTTCCACGAGAACGGCGTCATTTACCGTGATTTGAAGCTTGACAATATTCTTTTGACGCTTGATGGTCACATTAAGATTGCCGATTATGGTCTCTGCAAGGAGAACATGTGGTACGGCTGCACCACCAGCACATTCTGTGGTACTCCTGAATTCATGGCTCCCGAGGTAAGTCCCACGAGAATTGACTCTGTATAGACTTTAATATATTGACCTCTATGAACAGATTTTGTTGGATAAGAAGTATGGACGCGCGGTTGACTGGTGGGCGTTTGGTGTCTTGATCTACCAAATGCTTCTCCAGCAGTCTCCATTCCGTGGTGAGGATGAAGATGAAATCTACGATGCCATTCTTGCGGATGAACCTCTATATCCTATCCACATGCCTCGTGACTCTGTGTCTATTCTACAGAAGCTGTTGACCCGCGAGCCCGAGCTCCGACTGGGCTCTGGCCCCACTGATGCCCAGGAGGTCATGTCACACGCTTTCTTCCGCAACATTAACTGGGATGATATTTACCACAAGCGCGGCCCCCCGCCATTCATCCCCACTATTAGCAGTCCCACTGATACTAGCAACTTCGACCAGGAGTTCACTAGTGTGACTCCAGTCTTGACGCCCGTTCAATCTGGTATGCTGCCAACAATCTGCCGGTCCCGAAAACCTTGGCTAATATTTGATTTTCTTTATAGTGCTCTCTCAAGCTATGCAGGAAGAATTCCGCGGCTTCTCCTACACTGCTGATTTCTCTTGATTTCAGCATTTGCGGATTGCGACGAATACCCGCATTTGAGCACCTACCTTCGCGACTCGAACAGCCGGCCCCGGGGGGCCTGGCACTATCGTGGATTGCGGCTCTTGATGCTGTTTTTTCTCTTGAAATTGCTTTACATACCCACTGCAGTTGTGTTTGATTGAATGCCAGCGTAGACGCCAGCTGTCGAACACTCCACTAAGCATGGTCTGGTTTTCTTCGATTGACATGAATAATGGAGCAGCGTCGGTTCTTTTCCTCTTACTGTCTGTTCTCCTATTTCTTTTTGCGTATCTAAATTGCTTGCTTTCTTCTCGATGTTTTCTTTCTCTTTTTCTTTTTCCGACGGGTTGGTTCATGATGGGTTCCATGCCATGCCGGGTCATGGCTGTTTGTTGCGCAGAACTCGCGGGAGAGCTCCTTACCAGCCGTCGGCTATACGGATTAATCTCGACTGCATGGATCGAGATGGGAGTCTATTCAACAACCCCAAAAGCTTTTGAATGAGTATTGATGATGAGTATGAAGACTATCGATGGTTGTGTGTGTGTGTGTGTGTGTGTGATGCTAGTTAGTGAAGGGCTGGTGCCGTGTTGCTTAATTCCCGTCGGGCCATGTTTTTTTCTCCGTGGCATTGCTTGGATGAGTATCTGATTCCCCTATGGCTGTGATGAGAGGAGATGCAAATACGAATTAATACATCCTTCACCGAATCAACTCCTTGAGCTATTTACTTGCGTGGTTCCGTAGAGGATACTGGGTAGGGGGGGGGGGGAGGTAGCCCTAACTGCACCAAAACTTCCTATTCGGGATATCAAAGCAACCATATCTAAAATTGTTTTCTTGAAGTGAAGACTTGCGCGTGTTTACTAAGAAAAGGGACATGTTTATTCGTTTCCTCACTTCTTGACCGTCTTACTTTTTTCTTTTTCTCTTTTCTTCTTCGTCCTCTTTGTTTTCTTTGACCAACCTTCGTTGTTGTTTTCACACTGTTGGTCTATTTTGCGACACCAGTCCCTTTGTTTATCTGCGACTTCTTTGAGACTTCACAAATCAAGATGTCTTTGTGGAAACTCCTTATTAGCCCTCGACCTGCCGAGGAAACTCGAGGTGAGGGAAGCGACAACGACGACTCTTTTGACCTCCCCCTCCCCTCGGCATTTGCGCCTCTTGCCAGACGTGAACGTGCTCGTCTTCAACGCAGAGTGGGGGCTACGGCTTCTGCTCCTTCAACAAAGAAGTCATCTTCCCGCGGCACTCGCTCCCCCAAATGCATTCGAAACCTACAGGTTCATGTCAGTCGGGCCTTGGGAATTACTAGATCGTCTGCTTCCTCGCCCGAGACAACTGCCAATAACATATCGACTGAACGTCCCTTCACATCACCAGTGATCTCTTCGCCATTGAAGCGAGAACAATCAGTCATCGAGGAACAGACACCTGCTCAGCAGGATTTCTCTTCCGAGTCTCCGCTAAGCTCACCACCAAGCACCGAGGAGAAGGCATCTGGTTCCGTTCCTGCGCCAGATTTTTCCTCCCCGGTTTTAGAAGCTGCGAACACCCTCTTTCAATCTACTGGTAAAGATAGATCACCAGGGCTATCCGCTCCCTCACCGACCATACTAGAATCATCGTCTTTTCTTCGCAGCTCACCGGACATCATTGCGCAGTTCCAGGCCGTGAATACTTCTTTTCCAACCAATCCATTGTGCTCTACCTCCGAACACTCCTCGCTTCCAATTGGACCTTCTACACCAATTGCGCAAAAGTTTCCATCTTCTCCTCTCAACCCATCGGGTATTACTACACAGGCAAAAGACGAAGATACGTCTACTGGTGCCCAATACTTGTACTTCATCCCTCAGTACCACTCGTCTCCAATTGAGAATACCTTACCGGTTGTGCCACAATCTACATCTTCTCCTTTCAGCTCATCCCCAATCGAAAGTCCCACTGGTGCTGCTGCTATCGAATATTTGTACTCCATTCCTCAATACTACTCGCCTCCTACTGCTACTACACCACCAGCAGTGCCACAATCCACGTCCTCTCTTCTCAGCTCGCCAAGCAGTATTGCGCAGTTTCGGGGTATGAAGAAGGCTCCTCCAAACAGCCCCCAGTATCACTCATTCCCAATGGGAACAGCCGCTGCCGCTGATATGCCCAAGTCACGTAAACAGAAGAGTTCAAGCATTGAACTCGAACTCCCTCGCACATCAAAACGCCGAAGTCCTGGTATCCAGGAACATGATCCGAATATCTCTAAGCAATCCATTTCACCTAATAACCATTCTCGGTTGCATGCGAAGCGCAAACGAGACGGACTAGAAGACAAAGGGCTATTCTATTGTTCCGTCGAGGGAAGTCTTGATGGACATGCTACATCATCCGAATCCGCAAATTCTCTTATCTCAGACAACGGTAGTGGGGATGACTATGAGCCCGATTCATCCCACAATCAGCGCTGGTCTGAGTCGCCCAGCCCTTTGCCTTCTCCTCCAAAGAGAGCTAAAACCAACCCAAAGCAGCAGGTCAACAAGAAAAAACAAGACAAAACCCCGCTTTCCATCAAGACTAAAACTCAGGTCTCCACAGGACAAAAACGTCTACACACCAGGGGAAGGGAGAAGTCAAACGACAGTGACACAGGTTATGTCGATGTTGGCCCAAGCGATGAAAGTGATTACCGCATTACATCAGCCGAACGGAACGATTTGCTGTATGAGCTGACACGAGAAAGAGCCAGCCGCATGGCTGAAGCGGTGGAAATCCCCCCGGATTCTGGACTGGGATCCGTGCAAGTCAAACTGGTTCGCAAGCTAGCCACACGTGGCTGCAAGCCCGTCATGTCGCGATTCTGGGCCAGTGATTTCACCACCTGGCCCGAATCACTGTTCACCTCAACCAGTGATGGAGACTCCGACTCCGCAAATGGAGATGTCGATCTCATGTTCAGGTCACAGAACATGTCAGACAACTACGCCATCAAGGCGCTTCAAGAACTGTTTGCGGTCAGCGGCCGCGTCCGAGACTGCTCGCTTCTTTCAGTGGAGCCCCAGTTTGTCGTGGGAAAAGCCATTCGGCAGTACCTGCACTGGGCGATTGACGATGCAGGCCTGAAGACCACTGGACAGACCATCCCGGTGCATTGCATCTGCCCCCAGATACCTGGGGAGGAAATCCTCGCGACAATCATGCGGTGCTCGCGAAAGCTGGAGAGACTGGCGAAGCGCCATCAAATGGCGCACGCGGGCCAGGAAGCTTTCTGGCCCACAATGATCGGCTTTGTGATTGCAGGTCCAATCGTGTGCCTCTTGTCTCTTGATACGGATCCTAATTCCGAAGTGTGGTCTACCGTTGACGGCACCGATGAAGAGAGTCCGGCCAAGTTTTTGACTCAGTTCGATCTCTCCGAACGGGAGCAGGACGTTTGGAACTCTCTGGCAGTTGCGATTTGCGTTGTTCATCTCCGGGACACGCTTATTGAGCTGGCCGTGAGTTACCCTTGGAGCGATGCTGTCCCCGTAATCCGTGGACTTGGGGATGAGACCGATGACGAAGATCTTTGATAGTTAGTTAGATAGGGTTGAGAATGAATTACTATTTATCCTTAAAGAATTCCAAGCACGATAGTACGCGTATATCGTAATATGCCTTCTCTGTAGAAGATATTGGTTCGTCAGGTAATATATTTTTATACATCTGTATACACAGGGCGCCGAATTGACACGAGCACCTTCTATTTTAGCATTCCAACAAGCAGCATATGCTAACAAAATCCACCCACATTGCCAATCCATGGTATCATTTAAACAAGAGAAGAAAGGGGAAAACAAAAAGAATGCAAGTCCAGCATCAAGCAGGGCGAGAGAACACATAGTACAAGCGCAGGAGAGGCTATTAAGTTCCATCAGCAGAGACCCGCTGCTCACTCCCACGCGCCTTTTGAAACCCTAGTAATTCCCCAAGTACACCTTTCGGTTTTGGCACCGGACACTCGTGGCCAATGTGTGCCAGCTTCTCCGCCTCCTCCTCCATCTGGAAGAATGTAGTGACTTCCTCATCAGCGGCGTTGGAAGGTGTCGGGTGGCCGGGACGCGGAACCTCAGAGTCCAGCTCCATGTCTTTTCTCCTTCGGCGCCGCATACGCGGGACTTGTTGCCCGTCGGCTGTGATGGTCATTTCGGAGTCGGCAAAGGTGCGGCGTGGGGCGGGGCAGGGGAAGACGTGTGGCATGCCGACGACCAGGAGAGACGCGAAGAGGGTACCGGCGAAGAGGCCCATTGTTGACCGCGAGCGCGGATGGAGATGTGGCGGCATTATGTAGATGGTGTATGTGAGAGATTGAAGAGGAATCCGAGCTGAATTGAGGTGGGTGTAGGTGAATGGCTTTCGCTGTTGTCTTTTTTTCCCCCCTCTCAGGCCATCGGAAGGTGTTGAGTGTAATAGGCTGAACTAGACACAGACAAGGTCTAGGGGGGTATTGACCGCGAGAAAAGGGTCAATTGGACGATGACCAAGCGCTCCCGAGTAAATTTGAGGGTCTGCGAGCGTTCAACAAGAGAATCCGGGGAGTCGGACGATCCAAGAAGGCGGGAAGTCGAGGATGCGAAGGCTCTGGCCCATCTAATCTTATCTGGGTCCAACGTGATTGGCCCGCAGACTCAGATCACTGGTTTCTGCCGTTTCTCGCTGCGAATTATTTCGATTTCAAGCTGTATGATGATGGCCGGGCAATCATGAGTCTCTATTTTGCTCGTGAAGGAGACTGAGATCATTCGCATAGAGTCCGAAATATTCTCTCACGCACCGTGTTCCTCGTCACAGCCTATCTCCCCGCCTCCTAAATCCATCCACCTTCCCTCCCCTCATCAAATCCCAGCTCAACATGAGTGACTTAGACCGGTACTGCCACTCCGATTCAAACCAAGTAGATAACTGCCGCTGACATCTTCCTTCTGCCCAGGGCGATCGAGCAGCTGCGGGCCTGCCGCCTGATCCCCGAATCGCAAGTACGCGAGCTGTGCTACAAGGCGCGTGAGCTCCTAATCGAAGAAGGCAATGTCGTCTCCGTTGATGCCCCAGTAACTATCTGTGGTGACATCCATGGCCAATTCCATGACCTCATGGAGCTATTTCGCGTCGGCGGCGACGTGCCTGACACCAACTACCTGTTCATGGGCGACTTCGTCGACCGCGGTTTCTACTCCCTCGAATCCTTCCTTCTTCTCCTCTGCCTTAAAGTCCGTTATCCCGATCGCATGACCCTTATCCGCGGGAACCACGAATCGCGACAGATTACGACTGTCTACGGTTTCTACGACGAGTGTATCCGCAAGTACGGCAGCGCAAATGTCTGGCGCTACTGCTGTGAGGTTTTCGACTACCTGGCGCTGGGCGCGATCGTCCTCGGCGCCAGCTCTGAACTTGAGCCTACTGGCTCTGGCATGAATGATACCACCCAATCAACCATGCCAATCGACGACGGTGAGCTGGAAACGGAGGTGTTGAATTCGCGCGGCGAGGTCACTATGAGCACCTACCGCCAGCGGCAGCGCGCGGCTTCCGACATCTCCTCCGACACACAAAATATCTCTCCTCCACGTGATATCTCGGCTGCCCCGAGCCAGACTGGGGCTCCGATACGCAATGGAGTACCGGGCACCGGTGCAAGCGGAGACGGGAACGGCAGCTTGGCGGCGAACCGCACGGGCGCTGTTCTCTGCGTGCACGGTGGACTATCGCCGCTTATTGACTCTGTAGACAAGATCCGACTGATAGACCGGAAGCAAGAAGTGCCACATGAAGGCGCCATGTGCGATCTTCTCTGGTCCGACCCTGATGAGATTGAAGGATGGGGCCTCAGTCCCCGAGGAGCCGGGTTCCTCTTCGGTGGCGATATCGTGAAGTCATTTAATCATCTCAACGGCCTGTCCCTGGTTGCCCGAGCCCACCAGCTCGTTATGGAGGGGTACAAGGAGATGTTTGACGGCGGTATCGTGACCGTGTGGTCCGCTCCGAACTACTGTTACCGCTGCGGCAATGTTGCAGCAATACTCGAGCTGGGCGAAGATGCTAACAATGGCGGAACGGTTTCGCGCAGTAATGGAGAATATGGCCGGAGTAACGGCGTTGGAGAATTAAACACAGTTGTCAGCCCTGGGAGAAGATACCGTGTCTTCGAGGCTGCGGCCCAGGATACAAGGGGCATGCCTGCGAAGAAGCCCGTCGCTGATTATTTCCTGGTGAGTACTTGATACTGGGTCTTTGCTCCCCATGGAGATTTCGTTCTCTGTACTAACTTCTGATAGTGATACCATCCACTGCATGCCATTTCCTTGCTTTTGCCATCTTTTGTCTATCTCGTCTACATGGTTTTAAAATCCCTTTTGGCCGGCTCTGCATATCGTGTATTGGTGTTATGTATTTGCTGCAACCTAATGATCATTTATGACGGACATTCTTGCAATTGGATCCTTGGTTCTTTATATTGTACTCTCAATTCATGGAAAGACTTTCCTAGAGATATGACCAACGTGACATTCGCACTAGCTGCAAGGATTATAACCAGTTTGATTCCTGAGTCAGCGTGTCTAATTCGTAAGGAGGAATCTTCAAAAGTTATAAATTGTAATGACTTGACTACTTTGCCCTGTACGATGTACTCAATGTTCCCGAGCACAGGACAACGATTGAGATTAAAAGTTAAACGCTGCGTTATCATGCGCTGAAGGAACCCGTCAACTAGCGATGACCCACGTTATAAATTTGGTGCGGTTTGCATATAATTGATATGGCTTTCTAGGCTTGAACCAGACTAGGGACTAAATACGAATGATCATGTGGAATCCCACAAGAGAATTTATAAAAAATGACAAAGGAAACTCGTTCCGTGACAAACGTATCGACCGTCAAGAATTAAAACGCCCAGTCAAACACTAGTGATTTAAAAAGCTTATTTATGACCACTGACCACTGTATGCCGGTGCCCTATTCTCAGCTGGCGAGGCCATATTGGATAATCCACTTGTGGCCTGTGCTTCTTGATCCGCAACGGCGGGACGGGGGTGTTGATGAGCCATAGGCATGAGATGACCATTATTGTCATATGGAATATGGGAAGACTGGCCTGGAATAGATGTGTTCCATCCAATACCCCAATTCTCCACGCCCGGCGTGCCGAGGCCCAGTGCCACGGCAGCATTTCGGTTCCACCAGTCGTGGCTTTCTTCCACTAGATGGTCAGTCCCGTCAAAACCGGAAACAGATGAATTCGAGTTTGGAGACAGCGCGGATTGTGTAGAGCTGATCTGGTTCCCAGCTGGACCATACCAGGCACTCTGGGCAACAGGTGATGGTGCTGCGGAGGGGCCAGAGGTTGCTAGGGGTGACAATTGGTAACTGACTTGCGGGGCGGGGTGTGTATATGCTGATTCGGGGCTCCCATAGTCGGCCCTCTGGGTTGTTGGAATCGGCATATGACGGGCTGGGCCCATTGGCGGAACTGAAGGGGGCATGGTCGCGTTGGGATACTGGGGGCCTATCGAGACTCCCATCATGTTGACGGGGTTTGGATTAAGGGATTCTCTGCGTAGACCAGATGGAACGGGGTTTCCTGGGGATTGAGGTCCATCTGGGTAGGTGTATGGTGGATGTAAGGCATTATGTATCATTGGGGAGTCTTCTGATGTGGAAGGCGACGTTGCTTGGTCCCATGAACCCCATGACCCCCATTTGGCATGGGTGCGTTCGAATATGGAAATCGCCTCGGCCGGTAGCTTGACGTGCCACTTATTGGCAGAGATGTCTAGAATTCGCAAGGTCCGACGTGCCGCCAGCCAGCCATCGGCCATTTCCTCGAGATTCCGAAGCCCATGAATGATATCGCGTTCGGGGTTCCTTCCAGGAAGGTTGAGAAGATGAATGGTGCACGCTGTGTGGGCAATGTATACAACAATATTACAGATTTGTTTCAATCCGTAGGTGCGTTTGTACATGCGCAAAAGCTTCGATATGATGGATGCAGCCTGGGTGCAGAATTTGCGAGGCGATACGTGGGAGGGGAGTGGAGTAGTTGCCTTGGTATACTTGAGAAAGGGCCGATATAGGTGAATGAGGAGCAATTGTTCGAACATGCTGGCCATGCTAATCAGCAAATTGGAACAGATTTGACACTGGCCTGGCACTTACTGCATGACAAAAACCTGGGGAAGCTGTCCTTCTTTCGGTTCAAATTCCCGCGGTAATTCTTTTTTCCACGTTTCAAGCCGAGTGTGAACATCACTTAGCTTTTTCAACTCCGATTGTTTTGACTGGGATTTTTCCAAATCTGAAGGGTGATAAAAGTATTTAAGCAGATCATTGCTGATTTCACACAGCTTCGAAATTTGTAGAGCGACCGCTCTTATACGGGAAGGCTGTGTATGCTCCTGGCCCACGCCAGCGTCTGTGTATGGTGACCAGATCTCGGTCTCCTCTTGTGGCAGGACATCAAACTTGGGCACATTTGTGTTGGACGAAGACAACTGTGGCTGACGGCCAAGGTAATTTGACCAGCATCTGCTACGCGTTAGAGACAGCAAGGAAAGTCTTAGGCAGAAGGAACACACTTATCAACGAGATAGCAGCCCCAGAAGGTGATCCGACGAGCATCGACTTCCTCATCGGTGAGATTGCGTGCCCCCAGGCTGGAAGCGTCGACATTCAAACCTAGATCGAATGCCATGCGAAAGCTCAAGCCACTGTACACCCAGCCTTTACCTTCACGACCACACCCAGCCTCGCGGACAGACATGAGAGCAAAAGCTTGGACTGTACACAACTTTGCATTTTCGTGCTCGTCGTTTTCGTGGATCAGTCGCTTAGCTTCTTTGAAGAAATGGTTGCCGGCTGTTGCGATATCACCAGGATCTGTAAATGCGCCCGGCCATGAGCTGAAATGGCAACCAAGGGCTAGCATGGCATTAACGAGCAAGGCAGAGCAATACTGGCTAGGTATGCCCCGTTTCAAGTCCCTGTAAAAGACATCTTTCGCAAGGATAGTAAAAAAAGGATAGTGCCAGGCGAAATACATGGTCAGTAGATGGCTAATGAGTAAATCATCCTCAGTTACTCGCGTCCATCGTCTGATGAGGTTCGTGTCATTGACCGGACCAAGAATATTCTCGGCGACTGAAGCCGACTCGTGGGATTCCGAGTCGGGGGGCAGAAAAATGAGATTTGATGTGCCGCCGATGAATTTGCGTGAGCCATCAAGCATAAGTTCGCTCATTTTACCCGATAACTCATATTCGAATCGGTCAACCTCAGATGGGTTGTCATCGCTAGTCGGGTCCCTCTCCTCTGGGGCCGAGAGAAGGCCACTCTGCCGCGAAATGACAGATTGAGCGACTGCCTCTAGATCGTCGCATGACCTGATCTCGCGCACCAGGTCGAATGCATCGTCTTCGTCGTAGTTCAGCAACGCCTGAAACAATGTTTGCAGCGTTGTGTGCCGCGTCCGCAGCGTGTCGGCGTCTTTCTTATAGACGCCTTTGCGACGATGGTCAGAGTTTGGATCGTAAACGCCTGATTCGGAGTCAGCTGAGAGCATACAACAGCCTGATGAGAATGTACAAACAAGATGTGTGGTAGACCGAGGAGCATGCAGCGCAGCTGGGTAAGTTTCCATCGCACTGGTTTCGATTATCAGTGATGATTCCCCACAAAGCTAAGCCTAATGCCAATGACATACCTTTGATTTTCTCCTGCGACAAGCAATGCAAGCTGTACTGACACAGCGTCTTTTGGACGCTGCCCGATCTGCAGACATGATTTTGATCTCCTTGCTATGATAGGCGCGTGGGTTTGAGGTTGCTTTCTCCGCGGAATGAAACCCCCCACGTCTCAGCCTCGTGGCGGCCGCTCAATGGTCCAGTTCTGAATGCGATCAGTGCATAATGCGTCCATCATCCAGAATAACACGGAGCATAGAGCAATTCCGGTGGCTTGCAAAATAGCCCGATGTGACTTTACAAGCTCTGTCCGAGCTGGTCAGCTTTGGTGGGCCATGAAGATCAGGGACGATCCGGGGGGTTCGGCCTTACACAGCTGGGGCTTGTTTTCTCTGCCAGGAATGTATGTATACAGGGTGCCGCAGGTAGTCCGGTTGAATCCTCGACCCCGCGGTATGACCCACTACAGAAGTGGGGGATGATGGGGAAGTTTGAAAAGAAACTCGATCTCCAGTACCCCAGAAACACAGACAGCAAATTGCAATTAGAGATGCGTCCGACTTGATTGGACGCCTGCAGGTCGCGATGGAGGTTTATCGCTGGCCTCTGGATGGCTCATTCCCTCATACGAAGATCGATAAGGATGCGTGATAAAATCACGTGATATCATTACATACTGTGTATCGGACCAACCCGCCATGGGTCACGTGACATGAACAACAGGATTTCTATTTCTGGAGTGAAGGCTGTGTTGTTTTACGAGAAACAGCATGCGAAACAAGATGGGTCCGAGAAAAAACACGAGACACCGCAAGACCCAAAAGGTGAAATGATAACAATCACACAATCCACAACCCACAACAGATCTACCGCGCTGACCGCCAGGTCAGCCCAAAAAAAAGCAAAGAAAAATAAATAGTGCAAATTTAAGCCGTAAATTCGGAAGACCAGGGATAAAATACGCACACAACGCCTAAAATCAAAACAAAAGGACTTCATCAGGCATACACCGCAACTATTTCGCTTAATCAGCTCCACTGACCACGTCTTCTAGTGACGGATTTGAGTGCCTGCAGCCACCCGAGGCCCGTCGTAAGCCCGATCGGCCACCGCCGGACTTCATCTCATAAGCCAGAATCTCATGCAATTAAATCTGTAGTAGTATCAGAGAAGCCTTGTTTCGGAATTAAAATAACCCAAAATATTCTTAATCGCATTAGATTTCTTCTAGAAGGAAAAATCCCTCATGAACTAGACCGAAATTGGCAGGTCAGCCCCTTTTTGGTCCTATAACGACAAAAATCCTTGCGGGCGTTTTCCGCGAACGAAAACAAACTGAGAACGGCACAGTATCTCCATTTATGCAGGCACACACTAAACCCAACCTTAAAATACTGTCCTCCGATCCAACTTGGGCCCTACCTTTTGGAAAAACTTAATACCCCAGAACAAAACGGATGGATTTATCAGCTGAGAACTCACCAGACTCTATACAAGATACATGTCAGATTATCTTCAGCAGAGTATAGATAGGTCAGCCCGGACTGGGGTCCGATCCTCTGCAGGGCTTCGATGGGTCCACCGGACGAACATTCCACGGGCTGTAACGAAGAAAAGAATTTACTAATGCGGAAGAAAATTACAGACAATACCGGAACCCCGGCAGGTTATTGTCCCCCGCGGCCAATGAACAATTCCGATATTCCATTGAAACCCCAATGGATGGTCAAGCCCCCGCTTCGCTTGACTAAAGGGATCCATATTTCACGCTGTCACACGCGTACCTGCCCAATACACCCTTATCATCTCGTCCACTCCAAACCCTTTCCTTATCTTCCCCCAGTCCTCTCTCTCTTTGCTACATATCACCTTAAACTTCCGCTCCCCCATCTTTCCCTAAACATTCTTACACTTTCCTCCGACCTCAGACTTCACCTCCGAATCATCCCCGTAACCCAGCCTTATCACCTTATCGGCTGGTCTTGACTCTCCCGAAGTGTGCATCGGGAGTCATAGCCGACATTCCTCCCTTCAATGTATCTCGCCCAACGACTCGACCAGAGTGCCTCGTCAGGCAAATCTTCCACTGGAACCATTCTCTCTGGCATGACTATTTAAAATGATGGTCCCCAGAGCATTTCTCTTCACTTCAGTGCCATCCCAAAAGACGATGCGGTCTGTTGGAGGAAAGGAACAGCCGGAGCAGCTGCCAATGTATCTGCCCGGCCCTAAACCCCTGTACGATGCGAAACTCCCAGCGTCAACCAATGCTGTTCCTGTGGGGATCCCGTCAAAACGGACCTCGCGCACTCCGGTGCGTCGAGAAGCCCGCCTCCGTACCCCATCCAAGACGTCAGCCTCTTCCCGCCGATCCTCCTCCTCTTCTTCCAACGACCGCCAAATCCCCAAAGCAGTAGCCTCGATGCTAGACGCAACGGCTATTCCTGTTCCCCGACGAAGTTGGTCCAACCGGAGACCTCGGAAGCTTCCCCGGGGCAATAACGTGGAGGAGTTCAGCCGGTTAATGCAGGAAGGGGTGAAGTCAAAAGAAGAGTATTTGACCAGCGGAGCTGTCAACTCTCCTCTAGATATCTTGTTGAGCCCACCAGAGGACAACGAAAAATATCTTGTCAATGACTCAGAATCCGAACCCGCCTTCTCAGCCAGATCAATCTCAAGCGACTCCATGCCATCACTTGCCCACGACCTCGCATCGCCATCCAGCATCTCTCAACCACCTACGCCCGCTAGCCAAAAGAGTCCCTCTGAGAGGCGACAGCTCCGATACACTCCCGCGGAGGACTGTGCTTTCGACCACCCACTGCTTGAAGTCGAGATTGAAGAAGGCGAAATGATAGAGTTCGACGCCGACAGGGAGCTAGGAACCCCAGATGTGATCCCAACAGAACAACCGGCCTCATTTCGAACCTTTCCGCGCCTGAAGTCTTCATTTAGATCGAACCTCACCGCATCATTACGTGCTATCAAGTCTGCCGCACAATCCGTTTCTTCCTTAACGACGCCCTCAGTTCAGCCTGAGGACTTCCTCACTCGGTCACTCTTCGCTATTGCACCCGAACTGACGGACGACCGTCGCCCTCCACCAATGCAAACCCCGCCCTCCCCAGCATTGCGAAGGTATCTGAACCCAACACCAATCTCTCCGGCAGAGATGTGTGTCTATCACGACCACCCGCACGAATCTCCCGAGGTGACTCAGTCTTGTGTATCGATTCAAATGCAGACCTATCGTCGCTCTCGCAGTCGCGGTCATCGACGCAATAATTTCCATGTGGTTTCTAAGCAAAAACGCGACCAATACTACACATTTGACCCGGAGGTTCCGCCCATGTCACGCCAGCGGGAACCTCGTGAGAACAGCAATTTCCTTCGCATGGTTGTCCTGGAGATGAACATGCGACGCAGCGGCAAGCTTCGTGAAGACATCCCTACTCGGGCTCGCATCTGGCTTCCCCCTCGCAAGAACAATCAATACCGCGTGGCTGGAGACTACGACGACGGCGAAGATAACAACATTCCATCTCGCTGGGTGGGCGTCTCGGCCTAAGGCCAATCTTTAAGATATATCTGACTCGCGCAGAGCGCCGTCATTTCATCAGTACATATATTCTCTATTTCCTTTCTCATCATACAAGCGTGGCGTTGGACAGGATCAAGGTGTCCCGGCTGACACGTCTCTCATTTTAATTTTCTGTGGCATACCCCTTCGATCGATCATAAATTCTCTACCTAGCTTTCCTATTTTGCTTGGTGTCTTACCAAGGAAGGGCATGAGACAAATCAACTCTATTTTAAACATGTAATCTCTATTCGTTCCGTTATTACTGGTAATACTGTTGTAAACATAAACTCAGTCTAGACGAGTTAATTTCCCGATCGTGATATCATCCCGCATTCATGAGATCATCACCTCATATCAGCCTTTGTCTCCGCATGAGCCAACCATTTCGTTCCACATGGTCACGGGGCCCGTCACTCCAAAGCTCTGTTTCTTGGTCGATGGGGTTGGAATGACAAGAGTATTCATCGGCAAATTTTAGCGAGCTTCCTGGATGAAAACCTGAAAGATGATGGGTTCTTTTGTCTTGGTACTAGTATTAGCTAGTAGTGACGTATTCCCTACGCCACTTAAGTCGCGATAACCCGCCCCAATTAATTAAGCAACTTGTTTGCTTCTAATCATTTCATAATCCTCCGATTGAAGTATGATCTAGAATCTAGAGCTCTGAAACTCAATATCCCATGAGGTCTACAGTATGACAGACTAATTGTGTCTGTCTGCACCGGTTCCTCGGTACGCTACTGGAGTTACGGGCACTACGCCGGCCTAGACACAAGAGTAGCGAGTTATGGTCTCAAAATAAGTGGACTGGGTCCATGGTGAATCCAATAAACGATCCTTAGTTACCTAACTATTTTAACGGATTCCCCCCCCACGATTATTGCGAAACGAGTTGACTATTGTTCCATAATGGGATTGATCAGCATTTAGAATGGTCTAGAAGGATGAGCATGAGTCACCCTCACTTGTATTCTTGCCAGATAAATAAACACATCGAATGATCAATAACAGGAAGGTATTGTACTCAATTGAATAAAATGGATTAAAGATCCGAGAGGGCGTCCATTGACCTCGGAAATGAGATTCGGGGAAAGGATCGTATTTGAGGTCTCTAGCTAACAGGAATATCGTGATGCCTAGTGTCTCTATAATACTGTACATTCTTTGCGCCAGATGCAACTTTCGCAACCCTCAAGATGCTATTTGCCCACAGCATTTAGTTGCATCTTTAGAATCAACGCCGTTGCCCCACTAAGGTTATCGCCCCACCAAAGATAACAAGGTTCAACGGAATGCATATTCCGGCATATACCCCACGTTGTAGATTTTGAACAGTTTATAGTGAAAGATTTCAGATACTGAGCATCATCAAACAACAAAGCAGTCCACAATGTCCCACCTGCAATATTTCTCTTACAAGGGTCTCGGCGAGCGACAACGCCAGAAGTTCAGATATAGCCAAGCCGTGCGGATTGGGGACCGGATTGAGTGTGCAGGCCAAGGTTAGCTATCCATCAAAAATCAGTACAGCGTTATAATTGGTTGCTAAATTGTGCCTGTATAGGCGGCTGGGACCGTGAAACAGGCGTGTTCTACAAGGAAATCAATGCACAAATCGATCAAGCATTCGCCAACGTCGAACATAACCTCCAAGATGCCGGTGGAGAGGGCTGGAACCAGGTTTTCCGCGTTAATTCCTATCATGTGCCCATCAATGATGAAGCTTTAGCGGCTATGGTACGAAACTTTGAGAAGTACATGCCCGGGCATCAGCCTATTTGGACTTGCGTTGGGGTTTCTCGTCTTGGGGAAGATGATATGCGAGTTGAGATTGAAGTTGTGGCTCATGTACCTAATTAAGCAGCAGTCGTTGTTAGGAAAAAAGGTGCAAAATGAACGTCCTCCAGTATATCTATAGTACGGTGAATGGGGAATTGATGAATTGGTGAAACGTACATGTAAGTATACGGGTGTCAAAGTCAATCCAAATTGGCTCGAGCATCTGATTCGCTTAAGATAGACCCCTACTCACAACGTGCGGCACCTTCCCAGGCCCGAGGTTGCAGATATCCCCAACCTTGAAAGATGGGAATATTTATGGAAAATTATGTACTTTTTCAAGACAGATTCCGAGAGCAGCACAGATTCTCAGGGCTTGTCGCAGATGTCTAACCAAATATCCTTGACCATTTCTGCAGTTCATTGGCATAAAGCTTATGATCATGCTAAGTTCATGAGTGCCATATTTGTTTAGCTTCATCTTGGCAAATCTACGTTTCAGAACTTGATACAGTAAAAGCACAAGTTTTTCAAGGAGACAATCTTGCAGAGCTTGCTCTCTCATTCTAGCCTCATGGGGTTTAACTCAAGCTACTCATCGAGGAACATTGAACCCTAGTGATATAAAGGTCAGATCCCATATACATGATCAAAGGTGCTTGGAATAAACTCAAAGGCAGGACGATGACTTACTCTCTTCATCCAGCAATGTTCCGTTCATCCAACTCTCCTCAACCCAGGCTACGCTGACAAGATGTGGAATCTTCCCAGGTCTTGCAGCCAGAGACTCTCGCAGAGAAGTTTTGTCTTCCGAGGGCAATGTCTCTGGGTTTATAATGACATGGGTAACATTCGAGCTTTCGAGTGACGTGGTAGTATTTGCTCCCCCAAATTGTGCAGTATTTCGTGCAAGTTGCAGACGAATGTCCCCTGCCGCGATAGTGGGAGCGGGATTATTATTCTCAGTGCTGGTCTCCTGATTCTTTTCAAAAAATAATAATGTAAACCGGCGGAAGAGCCATCCGCAAGGAGCTGTGTATCCGGCATTGATTTTATCTCGGATGAGATCCTCGATTTTTCCCGATGTGCGAGAATCAATAGTGTTGTTCGCTTGGTCTTCGTTTGCCATATTGTTCAAAATCTGCATGCAAGGTTAGTATGCTCGAGTAATCTGGGAATAGGCGGGGGTGGGAGGGACGGACCTCCTTGAGTTCATCGACATTGGTATCCCGAGCGTAGCTATCCGAGAATCGATCGACATTCATTTTGATCTCATTATCTCGATCTTCCATGGTAAAGAACATGTGTCTAGATGGATGGATTGGTCAGTGCCTATGGATTTGATTTGTGTTTCAATTGATAATACCTGGGTTCGTATGGAAGCAGAAAGTCGGGCAGGCCTGCATCCTTCTCGCTTTGCTTGACACAATCAAGCACCCAGGAGGGCTTGATGATATTGAAATTACCATGCTTTTGCAGTGATGCTACCTTCACGGTTTCTAGGGTAGATCAGAAAAGTTTAAATGTCCTCTACAAGGGTCAAACTTACTTCGATCGGCAATGCATATCGTGTCCGATACAGCAGTATGGGTTTGAAATACCTTGCCGCCATTGGCTTTGACCAGCTGCTCCAACTCGCCTTTGGTCCTCTTCGCCGGAGCACCAGCATCCGTCATTATAACTAGACCGATATCAGCAAGTGAGATTATGTATCGAGGCTTCCAATGCTTACAGAAATTCAACTCATCAAAAATTTGGCCGGATGGACCCGCATATTGCACATTCTCCTGGTCATCATAGCCTGCGATATTCAAAGGCTTTTTCACTGCCCTCTTGACTCGCTTCTGCTTCCGGGAATTGTCCACCTGAAACTCCTTCTCGCGCTGTTCCTTCTCCACATTGGACTTGAGGTCCAAGAATTCCTGAACAGATAGCGAGGTCTTCCAATTCTTGTCCTTGCGTACCTTCTTGAAGCGGGGAAAGCGGAGTGTCAATCCCATCCGGAACTCGTCACTCACGGATACAGACGATGCCTTCACGCATAGTACAATCGATTCAGATGGTTTGATCCACATGTCTGGCTTCTCGTATTGAGCATCTCCACCGGCCAGCTCTATGAACTGAGTTGGCGGCTTCTTCGAATCCCATTTTTCCCACTTGCCATCTGTGTGGTGACGCACTTCCTGGTAGTCAGCGGCAGTAAACCCGCCTCCTACTTTGCAGAAAGACCAAAATTTCTCGGTATTCACTCCCTGAGATGAATGATTGTCGTCAACACGCAAACCACAGAGAAAACTAGCAAGGTTGCCTCCACGATGGCCCTGGCCGTAGTAGCCTCCTATGACTACCACGTCGAGAGACTCGCCGAATTCAGTCATGTACTCAGGCTTAACTTTCATCCAGTCGTCGTGCCGCTCATTCAGTCGGTATTGAGCTCGAGGATTTTTCAAGACCAGACCCTCCGATGCTTGGGCAACGACTTTCCGCAGGCATGTCTCGATTTCAGCAGCCGTGGTCGCTTCTTCATAAGGAAGGATCTCAAAGCGACGATGAATGGGCTTTATTGTTTTCTGTAAAGCATTGCGACGGTCTCGGAGGGTGTATTTTGTCAAATCACGTCCGTTGAGATGCAAAATATCAAATATCCGGAACAGAGGCCGCGGTCCATTTGAAAAGGGGTTGCGCTGTTCAGCCAAAGCTGCTGTCTTAAGGGTCCCAAATGGGACCATCGCATCTTGCTCGGGATCCCAGGTAATCATTTCACCATCTAAGATCACGCTTTGCACCCCATCGACAAAAGCATCCTTCAGATGCCTTGTCAGCGCTCCGTTCTCGTCATAGATCCCATTTCCATAGAGATAAGTGTATTCTTTGGCCTTGCGGGACCAGAAGGCAAACCTGCGTCCGCCCTGAATCGAATCATCTGGAGCCATATGGAGTTGTAGTCTTTCACCATCCATCTTTTCTTCAATCCAGAATACAGGATCTTCCTCTGTCGGGCGCATCCGCGAGATCATCTTATCAAATGAATGCATCTGAAACTGGGCCAACTGAGGTTGAAAGCACTGCATAAGCCCAATTCCTCGATCCTCTGCTTCTAGCCGAATATTGGGATCATGGAGCTCCCAACACACGCGCCGCAAGCTACTAGAAATACTGTATAGACTCTCGGCATCCGGGTGCCAAACATTAAAGAAAGTGCGCTCGGTAGCGCCGACTTTCATCTGACGAAGGATGATTCGAATAAGCCAGGTAAGCTCATCCGGGTTCATACGCCGATAGAATTCAGCTAGTATATGCGTTTGTTCATCCTCTTTTGAGGCCGCAGATAGCTTATCCAGCTTATCGTTGACTTCTTCAATTGACATATCGCCCGGTTCGGTTCGTATCGGCCGCTTCGATAGAACATCATGACAGCGTCCAGCAAAGTCACCAGCCATACGGGTTGCAGCAGATTGTCCGGGTAGCTTCCAGTTGAGCAAATTGTAGCCGTCTTCCGAGTCTCTGTTGATCTTCATGATCTTAACGAGCATCTTGCCAATAGCTTTCTCCTTCATCCCATACATCGGGCGGTCCCTGTCTTTGTCCGGCAAAATCAGCCGAAAAGCCGGATAGATGTCGTCGCCCACCTCTTTGCGCCATCTTGAGATAAATCGGGAAATGACATCGTGGCGTAGCTCGAATGGGTTCGAGCTGGCATTGCCTGCATTAGAACCGGCTTTTCTCCGGGCTACAGCTGAGGCCACTGGCTTCTTTTTAATTTGGCTTAGCGTATCAAAGAGCTTCAGATATAGCTCGTGGAAAGGAAGTGTCGGACCGTGGTTATGCGGACGGTTTGGATATCTGTTTTATGGCGGTTAGCAGTGATATGTCTGAGGTCATGTAATTTTACTTTTCATCCAGATCCTCCTCCAAATTTGGAGCGGGATTAGGCATAATCTCATCGGAATCCATTGTGATATGAGCTTGAAAGAGCAGGAAAGATGAGAGTTCCCCGGATGTTTATTAGCTCTAGGCAGCGGTAGCGATAACGATAAGAACATGTGACATCACTGAAGTCTTATGCATCCGACGTGTATACTTTTGTTTCACTTTCTCCGCAAAATTAATCATTCATTTACTTCTCAAAAGTATTGTACAGTTCACAGGGTATATTGTTGGCGAAGAAAAACGAATACGCAAAAGTAAAGATCAAAGCTCAGCGAGGATCCGCATTGACATTGCAGCTCTGCTCCCCATCTGGATTCCGTGCCACCAGATCAGCCAAACGACTCAGAATAGCAATGAACCTCTTGGAGCTTCCCCATGCTGTCAAGTTGGACAATATCTCGCAGCCGATTCGGAGAACTCTCTCTGGGCCCTCGGGCGCACATATATCTCCCACGCCTGTGATATTGCCTCGCATCGAGTGGCCCTCTCGCACAAAAAGCTGGACCAGCTCATCATCGCACGGACGATCTAAATGAATGAAACTCGGCTCCTGTGATGGAACTGCTCGTGAAGCCTGTGAATTGGGGCTGGACTCCATTGGGCCATGCACGTGACAGGACCCGTACGCCCATAGTGTCAATACGGCAACAAACACGGCTGCTGGCTCATGAAATGCATTCGTGGAGTATCGTCGAACGTGCCAAAGGGTCACACCGGCGTGGATTATTGATAAACGAGCTTTGTATTGATCATGGCGTATCCAACGCCAAATATACTGCCACTCAATGGCGTGGGTTCGTCTACTCCACCGTAGCTTGCTGGATGCTAGAAAGGTAGCGAGTGAGCGTATTTCCCGAAATGGTGCTAGTAGGACAAGCCGTGCTGCATGAAGATGGAGAACAGTTGGATGCTCCAATCCAGCGGCTTTGGCGATAGTGCTGTTGGCAGTCCAGTGAAGGATGTCAAGGCAATCGCAGGCGCTGTTACGCCATTTAGAATACGATGGAATTCCTGGAAGCCAAACAGAGCCGATCGGAATGGCGGTCTCACGAGATTGCTTCTTGGCAGTCGGGTTCCAAAAGGAAAGGGGCCGGCGGAAGTAATCGCCCACTTCCCACATGCGATGATAAAGAGCGTGTATGAGAAGAATGTGGCTGAATTCTCCAATCCCTGATACCAGCCTCTTTTCGATATAGAGTATGTGCACTGCATCATACAAGGACTCATTGATTAAATAAGGTGAGGTCCGAGATGACGCCTGTGAATGGTTCGGCGAATGGAAATCGCTAGCTGGATTTTCCCATAGTTGCTTCCACGTCTCCGCAGAGTTCGCATGCCACAGTGTCTCGTGTGCGGGTAATGGAGCTTGTCCGTCGTCAAGCGATAAAATTGGGCGGTCGTCAAAGTAATAAGCAATTGTACAGTCCAAAAGCTGGATGAGCATGTCAGTGAATCCCCAACGCATGATACCAAATAGAAGATGCATACCCAGATACAGTAACCTGTCCGTCTCCGAACTTCATCTTGGACCCAATTCATCCATATAGCATCATCTGAGGAACCACAAGTGTTGCCTGGTTTTCCAATTCCTAATAATCTTTCCCGATTCATAAGAGTCACGAGGTCCTTGAAGGAGCTTAAAGCGGATGCTTTCGCTCGCTCACTTCCGCTATGGAGAAGACCTATGCAATTGAGCAACATGACTTGAATTAGATCGAGGGAATCCTGCCCAGGTCGGTATCGTTCTTTCTGGAGATATATAGTTGTAAGTCAAAGCAAGTGCAAAAGAAAAATCAGGAAAATAATTTACCTCAACATGGAGAGCACGTCGAATCAGCTCATGGAAGGCAGCTGTATGTTGATCTGCCGATGGAGTACTTGAACTGTGGCACCCGATTGCCACAAGTGCCACAGTCAAGAGCCAATAGCAGTGGTTAGGATTGAAGGAAGGTAGATGAACCATAGGATATACTGTCTGGAATGAATCGAAGTAGCAGACAAGGTATCGGCCGCAGTCCTCTGCAGACGGAAAATTTTCAGATTCGAACATTTCAAAAAAGGGGTTCTCGCTTCGGCAAAGCAGAACAAAATTGCGATATATCTCGTTATAAGTAGTGGGTTCGATTGGTCGGACGGAGTAGAGTATTTCGTCTGAAATATTTTCCATATTGACTTCGTGTGCACTGGGGAAGTCAAAGCGATGGGAATCGGTTTCAAAAAGAGAATCATTAGTAGAAATCACCTCGGCAGATGAAGTGGACCAGTGTGTCTGTCTTTTTCTGTATTTTGGAAGCCGGGCACCACCACCATCAACGTAGTAATCTGCCGAGCGTTTCGTTGAATCGACGGATTCAGAATGGAGCGATGCTTCGCTGGGAACATGAGAACTACGGCGTCGTGGACTCCCCATGTCGGTGCCTAAAGACAGGTTTCCAGATGGCGTTTGGGAGACATTCTCAGGGATTGAGGTACTGATCTGATCAGCATGAATGACCGGTGGTTGCCATGCTATGTGAGCCGTATAGTTGTTTGGAAGGGCTGGTTGAGAGAATTGTGAAAGAACCCTGGAGCCTTGCCCCTGATCACTAGCCGCAGGTCCAGCGAAGAGTTCGTTAGGAAGCCAATTGATAGCCGATATCATGGATTGATCGAAAATCGACGGGTCAAAATCTAGCGCGATCTCCGTATTCCCCGTCATGGCCATCTCGATATCAACCCCGGGTTGTGGCATGTCCGGCTGAGGATTCCTCATTTCAGAGCCAAGACCAGCTGATGTCTCAACGGAAAACATCTTTGGCAGATCGGGGGTTTCGATTCCAGAATATTCACCATTGGGGTAGGTGGGCATTGGCAACGGTCCTGTAGATGACGCAGGATTTGAAGGTGGTAAGTATAACCGAGGATCAGGAGGCCCCGATGCCGAGCCTCTACCATCGGATGGTGTATTCTCTACGAGGGCGCCAATTGTATTTTGGAAAGTGTCGAGCGGGGGCTTTGGTGAAGTTTGTGAGTCATTCAAACCATTCACCGAGAATTGAGCGAGTTGATAGGATGTTCCATGTTCCACCTGAGCAGACGCATTGTGTCTCTGGGTCCGGGGAGAGCGCATAGGAGAATGAGACTCCGAATCATGGATTCCTGATCCAGACGTGCCTCGCGCTCCGTTTCTGGCCCTTGCTTTTGAACGTCTCTCCGTGGGGTATTGGCATTGTAATGTCCGGGTTTCACACCGTCCACATGGCACACCACCGCTGCATCGAACTCTGGCCGTAGCACAGCTGAAGCATGCGCGAAAAGTCTTGACGGTAATTCGATGTGTTCGATCTTTGCCGCCGTCGGTTGTTGGATTATGGTGGCTTAGTTCGTGGCGATGGAGGGTATCTCTATATATGATGAGTCCAGTGGTTCCTCCCTCGTGGTAAGGGATCACCTACGTCCGAGAGAAGTGTCGACCGCATTGAGGGCATTCGAAAGGTTTCTCTTTCGTATGACTGCGCAAATGGCGCTTCAGATGTTCTGGTCGGCGAAATGTGCTGCTACAAACCGAACACTGCACCTGCCCTGAGTTCAGCAAGGGTTGTTCAGCTTGTTCTCCACCCGACACATGCGCATCCACATCCATGTCCGTATCCATGGTTTCATCCGGGGTCGCATTGTCTTCCGAGAGCATGGCGCCTGCAGTAGAAAGATGCTCCGTACCATGCTGCAGGGACAGGATCATGCCAGATCCCAAAATTGAGGGGGAGACCTTAAAAACCGTTCCACATGCGGAGAAGCGGAGAAAGCGCTACGCGATTGGTTTCGACATTTTAAACGAACTTCGGTTAATTGCGAATCTGGGGTTAATTAGCTGGGACGACGATCGAACTTTATCCAGGAACAGAGACGAGTTTCCAGATCATTCTTGAGCATCTCCAGGGCTCGGCATGAATTCCACCGTACTCGAGCAAGATACGAGAAATATACAAAGACCTTGACTGGGTACATGGGTGCTTTGTACGGTTGTACGTCCAATCTATACTGGACATGGGTTGCCTGGTCAAGTGCACGGTCGCATTCTCGAAAAGTGGGCCATCAGCGTCATTTGTTTCTTTACCCACTGCAGTGCAACTCTGAAAAAAAAAAAAGTTAGAGCAACATCAACATCCGTGGTGATTCCCAAACCTCTGTGGAGATCGATTCCATGAACGGCGAGATCGCCGCCTCGAACCCGCGGTTGGCTTCCCCGGCCCTCCGAAAGAATGACTCCGCGCGATTAGGTGCAGCGATCGCCTTTCATCAATCCCGTCCATCATCCAATGTGAACCCCCAGTCATCCGCTGCCACCGCAGCTGTCTTGGCCAGTCGGATGAATCGCCATGCAGGCACAGAGATGGATTCCGAGTCCGGTCCCGAAGTCGGCTCTGTGAAGGACAAAATTGGGAGGTTTGCTGGTAGTAACTCGCTCGCTCCACCGGCCACGCGAAGTACCCAAGGACGACCACGAACACCCTCTATATCGAAATCTCCAGCTCCCAAATCGCCAGGCCGAAGCCCAGGCCCGGAACAGGTGGCAGCACATCTGGCGGCAGCTCGTCTAGCCGCAGAAAGATCCCCGGGGCGAAAACCACAGGAGTCGACCAACAATGCGGCCCGACTCGGCGCCATGCGTAGTGCGAGTAGAGCACCATCTCAACAACCTCAGCCACCGTCGCCTGGAGCTCGTCGCGATTTACCCTCCCCCGTTCCAGTCCGGCCAAAGCCTACGATTGATTCCCCTGCAGATCGAATGCTCGATGATGACCCAAGTTTCGAACGATCCCCCGGGTACGGACGGCCTCCGTCCAGCCCATCTCGCGCTGGCAGTCTTCGTGGGCGGGGAACAAGTCCTCAGCCCTCCGCTTCCTCTCGAATCTCTCTAGTACTACCAGATGAAGTGGTGCCAAAAATTCCCCCACTTCCCCCGCGGTCTACAGCCTCTTCGCGGGTGTCATTACGAAAATCGATTCCCACACCGAACTCATTACGACCGACACCGAGCATGATATCGATTTCAGGTCTTTCACAAAGCAGCTCCAGCGCGCTGAGCGAAGCAGGTGGGATGAACGAGGAGGCTCTCTCCAATGCCATTGTCGCCTCCTCCCTCGCATCCGCTCGTGCATCCCCCATGCCAAAGGCCTCTCAGGCCCCTCCTCCGCCTCCACGCCGGCGACGGGCTCGGTCTCTTCTTGCATTAACACATTCGCCAAAGAGTGAGATGTCAAGAACCCCAAGCCCGCCGAAAGGTATGCCAATGACTCTCCGCGGCATGCCGAAGGGCAACGATGCCGACCCCAAAGGGCGACATAAAATGAAATTACTCCACAAACACCCGCACAAGCACCACGAGGGAGATCGGAAACGATGGCGACGAGAAGTAACTGAGAAAGAACGCAAGCGCTACGAAGGTGTCTGGGCCTCCAATAAGGGACTACTCATTCCGCCAAATTTCAAGCTCAGTGGGCCCGATAGATGGCCTCCACCTTCAGAGATGGTGTTGAACCTTGTGGTGCGGGAGATCTGGTCCCGCAGCCGCTTGCCATCCACGGCGCTGGAACAGGTGTGGGCCCTCGTGGATAATCAGGGTATCGGACTTTTGACCAAGGAAGAATTTGTAGTTGGAATGTGGTTGATTGATCAGCAATTGAAGGGTCACAAATTACCAGTCGCTGTTCCGGACAGTGTCTGGGACAGCGTACGGTATGTGACAGGCATCAAGCTGTCTTCCGTCGGGAAATAAGGGATTTGTATTCAGTATATAGACTTTTGATGAGGGTTGCGCGGGATCGCGACTACTGCACAATACACATTACATCAAGAAAGAATGCCTGTAGTCCAGTGTTGTCCCCGGAGCTACGCAGATGACAGTATGTACCTACTTAAAGTACTGATGCATGCGGATGTTTATTTGAACCCCCTTCCTTCCTTTCTCGGATTCCACTCCAAGTCAAATTGAGCAAAATTCTGTACCAGGATTCCTCAGAGACAAAGAATCCGGATCTTCGTGCATTGGTTCCCTGGTCCTCGTCTACACAGAATGCATGTTTCAATCTCCAAATCGGGGATCCCCACCGTCATGTGATCACAGGGCAGGCGTGCCCGCCACTGACATGGCGACCACGGGTTTGACGTTTCAGGGGAAAATGCCAGATTAAGGGAGTTACATGGATTCTTCGAGTCCGTTTCACTTTCCCCAACATCGTCGAACGCACGAGGGGAGCTATTGATCGTGACAAATTGTGGACGGAGCAAATCCCGAATCTCCACGGCTCGGGATTTGGATCCAGAAGATCAAGCAATCAGCGCACCCGTTTCTATATCATAGGAAGCACTTCTTCTTCACTCGTCCAGATTCCCACAACACAATGCACAATTTGCTCCATCAGTTTAAGAATTGAAGAGCAAACCCCGAGGACCTAAACGCCAGACCCCGAGAGCTAGTGAGAAAAGAAAGTGTGCGAGAACGACCAGGGCGGGGATTGCGGAGTATCGCCCCATGCCATCCCGGCCGTGTGATTCGCCATGGTCGACGCTTTTCACAACGAGAGCGGGCTTGTCTCGACGGCGCTTCGGCCGATTCGCAAGAAGTTCGCCAAACCACCCGTGAAGGTAGCTTGTTTGCCTTGGTACGTAACGCCCCCGGGTCCCAGCTAATGCACAGATTTCGCTAATTCCCGCCTCCAGCCGCGCCTCGCGAACCCGATGTGGTGGGCAAGAGCCGTGTTCAAATGTAAGTTTCCACCTGGAAAATGCCCTAGTGACTCGTCGCTTTTCCTAGGCCGTCTGCTAGATTAGTTCCCGTGCAAGATGGGATCGATCGCATTTTACGTGTGTACTAATAGCGTCGTCTTAGTGTCTCAACAAAGGCCGAAAATGCTCGTATCTACCCAGCAAACGCGGTGGGCCTCGCACGAAGAAGCAAAGGCCCTCGCCGTCGCCTGAGGAAGACGCGGCGCCGCAGGGTGGTGCCCAGTATGCGGCGATCACCGCGGAGTTCGAAGAACGTAAGTTTATCATGGCCCAATCGCTTGCTTTGCCGTGATATTAATGGCTCCACCACAGCACCGGAGATGTTTACACAAATCGATGTACTCTCTTTGCCGGGCGCAGGATTACGGCATCTAGACTTCCCCCAGCAGGTGTCTTCTATGTTCCAGGGTTACTATGCTGGTGATACGGATCCCGCTCATGTTCCCCTGGAACTCATGCCGTCGCCATTGACTGGCGCACAATGCTATGTACGAACCTACGGAAGTGAACCGGAAATGTATGTTCAAATTGCCTCCATGGCGCGTGTAGAAAGCCTTCTGATAATGTCTACAGATTAAACGCCTACTATGATTTCATCCATTGCTATTTCCCCATTCTTCCACCGCGAGTGGCACCGCAATGTCGAGACCGCCCTTTGCAATGCCCGATATCTTGCTCTGACCCATCATCGGAGCCCCTGATGATGTACCGGCCGCGTTCCCCTCTGAGTCTTGCCATCTCAGCTGTGCTCGCATTAATTCCGCACCCTCATGATCCTGATTCATCATCGTCAGCATCACTCATTCAACGCAGAACATACGCCAACGCGTTCGCGCAATTGGCCAATACGGCCATCGAAACTGAATGTGATCTTGACATATCTTCAACTGACCCTGGGCAGGCCCTATCGTCTCCACGGCCTTCTGTCAATCGAGAAAGGCTCCATCCCCAGACCCCAGAGGATTTGGAAACTCTTCTGGCTTTACTAATTCTTTCTGTGTACGAGTATTCTCAGAGAGGCAACTTGCTAAAGATGAGATACCGGGCCAGTCAAGCATTAGCTCTGGCCTTAGATAAGTCACTCCATGACTACGTGGAAGAGGACGAATTTTGCGAGGCCCGTCGGAGAGCATGGTGGATGACGTACTACAGTGTTATACAAGGCGCCATCGTGAGCACAACTGTGAGTCCAGTCGACCCGAGCTAGATATGAACATATGTCTAATCATGAAACAGCCTCCTACTCTTGTCATTAATGACCCTCAATTTACGACCCCATATCCATCATTCTCATCAGATGCTGAGGTGTGTTTTCCAATCTCGAAGCCCTGCCATTCAAGGGTCTTCAGTCAGAAAGGTCAATGATTTAACAAGTTCTCAGGGATGGTCCATCTTGATACAGGCGCAACAAGTGCTAGTATCCGCGACCCAGTTCATTGCCGATCTTAATAAATCACTTGCTTCGCAGTCGGGCCTCCACTATATGTTTGAACGGATGCAACAGCTTGATTCCTGGACAAATTCAGTACTCGCACAGTGTGAAATCCTCCCAATAACATCTCATGCGCCAGACTTCGGTGATTGCCGCGAAACCATCACCGCACGATGTATACGAACGATGTGCAGGATTAAGCTGTCCAGTGCCCAAATCAAAACTCATCGATTCCGCGCTTTCTCAGACATTCCAATCTTCGTCAAAAGACATTGCGATCTAACAGCCGCCAACGCTACCAATACAGCCCAAATCCTCACTCCAAAATCATCAGGCACAGCAATCAACAGCGTCTCGTGCTCATGCAGCAATCTAGACCAATTCCAACGAGCCCCATCAGCTGAATACATGACCCCATCGGATTCATCCACCTCATCTGACATTCATCCTTACATCCCGCAGTATCCACAATATCCCTTCGCTCAAGGGTTCCCATATAGCACGCAACACTCTGGCAAAATTTGCCTCCGCGCTGCCATCCTCATTTCACGCTTGTTCGAATCTTTGCCTTACCCGCAACCACTTTCTGAAACACATCAACAATCGCATCAACGAGGCGGTGTCTTACCTCGGACCATGCCTTCTTTCGCTTGTTGTTTGATGCAGAGTAGTTACGCGATGTTCATGATTTTCTACAAGACGCGCGTGGCGAACCAGGTGTCCCCGGACCGGGAATCTGAAATTACGAGCGACTCGACCGACAGACTAATTGAGGAGCTTCGGCAAGGTCTGCAGAGAATTATCCGGGCTGTTTCCAACTATTCATTGGCTTTTGAAGCCTTAGATGGGATGAGAGGTAAGTTAATCCTGTCTTCCTTGCTTTACCATTACTCACATTGCTCTAGATGAGATTCAAGGAGCATACCAAACAGCCTTCCCGCCAAACACAGCTATTTAAACCATTTCGTTCGCTTTTCAAGTGATCCACGGTATACGGCGTAACATCAGCGATTCCCCAGTCCTTGTATTCTGCAAAACAAACCCTCTTCCCCACTCATTTCTTGTTGTTTCCCCATGACCATAGCGAGAAGCATAAGATGCTTTAACAGGTATTCAGAGTTCCTTTTAAGTCCCTCATTCATGATACATGTACTTATCTATGAACTATATAATAGCAACGCACACGAAATGGCAAAATATTGTTCTGTTCTTTTCATAGCGTCTGCCGGGTCGAGCCGGCGTTGAATCTCATATTCAACAATTTAATCATAGGTATAGCATTCGAATATGAATCCGGTAGGTAACACTGGAAAAGGAATATACAATAAGTGGAGGATTTTGAAGGTTAAAAAGATCTAGTTTCTAGTAGTACAGACACCCGAGCATTGATTTCTATATCAAGACAACGAGATTCGCCATGCCCAGGTAGCTTTTAGGTATGAAAGTTTCTGTGATAAAGAAACGATCGGCACCTGGCATTTGAGGTAAGAAATACCGGTAAACGCAAAGAGATAACCAAAATAAAGCAAGGAAAGCAACCCTGGTCAAGAAACGTGAATATATATATGGAGCCCTTCCCCAGATTGATTATTTCAATTGTAGCAATCTCATGGAGAGCCAAGTACTGTACATATCTATGAAAACAACACCAAGAACGCATCAAGGCAGATAGAATAAAGAAGTAGAAGAACACGTATATAGCAATATCCCTATCGCACCATAGATATCTCCTAGAACAGATTCGCGCGGCTGAACGGAATTTGAGAACCAAGTTGCCCATTATGTCAAATGCACCAGGTAAGCTGCTCGATGTGGGATCACTCCCTACTATACACTATGGAGAAGACCTTGTTGTCTGGCTACATCCCAGGCCAGAAGGTAAAAGTGTGCTCGCTTCTCTGGATCTTATACTCCATTCCACGCAAAAAAAAGGCTATCGTCCAGGTCGCGGTCCATATCCGCAAAAAAATATACTGATATACATGGTGGTGAATTCTCAGGAGGCTGAGTATAACTCAATTGAGAAGGTTGGCTATGACTGGCTTCAAGATGAACAAGGATGCGACTGATGAGCTTGTGTTGATTTAAGGACTACTAAAGTAGCTGCTGTAGATGTTCGAACAACCCATCTGGAGAGCCATTGGAAATTGAAATCATAAAATGTTCAAGAGCTTTATTAAGCCAACATTTCTTTGAGTGATCACTCCTACCCTCCCTGTTTTCGAAGGCGGAGGTTTACCAGTAAAGAGTGTACTATTCCCCAAATATCGAGTTCACTTATTATTCTTTTGGTTGGCGAGATTTCTGAAACAGCACTGGTATCTATTTTCGCCTTTCTTTACTCTATGTAAATGGCTATTGCTGCTTGTTGCACGTTTCTTCGGCCAAGAAATAAAGACAAAGGGATCTGTTAGAAGGTTTTACAATTACAGAAATGTTGAATTCCAGTATTTCTTTGTCTTTGATCCAGAGACTCACTGTGCCCAGTCATGTGTGCGATCGATCAATGTATGTATGTTTAGTGAGGAATTTTCAATACAACGCCTAGTAGGTAATATGTAAACACCGTATATTTCCTCTAATTCTTCGCTAGAACGGTAGAAACGCTAGGCAAACATAAAAGCAGCCGGTACCATTTGATGGGAACGAAAGACCAGAAATTTAAATCCCTAAAAGAGAAGAGAACAGAAGGAATCACAGCTTTGACCGAATTCCCTCCAGCCTGAATTTGACATCTTTCAAGACCTTGCTCGACGGCTTCCAATCGTCGAACTGACGTAGGAGCTCCATCGTCTCCTCCTGTAGCTCACGACGCACGTGCTCTTCTTCGAGAAGGCCGCGCATCGCAAACGGAAGGATGTACGGGTTTGAGGCAGCAGAAGGATTAGATCGCTTTATGTTCAAGGTTGCATCTGGGGCTGTAGATGTTTCCAGTGCAAATTGGACGGCCATGTAGTATACGGCTTCGTCGTCATATAAACGGGAATGGCCGTCGCCAGTATAGAGACTGCCGGCCAGCGGGGTGCTGAGTTCGCGGATTAGACCGTGGTCTGGAATACCGAGGTTCCTAAGTTTTAGGGCGAAGCCAACAAGGTGAGAGACGCTGATAAGATTAATGTTAATGCTGGTGGGGTTCTCGTTTTGGAGGGATGCTTACAAGCTTGGTGCATGCACTCTGCCATCCACGAAAACAGATCGGTAAATGTATGGATGGGCAATGGGAGAAAATAATGCAGACTGCAGAGAACAATTAGTGAGAATTGCTTGAAAAGATCATTCCGGGTATCGTTGGCATACCTCTAGGGAGACGAGTTGATCGTCAATGCTCCCAACATACGAGATTCGAACACCAAAGTCAAGTGCACATCTCAATGCAGCTTCGTAGTCCTGGGATACTTTGCTAGAGGGTAATTCAAAGTCGAACAGCTCCCCGGCAGATCCACTGATCCATCTGGAGCGGTAAGAAGAAAAAGGGCCCATGTTCACACCAGCCATAGCACATATGCCTACCCGTGACGCATTGACACAGCCAAAAGATATTAGCTTCGCGACCAGCATGATTGACACAGGCACACCCTGACTGTGACATGCGACCAAAATGAAATCGGCTTTGCGAATCTCCTCCATCCAGTTCAGGAGTAACTTCCAGAGCAAGTCCACTCGCTCTGAGATGCGACCTTCCCCTTCTAATGCGATTTTTTCAATATCACAAGAGTATCCATGGTCCACTGTCCATTTCCGAATTGATTCTGCCGCCATGTTGGAGAACCGAATAGATGTCCCCGTGGGTTGCCCAAGCACGGTACGGATTAGCGGGGCGGGAAAGTAGCCATGGACACCAATGGCGAGAGCGCGTTTAATTCTAGGGGGTTCTTTCACACGAGACACATGGTTGTGCTCGGGTCCTTTGCTGTAATGTAGAAACCGGCCAAGGGACTGCAACAGAGAGGGTGATTCTTCCAACTTGTATGTGTCTTCAAAACGGGGTAGCACTTGGTTTGGCAGGATGTTTTGCAGTTGTTTTGAAGCAGTAGAGTCGATCGCTTGAGGTTCTTTGGATGGTGTGAAGGTAGATGTCGCCTCAATCGCGGATACAGCCCCGTCCTTCAAACGACTATCCTTGGGTGGTTTGACTTTTAGGCTGCCCTTCTTTGTGATGTTTACATTTGCTTCTGGGTCAGGTTCCAACCCCGTTGTGCGAGATGGAGTGTCCGGTGCTACTGATGCCTCGACTGCCTCAACTTCCTGGGGCTTTCCTGGCGTGGCATCCTTTGGTGGATCTTTTGACCAGAACGACCACCCTGAAGACTTTGTGGTTTCAGCCGGGGGTTGAGGTAGACCAGCTGCCTCTTCATGTTCTGTGGGATCTTTTGGCGACATATCCACGTCCTTACTTGCTGACGGATCTGATACGGTGGGAGGCGGATTGCTCGATTCCGCTGTTGCCTGTTCTTCCTGCTTACTTGACGAAGAACCGTACCACATCTGCAACCAAGAGCGTTTTTGGGCGGTTGAAGCAGTATCGGTTGTGGCTTCAGCCTGAGATGGCCGGTTGTCTTGTTCTTGTTCCACTTGCTTCCCTTGTTCAGTCGGAAGTGCTGTATCTGTTTCAATATCGGCTTTGTTTGTAGCTTGGACGCTATCGCCTGGTCTCTCAGCTTGGTTCGTTGATTCAGGATTGCTCACAGTCTCTTTCTGTGGGAGTCCTGTTGGATAAATCCATGAAAACCATCCGCTGGGTTGCTCAGCTGCATGTCCTGCATGCGGTGTGTTAGGCTCCGGACTATCATCAATAGCCAGCTCTTGTCCTTCAGCTGCTTTTTCCTGATGCTTGGCTGAAGCTGCAGACGATATTTCTTTGCCTGTTGCTGGTGTCTCTGCCGCTGGGCTATCCTCAAGCTTGTCTAGAGCCGTCGTAGAAGCTGACCCATCCGAAGCAATGTTGACTCTGGTTGTAGTCACGTTGGCAGGGAGTGAACGGGTGGAAGCACCAGCTTTCTTGATGAGTTGAATAGAAGGCGCTCGGTTTCGTTTTGGGGAGTCAAAGAGGGAGGTCGAGGATTCTGCGAGGCTGGAGGCAACGTTCTGGGCGACGGATATGCTCTCACGGGCAACCTCGGTAACTGGAGCCGCTTTGGACATTCGCGAGGTTGTTGACCAAGACCCAGGGTACCAACTCTGGGGCAACAATAATGCATGGTTAGTTAAGAGGACAAAAATGCTTCAATTTATTGAGGATGCAAACTCACCGCACGTCCTTGAGGCTGGGAATCCGAGCGGTCTCGCCCAGCATTGCTTGGGGATGCGGGGGACGGTGAGTCTGCGCCAGAAGGACTGGGCTTCGCTCGTTTGCGCGATCCCCTGGGCGTCATGGAAGCGAAGATAGTATCATCAGGTAATGTCAGGATGAACTGGACACGAGCTCTTTCAAGGTTTAATCTAGTATAACAAGCGCCACGAACCAGGGCATCTGATAATCACGTCACATGTTGGGCTTATGCCTGGTTTTAATGCCTTCATGCCTAAGGCTACTAGACATTCAAAATGTATCCGCCACCTTACTCAGGCACCAAGCCTATCCAAGATTGTTCCTAAGGCGGTGAGAGATAAGTCGACATTTTTTTTTTCTCCGCCGATGTTGGGGAGCAAAGTATACAACCTCTTGTCGTTTTTTTTTTCGCCTTGTTTAGTTTGCATTCAGGGCAGTTAGGTCAACGCAAAGACCGCCCTTTGCTTCAAAATGGCTATCCAGAAAAAGGTATGTTCTCCTCTCATCACATTTAGAACTGTGAAATTAACTATGATTGAAGCACGGAAAAGGTCGTTTGGATAAATGGTATCGCCTGGCGAAGGAGAAGGGTTACCGATCTCGAGCTGCGTTCAAGCTGGTACAGCTGAACAAGAAGTATGGATTCTTGGAGAAGAGTAAGGTCTTGATCGATCTTTGCGCTGCGCCCGGTGTAAGTACCCACTTGCGAGGATTCTTCAATGGCTTCATGTCTAACAAATGGCGAAGGGTTGGTGTCAAGTCGCCGCAGAATGTATGCCTGCCCAGAGCATTATTGTCGGTGTCGATCTCGCCCCGATCAAAACGATTCCTCGAGTCATCAGTTTCCAGAGCGATATTACCACTGACAAGTGTCGCGCTACAATTCGACAACATCTCAAAACCTGGAAGGCAGACACTGTCCTTCACGATGGTGCCCCCAATGTCGGAACAGCTTGGGTGCAGGATGCTTTCTCCCAAGCTGAGCTGGTGCTGGAGTCATTGAGACTGGCTACGGATTTTTTGATCGAAGGCGGAACCTTTGTCACCAAGGTTTTCCGATCCAAGGATTACAACCCTCTTCTGTGGGTGTTCAAGCAGTTGTTCACATCAGTCGAGGCAACCAAGCCTCCGTCGTCACGTAACGTCTCTGCCGAAATTTTCGTTGTCTGCCGCGGATACAAGGCCCCCAAGCGCATCGATCCGAAATTCCTCGACCCTAAGCACGTCTTCGCGGAGCTCTCCGATCCGACCCCGAATAACGAGGCCAAGGTTTTCAATCCCGAGAAGAAGAAGCGTAGACGTGAAGGTTATGAAGAGGGCGACTACACCCAGTTCAAGGAGATTCCAGTGACCGATTTCATCAACACCACAGACCCAATTGCTATTCTGGGAACCTACAACAAACTCAGCTTCACAGAGCCAATTGGTGGAGATATTGCCATGACCACTGTGAATCGGCTCGAGGAGACTACAGACGAAATTCGGAAATGTTGCGAGGATTTGAAGATTCTCGGAAAGAAGGAATTCCGCAACCTGCTCAAGTGGCGTCTGAAGCTCCGCGAGAAATTCGGCCTAGTGGTCAAGAAAAAGTCGCAAGGTGAAGAGGGTGAGGGCGAAGAAGTCACAGAGGTCGCTCCCATGGATGAGGAACTGGCTATCCAGGAAGAGTTGCAACGCATGCGAACAAAGGAGTCTTTGCGCGACAAGAAAGAGAGACGTAAGGAGAATGAAAAGAAGCGAAAGGAGATTGTTCGCCTTCAGATGCACATGACCACCCCCATGGAAATTGGTATGGAGCAACATGGACTTGGAGGTACAGGTCCGGACTCCACATTTACTCTTCGGCGTGTGGACAAGGCAGGTGCCAGAGATGCTGTCATCAGCGCCCGTGATGTTCCTGTGGAAAGCGAGAGTGAAGATGAGTCTTCCGAAGACGAAGAGAGTGACGACGACGGTGATCTCCTGGAAAGAGACCTCGATTCGATGTACGACCAATACCAAGAGCGCATGCAAGACAAGGATTCGAAACTGCGCGCAAAGAAGGCACGCAAGGCGTACGAAACCGATGAATGGGACGGCTTCTCCGAGGACAACAAAAGTGACGCCTCCGATAACGAAGAGGAAGAGGAAACCTATGCCGCTGCTCCACAAGCTGCAGTCCCTCGGGGCAATATTTCAAATAATGCCGCTCTGTTCTTCGACCAGGATATCTTCCAGGGTGTAGAAGACGAAGAGGAAGAGGAAGAAGACGAGCAAGAGGAAGAGGAGGAAGAGGATGAAGATGAGGAGATGGAGGATGTGGAGGACAGTGAGGCCGAAGAAGAGATCCCCGTATCTAAGAAAAAGAACAAGAAAGAACCCAAGAAGCAAACTTCGGAGTGGGTTGATTCGGATGACGAGCCTGATCACTTTGATGAGCCCCGCAAACCCAACGGTCAGCTGGGTATGTCCTCAATTTGCCTCTTATTGATCTTGCGAGTTCGCTACTAACAACACGACTACAGATATCGATATTATTACCGCCGAAGCCATGGCTCTGGCTCACCAGATGGCCACCGGCGAGAGAAAAACCAATGACATTGCTGACGATGGTTTCAATCGCCTCTCATTCCGCGATGTGGACGGTCTTCCTGAATGGTTCCTTGACGACGAGGGCAAGCACAGCAAGATGCAGCGGCCGGTCACCAAGGCTGCTGCGGCTGCTATTAAGGAGAAGTTGCGTGCTATTAACGCTCGTCCCATCAAGAAGGTGATGGAGGCAAAGGGTCGCAAGAAGTTCAAGGCTGCCCAGAAATTGGAGAAGTTGCGCAAGAAGTCCGCACTTCTGGCCGATGATGAGGCTCTCAGTGAACGCGATAAGGCACAGTCGATCTCCAAGCTCATGAGCAAAGCCACCAAAAAGAAGCCCAAGCAGCAGGTCAAGCTGGTTGTGGCTCGGGGTACCAACCGTGGTATCTCTGGTCGTCCAAAGGGCGTCAAGGGCCGGTACAAGATTGTGGATGCGCGTATGAAGAAGGATATCCGGGCGCAAAAGAGACTGGCGAAAAAGAAGGCGTAAATAATTTGTTCATAGTGCATATCATTATTGCGCATCATCAGTGTATTAGTCATCCAAAATACCCGAATTTCCGCATGTTGTATAGTATTGTAGTCTACGTTCCTATTTTGGTTAAAGGCCTCGTGCATTCTCGAGTAGTTCGAGGGTAAACGTGGATTAAAAACGTGGGTTAAGCGTAGTAAACGCCAAGAACTGACACCCGCGGCGGTGGTTCCCCCGAGTGGCGCTTATGCTTATCGATTACTTTCTGCCTCATCGTAACTTTCTCTTCTCAACTCTCCAAACTCCCTCGGGGTATCTGGACTAAATTTCTCTATATATACTTAACGCTCCTCGTTATTCTTCATGTTTTACCGGTGCATATATTAGACATTTGTTGCATTCCCCCGCCACTGTTTATAAATACGACATTCTCACCTACCTGCATCCCACCTGATGGGCTTTTTCGACCACCTCCAAAAAGGAGGAGGGGCCTTTACCCTACAGCCACAGAAAACGCAAGTCCGCAAAGTCGTCCAGACACGACCAGCTACGAAAGCGAAATCTGCCACTCAAACACCCGCCAACGGCTCACCTCGTGTCCCATCCTCATCGGAGCGGAGCCGCAAGGCGCCCGCGTTAAAAGCCCGATCGGTCTCGAGTGACCCAGACGCCCTCCCCTCTAAACGACTCAATACCCCTTCACGCGCTCGAAAACGGCCGACCCCCGAACAACGGCTTTCGAGTGACGACGATGTCAGTGATAGCGATACATCCTTCGAGGTGCGCAAGCGTGCGCGGACCAGTGCCAGTGCAGAACCAGATCCCGAGAGGCGGATTCGCTCGGTGAAAGCATTTTCGGAGGAAGGATCGCGTCCATTTAAGATGTGTCACGCAGCCGATATTACCTCAGGTCAGAAGGCCGGGAAGTTCAAGCCGGCGTTTGGGGCTCAAGGCAAGCCTGCCGAGATTCGCTTGCAATACCCGAGTGCTTCGCAGAAAGAGAGGTAAGGCATCCAAGTTTTTCTTTTGTTCCTTGTTTTCCCTCAACGTTGCAGAAAACTAACGGACTTTTTTTTTTTACTTCATCAGATTCGACTGCGTGGTACCTCGCGATAACGACGAGTTCCGGCCGATTGATGATATTGTTCAGGTCATCGAGACCGTCTCCGATAACTACGTACCTGAAGAAGAAGCGGCAGAGTTCAACGACGAAACCACTGGAATCAGACGGCGGTTGCGCAGAGCTCTTGCGGTGACATCGGAAGCTCAATTCCGCGAGGCTGTCGATGACTACAATAAGGCGATTGAACGTTTGAGAATCAACGGCAGTCTTACAAAGCAACTTAATGCAACCCAACGCATTAGTTTGCCCTGGGTAGAGCGAATTTTGACTCAAACCTATGCGCGCACAGTGTCTCCTCGAGTCGAGTCCCTCCGACAATATGAAAATGGCACTGATAATGTGTACGGCGAGCTTCTCCCACGCTTTATCAGTAACATTTTCAAAGAGACCAAGTTGAAGTCTGGACAAGTTTTTGTTGACTTGGGGTCAGGTGTAGGTAACGTCGTACTCCAAGCAGCGCTTGAGGTTGGCTGTGAGAGCTGGGGCTGCGAGATGATGAGCAACGCCTGCGATCTGGCAGAGCTACAGCAGTCCGAGTTCAAGGCTCGCTGCCGGCTTTGGGGTATTGCGCCAGGCAAGACTCATCTTGTTCGTGGCGACTTTTTGGAGCAGGAGAGTATTGTCAACGTCCTGAAGCGTGCCGATGTGATTCTCATCAACAACCAAGCTTTCACCCCGCAACTCAACAATGAGCTTATTAATCACTTCCTTGACATGAAGGAAGGTTGCAAGATCGTCTCGCTCAAATCTTTTGTCCCTGCCGGCCACAAGATTCAGTCTCGAAACCTCAACTCTCCAATCAACCTCCTGAAAGTCCAGCAAAAGAACTACTGGTCTAACAGCGTGAGTTGGACCGACGTCGGTGGTACATATTTCATTGCCACAAAAGACAGCTCAAGGCTCAAGGCTTTTGCCGACGGCACTTTATAAGAAGAGAAGAATTCCACAAAATCATCAGCACTCACAGCTGGTTCTACGATTTTCCTATCTCCGAGGGATCGGCAGGCATTGGGATCGTTTGAATTCGTGTAAATTGTGATTGGTTTGGGTCCTGTATATTACCTTTGTTTTTTGGACATGTCTCCTATATGTATGATACCATTTCTGACTTGTATATAAAGGCGGTCTGATCCAGTTCTGCATGACAAGTGGTATCTTACTGTTTAGATAGTCAATGGACAATGTATGCGCCGCTATCAAGCTCTTAAAGACATCTGGGCTGGCCAAATGCATCGAGAAGTTCTATGAAAACTTAGAGGCATCGTTCATGGCGTCTGCTTCCAAACCCATCCTCGCCATCCAGCGATCAACCAGCTCTTGATTTTCATGCTGAAGCTTATTTGACTTTTGGTCAGCCATGTTCAGTTGGAGATTCAATGTCGCCATCTCATCTTGGAAATCCTGTCATGATGTGAGCCAATTATTCAAGCTGCTTGAGATCACCATCCATAATTGAAGCCTTACCTCGAGAAGTTTAGCCTTGCCCCGTAGCTCTTCGTCCCTGTCTTTGAGGCGTGAATTCAATTGCAGTCTCTCGCTTTCTAATGCGTTAATGCGGCGAGCATCCTGGGTGTTTTTCTTGCGAAGCTTTTCCACTTCACTGGTAACTTGATTGAGTTTCTCCTGTAATTCTGATCGAAATCGCTGGGCCTCTGACAGCTCAGCGCGAGTTTTATTCAAAAGCTCAGTTGATGAGACACCAGCCGTTTGATTTTTGGCCGTCGCGCCCGAAGAAATAGGGCGCTGAGTCTCTCTGGCGACCGAACATTTTGGGTCCACTGCAGGACTGCCAGCTATGCTTATAGGGGCGGTAAGCGTGGCCGTGCGATCAGCGAGGTGAGTATCTAGTACCGAAAACGGCATGTTAGTATGCTGTATAGATGCCTAGTATATGTGGAGCTGCACAAGAGGCACGAACAGGCATCATAGAGTGCAACGTTGGCCTTCTCTCTCTGGTCTCGAACGACCAACGCAGCCAAATACTCGTCTCTCCAGTAGGCCATTCACCGTTGGGGCGCGATCGACGAGGGAGGAATGTGATCGGGCGATGATGTCGGGGTTGCTATCTGTTATCAGGATTACTACTGCCCCCCTCGACCGCCCGGCCTCGTGTATCAGCGGATCCCGCTGCAACCCAACTCCAACTCTCCAACTACGTTCGTCTACTTTTTCACCTCCCAACGTTTCTGGGTAGTTGATCTGAATTATCTCTTCTAAAGCTACATTCGATACCATTCTAGTGGTACTTTACTCTTCCGCCTTCCCGCGAGGCTCAAAGAGATACCGCTGCCATGGCGTCACGCAAGAAGGTCCTCCTGAAGGTACGATCTCCGCACCAGCTCCGTACCGTCCAGCATGGGTTTGTTTCGCCAACCCCCACATTAACGTATGAATTTTTTGCAATAGGTCATTATCCTTGGTGATAGTGGTGTCGGAAAAACCAGTCTGATGAACCAATATGTGCGTCTTGTCCCGTTCTTAAGCTAGCCTTCTAGCGCTTCAGCCACGGCCGACCTCCCCACTTTGAAATAGCTGACATCGTTAATCTTGCCAATGAATAGGTCAACAAAAAGTTCAGCGGAAGCTATAAGGCCACTATCGGAGCCGATTTTCTCACTAAGGAAGTACTCGTCGATGACCGACTGGTGACGATGCAGGTAAGGCTAGCTTCCACAATCTGACCAGTAACGCCATCCGAATCAGGCAACTGACTTCCTCTGTCTAGATTTGGGACACCGCCGGTCAAGAACGATTCCAGTCTTTAGGTGTCGCCTTCTACCGAGGAGCCGATTGCTGCGTTTTGGTCTATGACGTGAATAACTCTAAGAGCTTTGAAGCTCTTGACAGCTGGCGAGATGAGTTCTTGATCCAGGCCAGTCCACGGGATCCTGAGAGCTTCCCTTTCGTGAGTTATCCGTTCTTCCGATGTGGGGTTGGCGGGTTTTTCGCCTTGCCCACGTGGTCATCGCATGCCAGACCCAATACTGACATTTCACGTAGGTCGTGATCGGTAACAAGATCGATGTAGAGGAGAACAAGCGGATGATCTCTTCCAAACGAGCCATGACTTTCTGTCAATCCAAGGGAAACATTCCTTACTTTGAGACCAGTGCCAAGGAGGCGTTGAACGTCGAGCAGGCCTTCGAAGGTGAGATTCCACGGCCCGTTATACAAAAGAATATAACGCTGACCGTCCATTTTTCTAGTCATTGCCCGAAGTGCTCTCGCACAGGAGGAGGCTGAGGAGTTCAGCGGTGAATTCAGCGACCCTATCAATATCCATCTGGATAATGAGCGTGATGGCTGTGCCTGTTGATACCCTGACCTGATACTTCAACCTGATACTCATGACGTTTAAGCGGTTTCTTTTCTTCTCCTATTATTGTTTTCCCTTGGAGTTCAACATGATCATTGTTGGTGGTTTCCATCTACCGTTGAGATTTTCGCCCGCAGAGAATGTCAACGGGTTGCTTTCTGGATCTGTCTCCGTGTAGATGTTTATCGTTTTCTTTCGGAGTACGTTGTTTGTCTAGCAGTCTGCGCTTAAGGTTGTAATCACCTATTGTGTTCTGCTAACACTATTCAGCGCGTGCTTTTCGTTTTCCAGTCAATATATTGATCTCAGACCCGTTCCATGTTGTCCATAGCCAACTTCACAGACGAGAAAAAAAAATTTCAAAAAAATTACTTTCCTCAAGCAAATAGAAATAGAAAGTCGAGCAATTGTGGAAGTAACCTTGCGGAGTAAGAGATAAGTGACCAGCCGGACCCTTTAGTGCTGATAGGACTGCGCTGCTTATCGCCGATCCTCATCCGCACACTGCTTGGCATCTCCGCCGTCACGCGCACATTCGCTCTGCTGGGAGGATTGGTGGTCTTTCCCTCCGAGCATACCTGCACCCAGGTTCCCTCGTCTCAAATCCTCAGGTCCCACAGATGCCCATGAATATCCCCCGCTCCACATAGCGCGCCCGGGACTCAACAGAATCAATATAAGCCCTGCGACGGCCGAACTCGGCACGCCATCATCTCGGACCCCAGATCCCACAATCATGTCTACAGACTTAGATGCGCAGCCCACAAGGATAGGGATGGCGAGACGGACCCTCGGTATCTGTCTCCTCCTGCTCGTGGTGGTACTATGGACAACCTCAAATTTCCTAGGAAGTGTACGTCCCTACGCTTCACCGCATGGCCCCCAAATTCCCCAAGCAACCCTGGCACAATGAACGTTTACTGACTATGAATACACTGTGCAGACTATTTTCGCGGATAAAACATATCCCAAGCCTTTCTTCGTAACATACCTCAACACCTCGTTCTTTACAATGCCTCTATTCGGCGTTCTGCTCAGTCGGACAATTGGTCTATGGCGCGCCAACAAGCTTGGGCAGGTTGACTCGTTTTGGAGTTGGCTACACCATATGGATTCTGCTGAACCTGTTTCAACCGATGAGTCAAGGGTCTTGCGCCGTGTGTCGATTGACGACGAGGCTCATGGTAGTGGTGACTATGATGGTGCGCGGTATTTGCCCAAAGGCGCGAACGATGAGAAGTTGGGATTAAAGGCGACTGCGAAGCTAAGCTTCCAGTTCTGTCTGCTTTGGGTATGATTGCTGCCATTTTCATGTATAACGATGATGAGTCGCTAATTCGCTATAGTTCACGGCGAACTATTTCGCAATGGCGTGTCTTCAATACACGACCGTTTCAAGTACCACAATCTTAACTTCGACAAGTGGTGAGCATTCTTGCTATATGTTTGAGACAAGACTATGTGTATTCAGGATTTGGCGCTAATGTTATCCATCAGGTGTCTGGACGCTGATCTTCGGCGCCTGTCTGCGCGTTGAGAAGTTCACGGTCCGGAAGGCCCTTGGTGTCCTCGCTTCTCTTATCGGAATCATCCTGATTTCACGGGTGGATCTCTCAAAGCCAGACACGCCGGCTACCCCCACTGCAGACGAAGGATCGGGTACATTTCCTCACAAGACAGCCGCAGAGATCGCCCTCGGTGACGCCATGGCAGCCTTCAGCTCAATCATGTACGGCGTATACACGATCGTAATGAAGAAGCAAGTGGGTGATGAGTCGCGCGTGAACATGCCACTTTTCTTCGGCCTCGTTGGCTTCTTCAATCTTATTCTCATGTGGCCTGGTTTCTTCATCCTGCACTGGACGGGCGTTGAGTTGTTTTCGTTTCCGGAAACGAAGCGGGTGTGGACTATCGTTCTGGTATGGCTATCTAGTAAACTCTTCTTAAATGTTGCATTTAGAACTAACCATGGGGATTAGGTCAACTCGGTCGCTTCTTTCATTTCAGATGTTGCCTGGGCGTATGCCATGCTCCTGACCACGCCCCTTGTGGTTACTGTTGGCCTTAGCTTGACCATCCCCTTATCATTGGTTGGGCAGATTGTGTTGCAAGGACAGTATGCAAGTGCGATTTACTGGGTCGGTGCTGCAATTGTGTTCCTATCATTCGTGGTTGTCAATCACGAAAGCAAAACCTTGGACGATGCGACTCCCGCAGATGAGGGCAGATCATCCTCTGGGGAGTATGAGAGCATCCCTCACGAGGATATTCGGTGATAATGTGCGTAGTAGACTTGTGTGTGGTTTTCGGTTGGTCTCATTGTGGGCGTTTCTGGATCATCATGACTTTCCTTTTCTTCTTTCTTTCCCGGGACTATTGCGTGCATTTATAGTCTGCCAGATACCCAGGTGGTATCTTAGACTCAATATAGATAGTGTATTCGACTGTACGCGACTTGTATCCAATCATTCGGTTGCTTCTTGGAATCACTTGGTACTTTTAACTAAATGTTTATTTGATTATTTGCTTACTTCAAGAAGAATTGCTTTGCAGATTCCCTCAATGTCAAGGTGATCACCTTATTTTACTATAGCAAGTCAGACCTTAAGGCTTAAGCAATCAACTACCTTGAAAATGGACAGGACCTTGGTGCCAATTATTGATTAAAGACATTGGGTCAAAATACCAATATGTGCAGCATATCAATTCAACAAGAGAAAGTATCCACACAAAATAAATGCGAAGTAGTGAGCGTCAAGGTAGATCTCCTCGCCGATAAACAGTGAATTAAATGACACAACGCCTTCCGTTTTTCCAAAGACGCTGGTAACAACAAATCCTGGGTATATGCTGAATGGAATAATAAGCAAAGAAAGTGGAAAGGAAAAGAACGAGAAGATTGGGGAGCAGACGAGTAGGAGAGATTGTGGTAAATGACCAGTGGTTTGCAAAATTCATGAAGACGGCGTAGATCAAGATGAATCAAACGAAGGGAGTCACAGGTGAGGAGGGGAATTTAAAAACGAGAGGAAAGAAGGAAGAGTTGACGATTGTGACGGGATTAAGTCGTGGAGGCGGTTGTTTCAAGCTTCTTGCGAGCAACAATAATACTCTTCAGCGAGCCAAGCCAACGCGCCAAGGACTCCTCATCTGAGGCACAAAGACGGTAACTCTTGTCTTCCGCGATAATCTGCAGACAGAACTTCTTAGATCGAGACAAGGGGTCAATTTCGGCTACATCGATGATCTGTGACATGGAGATAATCTTGACAGGCGAGTATTCCTGCTCATCCTTGTAGAAGGCGAGGTTCTTAGGCCGTAGCACAAGCCAGAGTCTTTTCCACTGCCGCACAGCACCCTTGATGCGCAACCCCTGCAGATACCCCTGGCAGATGACTCGCTCGGGATCGCGCAGGATGCCTAGATCGGCTTGTCGGCCTGCATCTCGCGGCAGGGATGTAGACAAAAGCCTGTCATCTGGCGCGGATATGGAAAGGGTATGAATGGAGGGCATTGAGCGCAACCGATTATTTCGTGGAGGAGGGCCATCGGAGAGCTCGGAGTAGGAGGTGACGTCGTTACCAGAGTAGTCCTGGGTGTAGGGGGGTCTGCGGGAGGACCGGGCACCGGGAGACAGTGTGCGGCCCTCGGGGGAACTGGGGCGACCGACGGCATCGAAATCGGAGTGGTCGGTTGTATCCTCGATGAGCTGTTTCTGAATTGCGGGGGTTCCGTTTTGCTTGGACAGCGCCGCTACAGCAGCTTCGTCTGCGTCCGCCGGGGTCTCTTTGCGGATGCGATAAATCCAGTCATCTGCGTCGCGTTCGGAGTGCACCTCGAAGCGGTAGTTCTTGGAAGGCGTGAAGACACCGAAGACATGCTGGCGATGTGAGCGTGGTGACTTGACCGAGGCGACGGCGGTTACGTCGGATAGGTTGATTGAGACACGGAGACGGGTGGTTTCTTCATCCTTGTAGACGGATAGTAGATTTGGGCGGAGGACCAGGTAGGCAGGTTTCCAGGAGGCGCGAAAGACATGCTTGTGCTTAACCCGTCGGGAAACACGACCGCTCTTGAGGACGCGGTCGAATTCAAAGCTTCCGTTCTCGTTGACGGGGGAGAAGGTATCCAGATTCATGTGGCCACTACGCGACGGGGGTGGACGAAGATGATGATCAGGTACCCGGATGGCTGGGGATCTGTTGCTGAGCCCTTCGGAGAGCGAGGGACGAGCCAGCACAGAACTCATGGTGATGGAGCATTAGAGTCGCGCATTAAAGAGTTATAGGGGGGAAGTAATAATCGAAGAAGTGGAAGTAGGAGTCTAGATCTATGAGGAAAAGGGGGGGAACCCCGCGGTGTGCACCATGCAAATTGACGATCGTTTCCTATCAATCAAAATTCAAAACGAGTCAGGATCTGAAGTTGCAGGTTGTTGAATAAACGCGAAATTGGAATTGCCCAGGTGATAGAAATTCGATGGTGGATGACCTTACACTGGGCAACGGGTGATGTCTTACGTGTGGTAAACCTGATGTACGGTATACCAGGTTACCATATTTCCAATCGATCTCATTTGAGGGTTCCAAGCTTTATGATCATACTGTAGACTATTCGGTTTGCCTATTCTGTATCAAATCAAATCGAAAGCAGCCCTTTCGAGTAAACATGCACACGAACACTATGCAAGGGTCCAGACCCCCTTCAGGCCACATCGCCCGTAACGAAGAAAAAGTGGAGTACGGACCCTGTACTCCCTGCAAGGTACGGTACAACTCGAGTTTGTTTATTATCTTTAGATCTATGATCTATCTATCGTCTACGGAGTACATGTATCTCATGTGCACTTTATACATAGCCATGCTGGTTATTGGCGGTACGGGAGGCTCTGATGATTTGCGGGTACAACGGCACAGTCTCCGGCCTGGACCCTCGATCGTCATGCGCTAAATCCTTTTGTCAGGACACAGAAATAGCCTGGTCATTTGACTTGGAACGCATAGGTAAGTTATTCATGGACTGCATGTCGACGCGTCACAAGGCAAACTAAGTATACAAATCTATGGGAAACTTGTTGCCTGTGATTACCTGTCAAGCATTTAGAGTGGGGACGATCATCCAGGTCCTAGATTATGCCCAGGTGTACTTCAGTGGTGAATTAATTTTTTTTTTCTCTTTAGCGACTTGTAGAATCCACAACCCATAAGTCATCGAAAGCTCCTAAGGCCCTCGTGTACCGCAGGCCGCGGCCAATGACCACGGGCCGAAATAAAATTAAGCAAAAAAATAAGAAATTGGTAAACGGCCCTAAGAGCCCCTACACGTTTGGACTGTTTTTATCACAGAGATAATGAGTTGAACGCATAGAGCATAGTCGATAGATGATCTCTTCCTTCATAGATATAGTTAGATTAGAATGCAAAGGCCATAACTTGAAGATCGAAAAAAAAAAGAAGTTGCCTTTTCGCCCCAAAACCACTGTAGTGGATAGATTACTGTAAATGACATACCGCCTGATGATCAGTTTCCGGGCAATCACTCCATACCTGTCGGATAAATAACGGTCTCGGGTGTGAAACGCGTGCCAAGTACCAAAGAGGCCACAACGCTTGCGCCTCCCTGGACTAGGCTTGGCAGGACTTCTCAACTTCATCCCCATTCCCCCCCTCAAATCTTTCCTCCTTTTCTACACTTGAACAACCATCCTCCATCTCATGTCCACCACTCATCGTCATCCCCATTGCTGAGGTCATCTGCGTTACCCGCTCTTGACCCCTCTCAACCCCCGGCTCCTGGGACTGAGAAGGACTTCTGGGGGGACAGGAAAGGAGGTATTCCTCCGGCCACTCGTTTTTGTCCTGTGAGATCTGGTAGTTGCTCATCTGAGTATCGGGCTCCGGATTCTCTTGATTCCTCCCTATCGATTCGCTCGGAACCACCTCCCTCCCGCTTCCCTGATCGCTACTGGGGTCCTACAATTCTCCAGCCTGTGCTATTTGCTCGGGATCCGATTATCCTCCGTGGGGTTTCGACGCGTGCCCCATAATCGCACACATGAGCTTCATTCAACGCATCACAAAGCGGCTGCCCAGCGCGCCAAGCCTCCCAATAGACGATGAGCCCCGGGAGAAGGGCCGCAGTTCCGCCCCTTTGGCCTTCTTCCGTCGGCGCATTCGTTTGAAGGGCAACTCGTCCATTTCGATACCCCTGGGATTTGTTTTACTATTTCCATGTCTTGTAATTGTCTTCATTCTACTTCTTTTCGTCCGACACCCCTCGTCTCCCGGAGGTATTCTAATTCCAGCGGGCACTCCGCCTTCCATTCGGTTCGTCTTGCTCTCCCTCAACTCTACGCCGGCATCAATAAACAAACTATTGTGATCAAATACTGACCGTGTATTCGCGTGGAACAGGAAAATCAGCGAAAAGTATGACAAGGTTTTCGCCACAGGCTGTTTGCCAATCGATCCGGATGGGCCGAAGGGCCCCAAGGCCAATGCCGCTTTCGTCGTCCTCGCAAGAAACAAGGAGCTTGAAGGTGTGATCCAGTCGCTCAAGTCCATTGAGCGGCATTTCAACCGTTGGTGGCATTACCCCTATGTCTTCCTTAACGACGGAGACTTTGACGAGGAGTTCATGGCAACGGTGAAGAACTACACCAGCGCGCCAGTGGAGTTTGGCAAGATCGACAACAGTATGTGGGGATTCCCTGACTGGGTTGACCACGAGGTTGCCAAAGAGGGCGTTCGCAAGCAAGGTGACGCGGCTATCATGTACGGTGGTATGGAGAGTTATCACCACATGTGCCGCTTCTACTCAGGGTGAGTGATCATCACGAACGAGGAGACATCGATAGACGAGACTAACCCAGCCGTATAGACACTTCTACAAGCACCCTCTCCTGATGAAATACGAATGGTACTGGCGTTTGGAGCCCGAGATCAAGTACTTCTGTGACATTACTTAGTAAGCATCACCCCCTGATCATGTCTTTCATTTGCTCCAGAATGCTTACATGCTATGTAGTGATCCCTTCCTCAAGATGATTGAGGCGAACAAAACATACGGTTTTACCATTGCCGTCAAGGAACTTCGCGAGACCGTTCCGAACATTTTCCGCTACGCATCGGCTTACAAACGCAAGAACAACATCAAGTCCAAGGGTCTATGGGAAATGTTCTTGGAACGGCCAGCTGAGGAGGAAGTCCCGCCAGAGGGAGACCAGAAGCAGGCCAAGCTCCCCGATGAGATCTTGCAAACCGAGCCCGGCGACAAGAGTCTCGACGACATCGACCCCGAGGCCATGGAAGGCGAGAATTATAACATGTGTCATTTCTGGAGTAACTTCGAGATTGCGCGCTTGGATTGGTTCCGAAGCAAGGAATACGAAGACTTCTTCAATCTGATGGATCGGAGTGGTGGATTTTGGATGGAGCGATGGGGTGATGCCCCTATTCACTCCCTGGCTGCTGGTGCTCTGCTATCCCCGGCGGACATTCATTACTTCCGTGACTTCGGTTACCGGCACACCACCATCCAGCATTGCCCGGCCAATGCCCCCGCGAGGCAACTTGCTCGCGAGCCCTACCTCGAAAAGACTACCGAAGATGAGAAAAAGCGGATTGAAGAAGATGAGTACTGGGCCACCCCTGACCCGGTCAAGGAGAACGGTGTCGGCTGCCGATGTCGCTGCGACACTGACATTGTCGACGTTGAAGGCAAGCAAGGCAGTTGTCTTGCTGAGTGGGTCGAGGTGGCTGGTGGTTGGGCATCGCCATAAATGAAGTAACTACCGCTTCCCTTGACTTTTCTCGTTTCTCATTGCCTGCTTGTCCATGCGTTCTTCTTCAGCTGCAAGCATTACCTGGGTCAACCCTTGGGAGTTATCTCTGCTGAAACCTGCATGTTGTGTTGATCGGGTTCTTTTTGGGTGGCGTTCAACGGATCTCACGGCTTTTTTTTTATTACTCGGAAGATGGCGTGATCATTTCCATCGTCCATGTTGTCGTATTCATCTAGCGTGCTGTCCACGTCGCTGGGATTGGCTGTGTTCAAATTCTGTTTCGTTTTGGTTCGACGAAAGTGGGGTTATCGTCTGGTCAGCAGGATCCCAACGTTCCATCTTTGATGGTATATTTAGTGTTCCCAACACCGATCGTCTGATTTCGTTGGCCTCCGGTCAACGGATGGATGATAGGTCAGCTCGAGTCCTCTGCATCGCATGGGCATACAGCACAGTCTCAGTGACGAGATCAACCCTAGTACAATATGGGTGGGATACTGGGGAGAACGATGGCATCAAGCCCCTGTCTTTTGTTGTCTTTTCCCCCTTTACAATTTTTTTATTTCTTCTTTCCTGCGACTTGTCACTACTACAATTGTTTCTTCCCCTTCTCCCCAGTTTCCTCAAGACTTACACTCTCTTGTGGTTATTCCCCCAGCATGCATTCATGAAATGTACATACCTTGTTCTTCCCTCCCCTCCAATCATCCTTGGTCTGGTGGTTCACACCCACAGGCCTTCTCCATCACATTGCTTTTAAACCTCGCAAATACCAGATCGAGCATGGCTGTTTATAGAGTATGGAATAATCACCCGGTGAATTACGCGAGAATGAGATCAGTATAATGCACACTTTTTTCAAGTTCGAATCGGTCCTGAAGTGTAGATAGGAGATATAGTAATTATCCCAGCTGATGTACGAAAGGGAAGCACCATGCTAGGTTACACGCACTAAGCATCAATTAGGCTAAAACCAAGGCGTGCGAACCGATTAAGGTTACAATCATATCTAGATCGGTAGCTGCCCGGCTGATATATCCTATTGACGCAGTATCCGGGACTTCTTGCCGTGAATTACTCCATGAACCTCGGCGCGACTCCCGACGTCCCTGAGCTACCATTCCAATGCGGGCGGTAGAATCATGATCCCGTTTAGATTACGACAGTCGCTACCACTCTAGTAGCGTCGGATAAGAAGGTGACATTAATGAGGGGAAAGGTGAGGGGGTTCTCCATAGTGAGGGGATCTGCATTGATAGACCAGATAAACAAACCGCACCCCTTTCTCCAAAAGCTTCTTTCTTCACAATTCAACCCCAATGCACAATGTTTTGGCTACTTGGTATACTCGGCGTGGCTGCTGCCTTCAATAACCCTCCAGGGGTGGATATATGGTGTGGCAAGGCATATTATCCTACGTAAGGAGCTTGTCCACGAGATGGCGCGCATGTTTGCTTGTGGGTCTAACATTGTATCCTGTTCAGCAATGCCTCTTTTGAACCGGGTGGCTGGCTGGATAGTCCCACTCTATCTACTGTACCATTGCTGGATCTTAAGGTTCGGCCGCGCATGAGTTTGTATTCAGCGTCCGATCAAAAGGGGTCTTTTATTGTCGATACAGGGATCTCGTACATCCATGGAAATCCACTGGGCAGTGACGCCGTGACAGGAGAGCATAATTCTCAACACCTAGAGATCGAGATCTCTATTGAGGGAAGTCAATTGACCATGCACCACACAGTGCCGATCAATTCAACCTCGACAGAAGTGGAATTTTCTCTCCTCCGTCTTCCTCCTCGCTTCGAGTCATACAATGTAACACTCAAAGCAACAGGGGCAGATGGCCATCATGTTCACACTGCGACGACATCACTTTACCATCTACCCGCCCGAACGGACGGGGGCAGTGTCACAAAAGTGGATAGCCTCTACGGCGGACTCTCTGTCCAAAATCAAACTAACCCATCAGTCTGGACCCCACTGCTTCCGTACTCATACTACGTTAGCTGGGACGGCTGGCTCGAGAAATCACTAGACAACGTCCAGAAATTCAAAGACGACGGCTACAACATTATTCACCTCGTCCCAAATGCAGGCCTCGCAAATGAAGCATTCAACTTCACCGAGCTGAGCCTCTTCCTTGACAGAATGGACGAAGTCGGTCTATGGCTTATGTACGACATGCGCTGGACGTACAAGAATCTCACCTCCGTCCGCGAACAGGTAGATCTTCTCAAAGACCGGAAGAGCATGTTACTGTGGTACACAGGCGACGAGCCAGATGGACAAGGCGATCCACTGAATGCCACCCGGATCACATACGACCTTATCAAGTCGATTGATCCCTACCACCCCGTGTCTTTGTGCCTGAACTGCTACAACTTCTATTTTGAAGAGTACTCATCCGGCGCGGATATCATTCTTTCAGATGTGTATCCCATCGCCGTGAATACAAGCTGGTCGACTGTTTACGAGACGCCTTGTAACACTACGTACGGGTGCTGTGGATGTGATGATTGCGAGGGTAATGTGGAAGATATCTCCGTTCGGCTGGATAAGTTTGCAGAGTATCAGAGCTGGCTTGGAACAAGCCCTAAGCCTTTGTGGGGGGTTCCAATGGCATTTGGGAATGAGACCTTTTGGACTCGGTATCCGACTGCGGCGGAAGAGGTTACTATGACTATGCTTAGTTTGAATCATAATGCGAAGGGCATTGTCATGTGGGATTGGCCGACTACTACTGAGTTGGCTAACGTGACAAGTGCGCTAAGTCGGGTTCTTGCCGGGGAAGAGGTTACTGGTTTCTTGCTGGGTGCGCCTACGGCTTCGTTAGAGGCCAAGGGGCATTCGAAGATGGATGTTGCGGGATGGAGGCTTGGGGATCATATGTTGGTTAGTCTTTTGTCATTGCAGACTCCCTCGTGGTCGTCGTCTGTGACTGTGGAGTTACCGCAGGGGGCCCAGTCAGTTACTCAAGTTCTCTGGGGCTCTAGGGAATGGAAGGTAGTCGGTGGGCACTTGGTTAAGGAGGGTGGACATGGTTTAGAGACTGATTTGGTAGTTGTTAAGCTTGCCTCTACATAAGACGACGGACGTAGGGGTCGACACCCATCTAGCCCTGGAGCTAGGTCGTGAACCTGGGTCTCTCTGCAGTGCTGTATATAGGTAGCTATACGTACCGGATTTTCTTTGACAGAACCGGCATTAAGATGATTGGTCTGAAAATTCTCTTTGCTTGAGGTAACGGACCAAATTTAGATAACGGACGAAACCTCCCCATCTCATATCAAATCCTTACTGATAAGAGCCAATCCAGGTGTAAATAATAGCACGGTTGATTGTCCCTACCCTTAGAGGAGGAATATCCTTCTCTCAGGGGCGCTGCTAGAGGCTTTCTGCTGCATAGTGGTCAAAGCAGAATTTGATGAGAAGAGCATCATAGAGCTTAGTGAAGGGGTAAAATTGGTTCATATGTGAAATTGTTGTTTTCGGCTTTGATTTGGTGTCGTGTCTCTGCTCGGATTTTTCGGATCGAATTAAATAACGTTCTTTAAAGAAGTTAGGGTCGAAGGAGAATTGTGCTAATGGATGTGATTCTACTTACCTGGGAACTCTAATAGTCAATAAAGGGCTGCAATATCTAAAAAATAACCATTCAAGTTCGAATGAAAAGAAATCCAGGCTCATTAGCACATCGTGGTGTTTTATACCAGTTATTTTTCAGATGATTTCTTATCATTAATACAGAGCCTCTCATGGCTTATAATGTTACTTCAGATGTTAAGGTGTTAATACTGTATTCTCCCTGCTTGCTGCTAGCGCTTCCATGAAGTTCAGCCGCCACCAACCACATCTGCCGTTTACATAGCTCCCAGGATGCTAATGAAAAAGATTTTACCGTCGGCAGAAACACCTAGTAATTGAGATTAAAGCGGCAACATTCCCGGCGGAATGACTAGTTGAATAGGACCTGTGGTTTTCCGACGGATCATCGACTAGTGTGACGTCAGGAGTCCAGCGCGAATACATCAAGATCGAAATAAAATGGGAGTGAAAGACTCTTGTATTAGTTAACCTTTCAACCACCCTGGCGATAATTGCTAAAGCCCAGCTTTCGCATACACTTGAATTTAGAATCTGTTGATCTCATACGACACATCCTTCCGACCCTGGAATCAGTCAAAGGGCTAACAACATGGCTACTTCCATAACCAATGGCCGTCCGGCAGCGGTGCGGTATGCTATCCTGTCCCTTCAAGTGTCCACCCTAGTGGAAAGTAAATGAATAAAAGGAATTGACACTGACATCTAGAAAATACAAATTAGGTCTCGCAACATAGCCATCCTTAGTATTGCTGCTGTTTTAGCAGGGAGTTGGCTCACATTTCGTGCGCAATCACCCAACAAGTCCGATCCTTTATTATCCGAACATGACAAAAAGACGATGGTTGGGGGGCAGACAGGAGAGAACAAAGTTGGACGAGCCCCATTGACGAAGACAAACGACAAGCCCTAAAATCAGCTACCCCAAATTTGTATTTAACAACGAAAGCAAACCGTCCCCATGGTCTTATGTCACATTAATCTACAGATGGATAGCTTAAGTTTCTTCATCCTGAATTGTTGAAGTCCAATAGATGAAGTCCTCTACACTCTCGAAAGGGAACTCTTGACAATAAGTAGAATGCTATATCTATAGTAAGATTTGCGTACGGATTGAAGAACTATCTATGAAAACGCTACTCAGAGGGTCTCAACCCATGAGGCTGGGATTGAAATTTCACGACACTTGTATCTTAAACTAAAACAATTTATCGAAGTCAACCCAGTCCCCCGAAGGGAGGAATGGCCCTTTCCAAGAAAACCTCTGGGGCTCGGCGCTAGTTCAGTTCTACTTGCTGGTATCACTGCACAGCACTTCAATCGATGGTCGCTAGATAAATCCGAAAGGCCCTTGAAGCCAATGACATATTCGTCAAATAAAAATGTTCTTGTGGGATGCATATAGGGCGGAGATGCAACATCGTCAGCTGCGCAGCGACTCGCATAATGAAAAGAAGATGACGGATATAATACTGCTGCATTATATCTCATATAATCGGGGAGAATCTGTCTTCCAAAGTGAATAGTGAGGACCATGCCAGCTCTATGTTTGGTGTCTCTTTGGTCATCGGCAGGTCACTAGTGGAATCCAATTTTCAAGCTCAGGGTAGAAGCTAGTCGCACTTTTTGAAACGAGGGCTCGCCTTGATCTATCAAAGATGCTAATATTGCCCGTGGCAATAAATAAGTGCATCTTGGTACCCGCGGTGGAGTCCTACTTTAGTGTGAGAGCTTGTCCTCGGTGTATCTCGTTTGAAGGCCCAGAGACTGTTTGATCCCGGTCACTAGGTAGAGATGTCGCACTTTGAGGCAGCTTGCATACATCTATTTGGTTGGTAGACTTGACGTCGTACTACATAGATAAAATGCGATATATGATTCCACTCCGGCCCACTTCTTGTCAGCATATGGGTCAGTTTAGGTAAGAGGACTGACTGGTCTGGAATTTCGGAATCGAGTCTGTATGAGATAAGGTCGAGGACAAATCTGTTTCTATTTCTTCCCTTGCAATAAATGTGATATCACCGTAGCCTTGAGAATCTGTCTCTCAATTTATAGACGAAATTCCCTGTAACGGGTCAGGACTCTCCTGTGTGATAAACGTTGGTGCATCTGGGACTAGATTAGGCAGCGGGCCTGTGGGGCCTGAAGTGGAGATTCCCGCGTTTCTTAGTTCCTTATCATGAATGCGATCATTCAGCAGTTACGTCTCACCTGGACAAGAGGGTCATAGATTCCTGTTTGAAAAGTATCAGGAAACAATAAAAGGATGTATAGGAAAACTTAGCCTGTTCACCGGGATTTCTATGTATGGTGGGATTTGGAATCTAGTTGCGTCACTAAATTTCTCAACCCCGCCAGGTCATGCTTATCAACTTATCCAGCACCAAAGAGCTTCTTATTCCCCCTCTTTCTCTTCTCTATCGTCTCTCTCACTAACCGAAACCTATTTGTCAAATCTCCACATCTAATTCGCTTCTCATCCCCAATATCTTCTTTGACGGGATTATTGTTCCCCCGCCCTTGCCCTGGGTAAACCAGCTGACAGGCAACTCCCCGCGGACCCACCGGGGCACATGCCTCCACCTCTCCATCGCTGTATGTCTTCCCTTTTCTTTTTTTCTTAACATGCTCATTTGATTTCATTTTGGCAGAGAATCCAAATTATTCCTATGAGCCTCAAATCATGTCTAACGCTTCAGAGTCGCCCAGGCGTCCTACGAGCGCCCACGCTTCTCATCTTCAGTACCCGACCCTCCCGCCGCTGACTGCCTCTGTCGAAGAGTGGTTGTCTCGTTCACGACCCGCCAACAGCATGGCGTCAGAAAGCACTCTGCAACCCCTCCCCAAGTCACTGAGCGATAGCTGGGCAACCCTCAGCGTATCAGATCTACATTCGGAAGATGGCAGTCACTCGGAACAGACCGACGTGGGGTCGTTGATCGACCAGACCACACCGGATGATGTGGCCAGCCTGGACGAGCGCTACAGCAGTAGTGAGGCAGGTGGTCCTGATGAGGATGATCTACAGCAACAAGAAGACCAGGAAATGCAGGAAGACGAAATCCGCAGCCTTAGGCCGGACCGGTTCTCAGGCCTATTCAACCCCGATGCTGCCATCGATGATAGCAATTTGACCACCATACCTATTCACCGACATTCCATCGACTCAATCGAGTTTATCGAGCCTGACAAGTGGCCAGAGATGGAACGGGTAGAACTGAAGCATACGATCCGCATCTTTGACGAACCGGCAGCGTTGGATATCAAGACTCAGCTACCAGATTGCTCACCTCAATCAATTCTCATGGCGACGGTCCAGCAGACCATGACAAAGCAAAGCCTAGACCTAGACAAGCCTTTCCGCGTCTTGTATGTCGGACAGCCGGACTGTCGCAACATTATTCTGGACAAGATCGGTGATGTCTTGGTGGCGAGCTCGTCCGCAGGGTCGCAAACCAGCTCTGCTGAATCATCACGGTACCATGTTGTGCCAACTTCTTTTGGAGCTGGAGCTGTGCCAAACTTTGCAGAGCTTCTCCCCATTCATGTCCAGCTTGTGGTTGACGAGTGTGTGGCAGCCACGAAGGGCCACCATCCGAATGGATCCCGCACGGTGTACCTTACATTCAAGAATCGTCCTTCTTGCCAGTCTTGGTGGGATGGAGATGAATATCATGTTTCTTCCTCGTCGGAGTGGACTTTACCAGATGTGGCCATCCTGTTCGTGTCTAGCCGTGATAATGGTGCCGCTGTGCGAACTAGGCACGCTGCCCACGCTTTCTTGGAGCGACACGGAGTCCCTGCCATGGTCATCTCAGATGAACCGCTCTGGGAAAAAGCTGGCGAAGTCATCCCTCTGAACCAGAGCAGCCTCCATGTGTGTCTGGAGTCTCGACATGCACAGACTGGAGAAACAGTAGTGTTGAGGCGCTACCCGATCGATCTGAAGACTTTCGAGAGTATCACTCCTGGCCAGCTCAATAGGAATTTGGCTTCGCTCATGGAATTTTACCCCAAGAAGACACCGAAGGTCTCTGTCGACACACCGATACCAGCCAAATCCTACTCTTTTGCTGACCCCGAGAAACATCCTCGCAACTGGATCCCATCCTTGGATAGTGTTCGAGCTCCTCCAATGGGTGCAATGCTGCGTCTCGCCACGCTCACGCTCGTTTCAGCCATTATGCTCTCCCTCGGATATGCAGCGACGAGGACAATCATTCTTTTCATTGTGCAATGGATTGCTGGCTCGACAATGGCCGGCGCTCATAGCTCGACACTGACACCGATCGGCTTACCAACTCCGTTAACTTTGGAACATATGAGGCACACTTCCCTTTCGCTGTGGTCGGGTGATTCGGGGGGCCTGGCCGCCACTTCTCCATGTTGCTCCTATATAGGACAGGCAACGCCACACGCTGTTTCAAGCATAGGCTTTTCTGAAAAGACCGATCAGTTTGAAATCCAAGTCGTTGGAGACTGCCATGTGGCCATCAAGCCTCCCCGGAACATCGCATCCCACAAAAAGCAGCCCCGATTCCATGTTACTGTTTGCCGAGATGGCAAAGCCCTGGCGTATGAGCTAGCCGCATTGTTCGATGGTGTGTACACGCTGCGGTTGGACCGAGAAGATGCGTATGGTTTGGTCAATGTGACGATCATTGCTAAGTCCAAGCCACAAGTCAATCAAACTATTATTGTTGACTTTGGGACGCCGTGGCTGAAGATTGCAAATTGGAGAAGAGCAGCTCGTGCAGTTTCTTCGCAATTCACAAAAGACTTGCAGATCGCCCAAACTGGGTTGTCTGAAGTGTACGGCCGATTGTCAACAGATCTACAGGTGATCATGGGCGACGTGGTCAAGAGATCTCACTTCCTGCGCGACGACGCTGAGCGTCTCGGCCATGACAGCTTACGCACTGGAGATGGCATGCTGTCCAGATCAAAGCAACTCTCTGAGGTTATCACCCGCAACGCTGTCCAGCAATTCCGAAGTGTATCTTCTGTTTTACATAGTCGCTCTGTTCGTGTCAATCAGGGGGCCAGAGGGGCTCTTAGTGATGCCTGGGGTCGTCTAGGCAAGTCAGCATCCCAAGTGGACCTTCGTTCCATGGTGGATCGAGTGCGCAGTGCGAACTCTGACACCCTGGATCGGGCTCAGACTCGTGCACGTATTTTCATGGGACGCGGCGGAAAGGACTCTGCTAAGTCTCAGAATAAAGGGGTGAAGCAATGAGTGTCATATCTTCTGCAACCTTTATCAGCGCACACTTTCTTGCTCATCCACGATCTGGCTAATTACGGGGTGTTTTGTTGTTTACGGCGATTTGAGGCGGGGGATGCAACGGATTTTGGAATAGTTCAACGCGAGGATGCGGCGCAACACAATTGCTTTAGTTTTTTTTTTTTTCTTGTTATTCCCCAACAATAGCACTTCAGATACCTTTCCCTATCAAGTTAGGCTCTCACTAGATTCGCATAGATCCAAACCCCCTCGCGTTCTTAACAATAGGTCGCCTTGTATGGGGCCTGAAGGCGGTGGCGATATTCTGCCCCCGCGCACCCAAACTATTAATTTTTCCCCCCTCATTGTCATCTCCTTGATCAACAAACCCAATTCCTCTCCTGAAATTTACCATATTCCGGTGTTTTATCGCCTGTCCATCTTTCAAAACTTCCTATCGTCTCCTTAAAAAAACTTTAACCCGCTATTCACCATGTCTGACGTCGCGGAGACCAAGCCCGACCCCACCACCGCCGTTGAGGAGCAGCAGCCCGAGACCACCGCCACCGGTGAGGGCGAGAAGACTGTGACCGAGACTGCTGTCGACGCCGCCAAGGACGCTGCTGAGACTACCAAGGACGCCGCTGCCAAGACCTCTGACAGCGTTTTCTCTATGTTCGGTGGTGGCCCTAAGAAGGAGAAGAAGGAGGAGACCGAGGAAGGTGCAGACGAGCCCTCTGGCTCTTCCAAGGCCCAGCAGGCTGAGGATGTGAGTTATATGTTTCCTCTCAGATAGTGATCGTCTGCCTGGGAACCTTGAATATGGGACTTTGGTGGCATGGGCCAAAAAGAAAATACGGGAGCGCGGGGTCATAGTTCGGCCCCGCGTTTTGTGTGGTGGCTTGCCAGATTGTCATCCTGTTTGGATCAGTTCTCCATGGTGACTTCTCGATAATTTTATTTTGACTGACCACAATTTTTCATAGAACGAGGACGAGGCCCCCGAGTCCCCCGACGTTCACTTCGAGCCCGTTATTCGCCTGACCGAGAAGGTGGAGACCAAGACCAACGAGGAGCTTGAGGAGCAGTCCTTCAAGATGCGCGCCAAGCTGTTCAAGTTCGACCGCGACAGCAAGGAGTGGAAGGAGCGTGGTACTGGTGACGTGCGTTTGCTGAAGCACAAGGAGAACCAGAAGACCCGTCTGGTCATGCGCCGCGACAAGACCCTCAAGGTCTGCGCCAACCACTACAGTGAGTAGACTCCATGAAGGAGGTCGAATCTGCCCGAAATACTGACAGTTCGTGTAGTCGTCCCCGACATGAAGCTGAGCCCCAATGTCGGCTCTGACCGCAGCTGGGTGTGGAACGCCGCCGCTGATGTCAGCGAGGGTGAGCCCGAGGCTCAGACCCTGGCCATTCGCTTTGCCAACAGCGAGAGTGAGTGAAGCTATGATAAAATAGGTACACAGATCGCGTATGACTAACCTGTATATAGACGCCAACCTCTTCAAGGAGGCCTTCGAGAAGGCTCAGCAGGAGAACGAGAAGCTCTTCAACGCTGAGGAGTAAATTTATGGCCATTGCCATATTATCGCTCCAACAATGAACGAGTGTGAAAACTCACGATTGTGATACAATACACGCTCGCCGCCGACAGCTTCTTGCTTGGTGGACCACGACTTTTAACTACTCCCCAACCCCAACACTCAACCATGCCTTATGTCTTTTCACCAGTTCAAATTTCACCATATTCCATTCCCCCAACTCCCCTTCCCCACGACTGTACACGCGAGACGGCAGTGATGAAGATGCTGTTCGCGCAAACATCGCAATGCGGCTTATGAAAAGAGGGCAAATTCTTGATGTCTTTGGTCCAACAGTCGGCAGTAGATAGACCCCTTTCCCATCGAATATACACCCTGCACATCATATACAGAGACCCATGAGCAAGTAGCTCATTTCTTGTACTTGTAAAGAAATGCATTCTCCAGTTGGAATCAACTATCTAGTTCGTACAATTCATATCCCATTCACACAATATACTGGGGTCTAGAGGTTAAAGGAAAATCGACTATGCACGTGGACTGTTTATGCCTTTAAAATACGTTAGACTCAAGAATTGGCGCAGAAAGAGCTCAAGTCGTGGCGAGTCTGCAGGTCGCGGGGAATAATACATGTAGGCGGTGTTGAGTCTCCCCTTCAACCTCGCACCTCCTCCCCACCCGCATCTTTTCCTCTACAATATACAGGATCAAAGCCGAGGGTTTATCGAGCTATACATTGTCTCTAATTCACTTTTCTCGATCTCTTATCGTTATCGAGTCCATCCGATCCCTTTGAAACCGAGACTGCAAGGCCAAGCCCTGCGCGTTCTCTTCTTTCGCACTGCCGCGCAAACCACGTCCGTCCCCAAACTTCTACACGCTCCGCGCACCTTTGTTAGGCCCAATCATACCGTTTAACGGCCTGGAGCTACTCCGATAAAAGTTATTACCATCATGCCTGAGGTGAGTCATCATCCTAACTCTGCCTGCGCCGCACCTCGTCTATGTCGGTTCGATCCATCACGGTCCTCCCGCTCCACCAAAGCTCTCTTCTCATTTCAAAGATACCTTAGAGCCCTAGCGCAGGCGCATTTTACATAATTGTCATTCTTATGCTAATCGTTACTTTCCGTGATAGGTTAAGCGCACTGTCCGTCTTGTCACGGAGCAGCATATCATGTACGTTCTCGACAACCTGCCGACCCTGTCTGCCCTATCCGTCCTTCCACACCCCAGAGCAGCAATTGAACCCGTCCGCATACCTCAAGTCTTCAATATATCATCCATGGGTGACAAAATGGTATTTTCAATGGCTGGCGGTCGAGGGCGCATGCTTATCAACAAGACCGATGCCTGAAGCAAACCATATTCGTATCACGCGCTCCGATGCCCTTCAATCTCCCACTTAATCCAAACATACTTGTTTGTCTGTACTTTCTGCCCAAGCACATGCGCTAACTGGGGGGTTTTTTCTTTGCCACAGTGACAAGCCTTCCGAGGTTGAGGGTTTCCCTCAGCGTTCATGGTCGATCGAGGTGTACGTTGTCAACGACAAGGGAGAGCAAATTCCCGCCAGCCTCTTCGACAAGGTCACATACCACCTCCACCCAAGTTTCGGCTCCCGCGCTGTACAAAGTAGGTTTCTCTCGACTCTCACTAGATTCAGGTGGATCCCGGTCCACAAGGCGCGTCTGCTTGAAGGACTCGAGGCTGATTAAGTATCCGGTAAACAGCTTTCAAGAACCCACCTTTCCGTATTCAGGAAGAGGGATGGGGTGAGTTTGACATGCAGATTGAGCTCACCGCCGATAAATCCCACTTCGTCAACCATGACCTCAACTTCCTGCAAGAGCGATACGAGTCCAAGCACGTCATCGTAAGTTGACTTCACCCACGTGCTCATATGAAATGTTTTCTGACCCGGCCTTCCGTGGCAATGTAGACTTTCAAGAACCCCAAGCCTGCTTTCTTAGCCACTCTGCGTGAATCGGGCTCTGTCCCGGGTGATGAGAATGGATTGAAAAAGCGTAGCGCAGCTGGTGAGGAGAGTGCTAAGAAGAAGAAGCGCACTGATAAGAACGTATGACTCAACCCCTCTCAAACCCATGACAACCAAACTAACCCTGTCCAGGTGGACATGGATAAGCTTGCAGAGGGACTCCAGAAACTCGGCGAGGATGACCTGTTGCAGGTCGTGCAGATGGTGCACGACAACAAGTCAGCAGATTCGTACACAAAGAATGACGTCGACAGTATGTGCCCTCAACCCAACTTGGAAACGTACACTAACATCTGCATCAGTGGGCGAGTTCCACGTGGACCTGTACACGCTCCCGGATACTTTGATCAAGATGCTCTGGGATTTCACGTCGGAGCGTGGGGCTATGTAAGCCACGGCATATTCTGGTCCTTTTCTTGATGTCTGCAATACTCGGCTTCTGTCAGTCCGGGATAAGCCATTTTACCGTTCTATTTCCTTGTTTCCTTCTCTGCTATGTCTTTTTGACGGGGAGTTAGCGGATGCTCATATCAACCTTGCTGGTGCTTTCCTTGCACTTCTTGTCCTTCCTTTCCTTTCCATTCGTAGATGCTGAGCTTGTTGAAAATAATCTATGTTTTCTGGTGGGCTGGTATTGATACAGCCATGAGGTACGGTTTGCTGGAAGGCTTCGTTATGGCTCTGATACCACAATTTGATCTTGGCGTATGTTTATTGTGTTTTTCTTAGACTATCAAGGCATGGTTTCCGTTCTCGCTACAATTACCCAAGAATCTAAACATTGAAACTCTTCCGGGGGACTGAGTGATTATATTCGATAGGTTAACTCAATCCAGACCTTTCTGAGATTCAGTAGTCAGAACATCATATCTTTTTGAAGATGAGCAAACTCAAGATCACTGTCAGCTTTCAGGCCATCTCCACTATTTTCAGCAAGATTTGAAACAAGTTCGAAACAAGCTCGCTATGACTCGATTGCAGCCTACACCTGGGCAGGGGCAGATCGGCGAGGGTCCCATGACATTGAATCAGCAAGGCCTGACTATTTCCATTGCCCTTGACAATTACACATCAAGGTTCATCCCTGAAGTTGAAAAGCTGTATCGCCTGACTATTAGTCTTTTCTCAATTGACTAGGTAGCTGTATCCTCAAATTGGTTGTAGCGCACGATGTGAATAACCTTGCACCTGTAGGCGGATAGGGTATGTGATTTGGGACTCCACCCCAGTTGAATCACAGAGGGATAGTTGTACAAGCTTACTATGACTGGGAGATTGATAGTGCTGAGACTAGAGCTGGGTAACTTGAAACGTACGCGACTCTACAACAGGGGATAGTGCTGTTGCCTATCGTTCATGCAAAGCGATAAGCTTATTCTTACGTACCTGGAAGACCGAACTACTACGAAAACCCCCGATCATCTGTACGACTCCACGCTTCCAGGCGATGGGGCTGAGAATGGCGGTCAGGTTGTTCTATCAACATGCCATGAGATCGGCTTGTCTGCAGAAGAACCAAACTCATCAAATAAGCCTGTCCAGACCCATCTGTCTACGAGCACCAAAAGCATATTTGATCACGTTGCATAAACTAGAAAGCAGATGGGATATCTCAACAAAACACGACACCTTCCAACCCAGACCGGTCAGACCAGCTGAAACACAGTCATCCCGCGACAAGGAAAGCCGTGGACGGCCATGTGCACCACCCAAAATAGAAATGAAACCATAGTACATGAAAAAAGATTCGCAAGACTTCCATGCAGTCTATACGCTCCAACGCCGTCGAAGTAGCCGCCCTTCTTCCCTTTTTGTGGACATAGAAATGAGAAATGGTTGGTAAGACACTTTGAGAAATGAAAATGAAAATGAGAGGATAGGAAATTGCGAGGAAAGGGAGCCAAGACGCCTTGCTGGAAATGGACGAAAGATTGTATGCATGATTAGAACACGCGGTTCCTAAGTACAATATCAGTATGACGGACATGAGAGCAGTATAATCACAATGGAAAACGTACAGCTTCAACAGATCCTCTAGGCTGTCTGCGCTGCAGGGCCGACCTCGGGGAATGTTGCGGATAATATCCGTGATAGTAGCGAAGACATCACCAGCACGGTAAGCCAGCAGAGCCGGGGCTTGGATGTGATCCATCTCAGCGATTTCATGATGCAGCTTGACAAAACGAGTAGTGGATTGTCTGCGGGCGATAGTGTTGAGACATTCTTCCACAATAGCACTCTCATCAGACTGGCATGGTGGTTAGACTTGTATTGAATAAAAATAAAAAATAGAAAACAGATGCAACAAACATACCTTGGGATCAAAGATGCAAACCACAACAACGGTACCCGAAGTCACCTTCTCAATTGCATCAAGGTAACCCGCAGCATCAACAATGTCGACCTGACCATAGTGACGGCCGCGGGGTGAGGGGCGTCGGGCCGCGCGGTTCTGCAAAGCCTGCATGCGCGACGCACGCCACTTTCGTAAAAAGCGCTCCTCCTCATCCTCGCTGCCCGACGACCCATCCGTTACGGGAGCCGGGGGCTCAGGCTTAGCCGACCCAAAGGCGGGGCCATTCTGATCGAAGCCCGCAGCATTAAGCAACGTTCTACGGAAAGACTTCTTGCGTGCACGCTCAAAAGCCTGGGCGTCGGCAATCACACCCTTAGGGCCGGTATTGGCCTCGAACGTGTTCTTGGGGATTTGGTAGTTGGTAGAGGAAACCATGTTGTCGTCAAAATCTTCGTCCTCGTCCGAGGAATCGACGGTGTGGCGTTGGCGCAGGTTGCGGGGGATAGCGTCGGAGCCGGAGTCGTCTTCGTCAGAGAAGTGGAGATCGTCGTGATCTTCTGGGTGAGAAGTGAATTTGTCGCGATTGTTATTCACGAGTGCATTGAATTCTTCTTGGGCAGACATCGTGGAAAAGATGGGGGGTGGCGGGGGGGGAACGTGGGAATTTATGAAAGGCTGAGTCTGGGGCCTTGAAGTGAAGCTGAGATTGGCAAGTTTCAAAAGAGAACCCCCTGAGAGATAGTCAAAGAGAAGGTTGAGACGGCGGAGGGGCTGAGCTGGGAAGAGATCGCCAGGGTGAAACGGGCACAAAAGCCCCTTTTCGATGTGGTTTCAGGCTCGACGATCCGGGACCCACTGAACGGCCGAACCACTACACGACGTATACACATGAGTTCGAGGATAAGACATTCTATAGAGACTAAGAGATCGAATATTCCCTACTCTTGATTGATGATCCTCATGCTCATTCTCATGTTCAACTCTAGTCAACTAGCGTAGATGCTTATCGCACGTGGGAATTTAACCTCCTCAGCCCATAAGCCCACGCGGTTCGTGCTCATCACATTCAAGCCTCGTTTCAGCTTTGTTTATGTGATGAGTCCAGTTCATGAAACCTCGAACCCCATCTCGGCCCCGAAATAAACCCACAGGTGACGCAGATCCGAGCCTCGATCCACGTTAAGCGTTCCAGGCCCCCAACGGGAATCACCCGAGTCGCAAGGAGAGATCGTTGGTGGATCCACTGCCTGAAGAGGAGAACAGTCTGTGGAGAAACCGGATGAAGATGGATCCTTGATGCCGTGCCGCGGCAAGGAAAAAATAGAAACGGATTCCTGTCTCGTTTAGAATCCTTCGTGTGCACGGTTGCCGGTTGCCGGTTGCCTTTTCTTTCATTCTTCGTCCCCCTGCCCAAAGACTCGGGAGGCAGCGAGTCTAATCACGACCTGTTCGATCTCATATGCCGGAAGAATTGGGGAAGCCCAAAAGACATCGAAGGTCTTGAAAGCCCACTAAAATAGGCTTATGAACTAGGCCATGTTAGGATCGTTCTCGTGGCGTTGGCCCCCAAATGGCAATCTGGCTAGGGCTGGGCTATCGGTTAGTCTTCCCCAGAGTACGCGCTAGGGATTGGAATTGGGATTGGGTCAGTCTTGTGCTCATGGACATTTTTAGATCTTAGCATATCATGCTGACTAGGAGACTGAGTCATGCATGCATGGCTGGCATTGGTGAATGTACAGGGATATCACCGGCATCTCAGGACGAACACAATCCCTGTTCTTCAAGTACAAGCCATACTCGGTTTCCTGAGGTCTACAGGTCTACAGGTTCTCTCTACCAGGGCAGCTGAATTTTGGAAGACACCTTGTATGCATGCCCTATGAAGCTCACGCCACGCTGACCGACGCCCAGGCCCACCAAAGAGGATTCCAGGTGCAGTCGAATAGACAGCCTCCAGTCCCCACAGAAGAAGAAAAAGAAAACACAGTGAAAAGCACAAATGGAAATTGGAACTGCTCAAGAACAGGATCGAGGAAATCCGGTCTGAATCCCTTGAGGGGATTCGAGGTCACAAGGACACAAAATAGGTACACACTCTTTGACGAGACAGGGAAATAGGAAAAGAGATGACGCGGGAACGCAAAGGGTAAATCAGACAAAAAAAGATCATGGCCAAATCCAACAAACCGGTCCTTTCCTTTCCTTTCCGAGAAAATACATACCGAGACCGATGCAGAAAAGGCAGTCCAGAACGAAGAGGGGTAATAGAGAAGAAGAAATAAAGGGGGAAGAAATATCAGGGGGAAAAAAAAAAAGGGAAAAGTTGAAAAGAAGAGAATAGGGGCATCATCCAGCAGGAGAGAAACAGAGAAACAGGAAGCCGACGAAATAGCCATGGAAGCACCAAATCTCCGGTCTCAGTCGGTACCAAAGTCAGGTACAACCATCCATCCCAGACGGCAAGTGCTCTCTCTCGTCATGTCCAAAACATTGTGTCGTCGCTTTCGTTTCTTCCCCGGCGCCGCGTTCACCTCCACCATCCAACGCTTTCCGTATCGCATGCGACGGACAAATCTGCGCCGTATTATCAGGAGAAGCTAGGAGCTCCCCGGTAACTGATTATTATCGTACAATGGCGGAGATCCGACCCATCGAACCAAAAGAAAAAATTCGAATAAGAGCATTGCAAATGATCGACACGGGGGTATCTTGCGTTTGTTTTTCTTTTTGGGAGGGGAATTACCAGGCCCAGACCTTGAGAAGAGAATCCCAAGATCCAGTGCACAGACTGATGCCGTCGTTGCTGACTCCCAGGCAGCTCACGCGGTTCTCGTGGCCGCTCAAGGAGCCAACCTTATCGCCACGAAGGACATCCCACACCTAAGATCGCGCTGTTAGCAAAGTTTCAACCCGGTCTTCAGCTTCCAGTGACCTACCTTGCACTCGAAATCGTCGTAACCAGCGAACAGTAATCGGCCAGACACGGAGAAAGCAACGGAGGTAATACCGCAAAGAACTTGGTCGCTCTGCAGAAAAGAATTAGTCTCATATTATCGACCACACGGGTTTGCCGCAGAAATATACCTGGTAGATGTTCAGCTCGCGATCGGCGCGGATATCAAAGAGACGGCAAGAAGTGTCGTCAGAGCCGGTACCGAAGGCGTTGCCGTCGGGGAAGAATTGGATGGCGTTGATATCGGACTCGTGGCCAGCAAATGTCTGCACGGCCTTGCCGGTACGAATATCCCACAGCTTGGCGAAAGCATCACAGGCACCAGAGACGAAGATGTTCTGGTTGGTCGGATTGATACTGATCGACATCACGTCGCCGAGGTGATCGGCGAACTCGGTGACCTTGGACCCAGACTCGATATCCCACAGCATACAGGTCATATCGCCGGAAGAGGTGATAATGCGACGATCATTGATGAATCGACAGCAAGAGAGGTAACCGGAGTGACCAGACAGCTCGCGCGCGACCCGAGTAGGGCCTTCGCGCGACGACAAGTTGTAAATGGAACAAATGTTGTCCAAACCACCGCAGGCGACGTAGTTTCCACTGGGCGCGTACGCACAAGTCATGACCCACGATGAGCGCAGGGGGATGGCGTGAACTTTGTTGGTGGTGTAGGCATCCCAGATGATGAGCTTTCCGTCCTGCGAAGCTGACACGAGATGGCGGCGGTCGGTCGACCAGTGCATGGCGTAAATCTTCGCCAAATGGCCCTTGAGTGTGCGGCGAGGCTTCATGCCAATTCGAGGGAGGGCATCGGTCTCTCGCTGTGCTACTTGGCGAACTGCGTGAGGGTCAGCATTGGTCATCCAGATTCCACCACCACGTCATCCTGCTGAAGTGTGGGAATGGCTAGAGATCTATTCCGGGGTGGTGAGTTCAACGTGCGGGAGGTCAGGAAGTCGTACGGGAGGTGTCGGCCAGCTCATCCTTCCGGCGCTTGATCTTGTCCTTCAACCCCTCTGCTTCGCGCCGGGCCGCGGTAATTTTCGCCTGCATTTGTTCGCCCGTCATGTCGGCTGCCATGTTGCCGAGTAAGGGCCCCTGGGGTCGTGTTGTTGGGAGGAGGGGAAGCTAAGGAACCAATGTCCAGGGGGGGGGGGTAAAGGTAGTAAGGGGAGGTTGGGAGGAATCCGAAGAAAGGAAAAAGGGACTGAAAGTGGAGCGAGAGCGGAAGCGACCGAGTTCAGGCCTCAAGCTGTGAACATAGTACTGTGAAATAAAAAGTGGTCGCAAAGGGGATTGAGGCGGGCTCGAGGAAAGAGAGGGAGAGGGAGAGGGAGGAATCGAAGGTTCTGAACAGGGGGCTTGTGTATTACCGGGTGCTAGTGGTAACTTGATGACCTCGCATTGCGACTTGGGAACTCCATGATTTACGACTAGTTCAAATTCCCTCAATTGACCCATAAAATTTACTTCTAAGGTTGCAGGAGTTGATGATTAAAATACAGAGTTTGCAATTGTTGCTTCTTGTCATCGACAATACTCATGGTGCCGAAGCTGGCCAAATGATGATTTATCTGTGTATGTCACGTATTGATGCGCTATTTCCCCGGGCGGTAATACGCTGACAATACACGCGCCTGCAACAGGGGGGTGAATCCTCCCCGGGTACCTGAGCCAGTGATCTTGATTCTTGTCCTGCTAGAAATGCATCTTTGCTATAAAGACAATGGACCAGTTCTGCATAGGACTACGCACGAGGTTCTTCTTGGGAGGGGGCAATTTCGGTCATTAGCGCTGACCGAGAAACCAACAACCCTAACGGGGGATTTCAAAGCGTCCAGTGGCGCTGGGGATCAGCCTAGCGCACCTGGCCCCAATGGTTGCTGATGCGAATTTATAAGATTTCAGGTCTCTCAAATTCTTTCCATACACAGTGTAACATTTGGTACAGTACATCTTGCGGAGTAAGGTTGGGAACGATGGGTCTGGCTATGCAGGTTATGTATAGAAACCTTGAAGGCCCCCCCCCTGTTTATAGAGCAGTGCAGCCTCAACTTTTCTCCACGTCAGAAAGCCGCGGCTATTTACTCCCATTTCATTGTCTACTCATGTCTCTGATTGGTGTGGTGCAACTTGGCGTCATCGTACCCGGCTGATCCTTTCCGCGTTGTGAGGGCCTCTTGGGGCAAATTTGGGGCTATTAAAAACCCTACGGACATTAGGCGCCCGGAGATGAAGGGCGCCTTTCCCTTGACCCTGAAGAATCATTTCTTATTGTTTACAGATACGATACCGCAACTTCTTCGGCACTGTACCACCCAGCCACCAACAGGCCCAAGCTCATTCGCCATTCCTTTTTTGGTTGGATTAAGGACTCCACTGAGGCTGACTAACCTGCATATGATTTCTCCCTTCACACTGAAGAAACCAAGAGAGGAGAAAAGGATGCAAGAAACTTTTATTAGAGGGGTCAAACCGTTTGATCCTGCCAATTTACCTTCCGTTTCCAAGATTTGATCGCTTCACGCCGACTCGGCTCATCGGTGCGTCAGGAAGATGAGGTCCCCACTACGTGAGACCGTCTCTGGGCCCCTTTTTTTTCCTCCCGGAGAGAACCCGCCCAGCTTGATATGAGCCTAGACGATCATTATTTAGGTCAACTTACTCCAGGACCGTGAGATGTGCGCCTTTCTATTAGGTTCCAGCTGGACATTGCACACCTTGTTCTCTGCACGTCAGCAAAGCTATTTCAGGCGGCCTGAGGGGGCCGATCTGGTATTGATGTACGGAGTATGCCGTTTACAGTCTCCATTGTTCGACTTGGTTTTTTTCAACAACGGCCCACTGGATATTGGTGCCAATGCTCGCTCTCTCCACCGACCCCCACTCGAGGATCTACATTAGAGGCCCGGTCAAATGCAGGTGATATTTCTCGTTCGTCATTTGTTCCGTTCGAATGCAGCCAGCCGGGCATAAATGCACATCTTCGGAGCGTCAGACATGAGGCTGTTGGCCGAAGTTCCGAATTGCAACTGAGTAATTACAAGGCTTGGTGGGAGCCTAGACTCAACCTCCCTCATCAGCATCCCATGAGTTTTCTATCGGTACCTTTCAAGCACTGGGAGAATGGTTGATGCCCAACAATTAGACCGCTCTGGATATCTTTCAAGGTAGGTATGAGTATTACCACTAATATGCTATTTACTGTATACATAGGCAGTATGAAGATAAAGGTCCAAGCGGGTCGGAAAGGGGCATAGCATTGCAACTGGAGGGTCTTGGTAGTTCATCATGACTCCAAGAGTGGATTCTATCAACATAATTGACCCATAAGTATCATGGACCTTCAACGGTGCTTTTCCGTCCCGAGGTCATCCTTGGGGAACCTATGGGTGTGTTTGATCGAAAATAGCAAGGAATGTAATGCACGGAACTCGAGTCGATCTTTCCGATGTAGTTCTAATGTCCAGAACATTTGTTCTCTATCTCAAGAGATTGTGATGTACTTTCAGGGGTTGCTACTGTAGTCTGTGAAAGGACATATTTGTGTTAGGTCATTGGCTTATCAACACATCTTCCAAGGTGGCATGCCCCAGACTGTAATCTGTGCACGAGTACCTCTGGGCCCCTGGTCTTGACGTTCCCATGTCAAGCGACGAATGCTAGAAAACACTCAAGACCACCTAGACGTTATTAGGTGAACATAGTGAACCTCATCACACATTCTTAGAACCTTGGAAGAAATGGAATATCTAGTTCTTGTGCGAAGCGACCAAGGTGCATATACTCTCAGAAGGGCTGACCTATTAAGATTCAATATTGAGACTCCACGCATATTGCGACATTCGAATTGACCGCAAACCAATTCGACCCTGCATACAATATACAACCTGAATCAAAATGAAACAAAGGAGATATCTAGACCGTTCATAACCTGTTTATATGAATACATGTCATCAGTTCAGGGGGATCGTCTCGGAGAATCCTTGAAGCCTTGGAGGCTGGGTTAGTCAGTCAACTCGGTATCGGCCATGTCGCCACGAGGGAGCGGATATCTCCTGCAGGGCGGCAACGCAAAAGATCGGGCATTTTCCATTCCAGAGTCATTGCCCATGAATGTAGTCAAGTTGGACGAAGAACCTTTTGCCCATGTACGACAGTGCAAGTGCCGTTAAAAATAGAGCGAGTCGGTTCACGGTGGCGGGAAAGCCAATGTTCGGGTCCCGTAATATTAAGGAGGCACCTGACGCCTCTCCGCTTTCGCTCTCAAAGGCTTTTCTCTCTCCTTCGCCCATCAACCCAACACCAACCCACCCCCATCTATTCTCCCTCGATTTCATCGCAACTATTTCCTATTCCTTCCTTTAATAGTCTGGGAATCACTGGTATCCCTGCCACCCGTCTTTTCTCCGCTCTTCCTGTCGAGGGTCTCGTGGAGTCATCACCAAATCCGCACCCCCTCAGTCAACCCTCATCGGGCATCGCTCATAGTATATCGATACTATTTCGGTTATCTCGATGTCGCTGGAGTAAAGCCGTTGCATTACGCGAGAGATCTTTGATCCCACCGCTTGTGGAGTCGACGTCTGCTGGTTTTAGGGGGCGTGAATCCCACCATCCAGGCATCGTCAAGGTCCTCAACTCATCTGGCCTTTTTTTGCATACTGGATGCCCTTTCATCCATTTCATCTGCCCTGCTTTTAGTTCCTTTCTTGGTTTTTGTGCCTTTTTCTTGTCTTGATTACCATCTGCCTCGTTCATCATGCGGGAAGTTAACTTTAGCATCCCCAATGTGAACAAGGCCTCGGTCAACATCACAACCACACTCTACGACCGACGTGCCCTTGATTGCACATCTACCTTACCACTTATCAACTCTTTGAACCACCTTGCGTATCTCACAACTTCATCTGCACGGATTCGGGATATCCTCACTGTCGATGGCGGCATCGAACGACTCGTTTGCATCCTGAAGGAGGGCAGGAGCAAGGATTTGATGGAGATGTGGAAATGGAGCCTAGCATTTCAATGTGTGGTGAATATCGGAGTTCGAGGATCGGAGAACGTGAGGACCAGGGTCGTGGAAGCCGACATGGTCCCGGTAATTGCCACCATACTGGACAACTACATCAAGGTGGTGGACAAGGTACGATCGCGTGCCGATCCCGAATCTCACAAGCACTCCAGCCGATCGGCCATCCCCAGCAAATCTAGCTCTTCGGTTCGCGAAGTCGCTGGCCGATCTGGCCCCGAATCCAACGCTCCTACCGAATCTCGCTCTTCTCGCCGCCAAGCCCCTCCTCCAAGCATCGAAATCCCTCAACCATACTATCAGGATAGCCAGCCAACCGACTCCGATGTTATGGATGTTACCTCCCCTCCTCGCGCCCCGATGACCTCCCCGCCTGAACGCAGTACCTTCCGACAGGATGTGCATAATCACCGGACCCACGATGCCCGCTACACCCGCGCCAGTCATCGCCTGCGCACTATGCAGCCTCTTGCTACCGCTATTCCCCCGATAGATACCACAGAAGGATTTGGTCTGCGGCCTGTGCGTGATGCGGAGCGCCTTGCCAGCATGCTTCCAGGACTACAGACGGGCATCATCTCACAACCGGACTCCCCGACAACTCCCAGCGGGCCGCTCCAACCTCAAGCTCGAAGCATCCCCCCACCCCCTCCTCCAGTTAGGGCTCGACCTCCAATCCAGCAGCAGCAGTCTGCTTCTGGTGAATCGGATGATGCCAACGGAGAGGACTCAACCATGGGTGACGATGCTGTCTTGGGACAGGGAACTGAGCCTATCGTTGGCCTGCCAAATCGGATGGATATCGACAGCGTTGACGAGCAGTCAACAACTACAATGATCGACGATGTCTCCGCCAGTCACGGTGGTCTGACCGTCACGGATCCATCTGAAGAGGGCCCGGAAGCTGAAACCTTCAATATCGCCCACCGCTCTGCTGTGGATGGCAGCATCATTAACAACACCGCCAACACTCAAAACAACGGTGGACTGGGTCTTTCCCCCACTCAAGCCCCAAACAACCCTAATTCTCCCACTCTCGCTCCCAGCC